AATAGCTTTGAGCTTACTCCAGCAATCTTCAGCGTGGCCATTTTCTGATAGACTATTGCACACATCCCCTGTATGAGTTGTTAACCAGAGAAAGTCATACAATTCTTGTCCGTAACTTCACTCCAAAATGTAAGGGAAAAATTGCAACTTAACGATTGGGCTGATATTTTTACTAGTTATAAAAGTTTTATTTATCCAGCCATATTCGCAGTCGATCGCGGTGAACCAAATATCGTCCCAATGTTCCTTGTTACTCATATAGTTGATGTGTTGCTTTAGGGCGTCAGAGAGTTCGCCATTACTCATTGTCTCGTGTTTTAAGCATACCACGATTAACGCAATTATAAACTTACTGATAAAATGTTTTTCCATGTTGATGAATCGTGTAGACCGTTTAGACTTTTTACTCGACAAAACGAAACGGACCTGTCTATTCTATAACGAAAACTAAAATGGCTAAATTAATTAGATTTGTGCCACGTAGTAGTTACTCTACGCAGAAATGAACATACACACTCGCATTATTCGCTTAAGACAGTTGTTTGAAACTTATAAGTCATTTAAACGTCAAATTTAATAGTGCCACGAATTGTTTGTTTGTGTTGTGACTAAGACATATCCATGTGCCGATGTATCGGTGTATAGCGTAGATACTTTTTAATTGACATGCGAGCCACCTCACCTGTGTCGCGCGTTAAGCTATACTGATTTTTATTTAAATTATTTACTGCTAAATATACAACATGCTTCAACAACCAACCGTCAAGTGTTAATGATGTTTCCTTAAACGTATCATTTTTTTTTTTACTAGAAAAGAATTAAAAATTGTAGTAATGAATAGGCACAGGAAAATATTTTTGAAAATGTGTCAAGGAGTCGCTTGTTATTAAAGTTTAAATATTATAAACATATTAAGCATACAGTCACAGATTAGAGTTTGATACATTTTTCATGTATTTTTATACACGTACCTAATATCAATTTTTCTTTAAAACTTTAATGTTGGAGTGCAGTATTATTTTTATCCGCGCCTATTACTCAACCGCATATCATAAACTTTAAGCTTCAATACCTTAAAAAATAGTTATCCAGAACTGGTTATCGGTCAAAATTATAGGTTTTACCTTAAGTCTTAGGTAATGTTACAACGATACATTTTGTACTATTTTGATTTATTAAGGCCCGGTTAGATTAGGTACAATAATTAAAAATTGCAGTAATAAATACTTAAGCACAGGAAAATATTTTTAAAAAATGTGTCAAGGAGTCCCTTGTTATTAAAGTGTAAATATTATAAACATATATTAAGCATACAGTCACAGATAAGAGTTTGATACAGTATTTATGGTAAAAGGTGATGTACAATAATTGAATTTCTCGCATGTGGTCACACTGCGCTAACGCCGGTTCGAGTTATCAGTAAATCGCAAAATCTGGTTTTATCTTATTTGAGCTTACACGATGATGTCATCATTATCGAGTGGTAGCGTCTGCCTATAAGAATTAAGAATTTTAATTTATGCGTTTTGCCCAAAGCCGTTAAGAGTAATCCTGATTTATTTGAAAAGTTATATAGTGCTGTGTCAGTTGTGTGTTCATATATTAAAAATAATTATACCTACGTAAGTGTGTGATATACCAGTTGTTTCAATCCGAGGATCAAAGCCCGATTCTATTTGTTTAATAGTATGTAAGTATCGTGTAACACTATCATTAGTCAAATCGTTTTACTTATTTATTATTCAATACATTAATTAGCGACCAACATTTTACTATACAAATTTTAGACTTGCTAATTGAGAAGTGCTATCAACGGCCATAGGCACGATAACACTGACTAACCAAAGCTTAATGACGTTTATTGCTTTTTCAATAAATACATTGAACAATGCAGGTGAAAGTGGGCACCCTTGTCTCACTCCAGTAAGAGGCATGCATGTTGGTTGGCTAGTAAAGTGAAGCTGTAGCTTGTTTGGTATCCGCTGGCCAGCTGCGTCGTTTTTTGGTGGCATTTTAGCAACTGATAAGATACCATTAAAGTACTTAACCACACGATTTAGTTCACCAGACTGCTTTCTACGCTCAAGTTCAGTATGGGATGAACGAAGTAGTTCACGTTCTAGAGATATTTTATCCCGAACCAGCCGGAAACTGTTTGAAATATTACATCCATTTCTGATTGATTGCCTGTACTTTAGTAGAAGGTTGGCTGCCTCATCTTTGGATTTACATATAAGTTTTAATGGGCGAGGTTTCTTAGAAAGTCGACCCCCAAGACGAACCACTTTGACGTCTACAGGTAAGGCAATGTTGATGGAGGACAAGGCATTAGACAGTTCCGCAGTGTCATCGGTTATTCTCTGACTGGATAAAGAAGAACTTGATTCAGGAATGTCGTATGCAATAACGCTTAATTCACAGCAATTTCTTTCCGAGATTTCACGTAAGACATTGGAAGACAAATCATCGTTGTGGGGAGCCAGAAGTTCCGAATATGGTCGTGAGTCCTACACCCCGGCTAAAGGTCTATGAGATTTCTCTCTTTACCCCAGACGGGGTCACCAACTTCCTAAGAAGCCGGCCTCGCCACATGAGACTGTCGGCTTTCGCCGGCAGCCGCCCCCGGTCAGGCTATGGTCTACGTGTTACAGCAACCCGAGAGCGCTGGAACCCGCCTACCAACACCATCTTCCCAGTGGTTTTTCACATGGCTACCCAATGGCTTGGAGATGGTCTGGTCTCGTCTGCCGACCTTGGGTGGGGCCCCGGCGCTATCCACACCGGCGCGATGATTTGGTTCATCGCAACCGTCTGTGATTATCCTCCCACAGACAGAGTGACTGATCACCCGGGGGTCAAATGCCTCAATTGTGAGACTTCGTCCGACAAGCATACTGTCATTAACCACCAAAGTCACTGACGTGACCGCCACTACGAATCCAACCGCAAATTGGGCGTGAGATCGGCCGCCTTCCGACCCCCCATCCACAATTATCCCGTAGTACTGGTTTCACCTGGAATATATGCACACAGGCACGGCCACCAGTGTGCCGCTTCGACGGAGCCATGGAATTCATGGGTATAATCATTCAGAGGGTGAGCGGAACCCCTGAACTAACCGCGCCGTCTCCCGACTATTTAACTTTCACGGAAACCTAGTAGGGCTAGTGGTGGGCCCGTGCTAACCTGGTGTTAGGTAACACCAGGCGTGTCAGTCACGACCTCTCGTTCAGACCGAGCTACTCTCCGCGACTCACGCCAACAGACCCGCTCTGAGGCCGGATACCGGCCAGACACGCACCCCGCCCGGCAAGATACTTCCCTTAGGATGTAGACTCACCGCGCAACAACGCCTGCCTGACCGGGCCGGCCGGCCGTGCTGTTTTGAACCGGCCTCACCTCGCACCCGGTGCGCCTGCAGGAAATACCGTGCATCACTAAGGCCGTGGGACCGTAGCGTCTTCCCATAAATGGGTGACCATCTACCGTGCCTTCGGCCTCTCCAAGCCCCCTGGGCCCCTACGGACAGTTGCCGGCTGTCGCGCATCTTCTCGTGCCTCCAGCAGACCGTCGGCTTTCGCCAACGAGTAACACGCTTCGTGTTTATTCAAAAACTTTGATTCATTATAAGAAGAACCAACCCATTTTTTATGTAAATTATTACAAACATTTTTCAATGACATTTCTAACGATTTTCAAGCACTTTCCGAAAACTTTACTTTTAAAAAACTTAAAATTTCAGTTAATAGGAATGAGTAGTTATTTAATATTAATTGGGACCGCCTTAATAATAAATATAAATCATTTTTGGTTTTAAACGACTCCATGGTATAGAATCAAATACTGAAATTTTAAAATCTTACCTAAATGCCGAATGCTAACGTTAGCCACAAGAAACAATACAAAAGCTGTGAAAGCGCGCGACGTGACAGAGTAAAGTTGCCTACAGGTACGACGCGTCATTACAATTATCTCTTATTTTTGTTAATTATTTGAAAGGTCGGATAAAGTCGGACACACCGATTACAGAAATATCAAGCTTACTAGTTTCATAACCAGTTCAAATTTATTTCAGTCAGATAATAGTTGATAATTTTTATTTAACTCAATTTGAACAACATGTTTACAATTTATCTGTATAGTTTTATTTTATTTTTATATTTTGATAGGTAATTTAGGTTATTTTAAAACCAGTACAATAGTTATGAATACTACATAACATGTAAAATAAAATTATTATAAATCATTTCGAATTTTATTACAGAAATTTAAATTTAAAATCATTTTTTACAAAACTCAAAACAAATTTCCCGTACATCAAATTAATGAATATCATTATGTATATTATTCGTTTATTTGGTAAATTTTCATAAAAAAATAATTGGAGCAAGTAAAATCTGTTGTGTTAACTACTCAAGAACACATTTCAATAATACTCAAATAAAAATGAAATAATTTACATTTTTATCAAATGTCCGAGATTGTCTATTAGTCGCCCCACTGTGCGGCGGTGCGGTGGCTGGGGTCGCCGGAGCCCGAAAGTGTAAGGGGCAGAGCGCTAATTGTCTCTGGGAAAGCTCTCGTATCCCGATGGGCCAGTACGGGACTAGTTAAAAATAAATAGATTTACAATAAAAAATTCCTTATAATTGACAGATTGAAATTATACACGAAATGTCGGCTACATTGTAAAGACTGGTTAAGTAATAAAGCAAAACGATTAGAATCTTCAATCTTGACCGTTGATAAACTGACTCTTTAAACACATACCTATAGTCCGCCATACGAAAAGTGGCGGTCTCATCCAGCCTGTAAACAGTGGTTCTCATTTTACTGCGACCATTTTCCGCACCGCGTGCAGCTGTATCGTGAATACTATTTATAATACTTACATTGCGCTATGGTATAATTTCAAATTTTTGCATTCCTTTTTTTTGTCCGAGCATTCATTGAAAATCAAAAACATTTTTTTTTAAAAGTGCCGCAAATTATTTGATAGCTGCTATGGTGAAAAATCCGCTTGGCGCGTGACGGTCACCCGCCACTTTTCGTGTAGCGGACAAACAAATTGTTGTGCGTAAAATTATGCGAGTAAACACATTGCCCTCCTTGATCAGACGGGTAAAAGGAGATTTTTTCAAAAAAATAGGAAGGAGAAGTTTAGAGTACACGCCTTAATTAGTAGTTCTAACTTCTATTGACTATTAGTCTAGTAAAATTATAATAATACATACCTAATATTATGTTTATTACGGCCCTTGTAGGTTTACTTATACTATACTGAAAGTACACATTTGGACATTGCACAGTGCGGATTCGGAGTATTTTTTCGTTAAACGTATATTTAAAAGTAATGGATAACATCCTTAAAATACTGTCAAGGTTTTTACTTATAAATAATGTTATGCTCACGGGCCTCGACAAAGAACGATGGGAATATTCAGTTTGTAGTCGGTGGCCATTACAATTCTAACGTTTGCTGTAATAGTACGCAAGTAGCTGTATTGCATTTCAACGAGTAAGTAATCTAAACTATTATGTACCTCATTATTGATAACAATAATTATTATTGAAAACCAATATTAAGTGGAGTTACTAATATTGTAATTTTCAATGAAATAAAAGCTACGGATTTCTTTGGATTATGATAGTTTTTTTTTGCGATTTAAGTATATTATTTTATAAAAATTCAACTTTTATCATTAGTATTATTATTTTGTTTTTATTTAATAACGCTTCGACAACTAGGCTGTTAGTGTATTTAACTATTATTTGTTAAAATATACTCAATATTTTGTAATTCATTAAATTTATTGATATTTGGATTATAATGATTTAAAAAATAGTAGAAATCCGTAAATGTATATTTCCGTAAATAAACGAGTTAAAATTGATACTATAATTATGGAAATTATATAAAAATAACTAATAAATTTTATTTAAATCTTTTCAGATTTAAATACTTTATCTAAATAAAATTTTGACTAAATAATGTTTTTGTATTTTCAAAATATTAAAAAATTTCATTAAATCCGAAAATCTGGATAATTTGCTTATTTTAACAGTAAAGCTGTTGTGTTGTACTAACATATTAGGTACCCCGTACCATTATGACTTAAGACAGTAAACATTTTTGTTGTTGTTTACTTTAAAATAAATAAAACAATATTTTCAGGCATTTAAATTAATCCGGTTATTCATAAACAATTTAATTTTTTTAATAATTTAATTTAATTTATAAAATATAAATTTATAAAATATAAATTTATAAAATGTGTTATTGTAAAAAAATGTATAAACAATTTTACTAAAAAATTCTTTAAAAATGTATACTTTTAGTAATGAGGTTGATTATACCGTAACGATTAGGGTTACCGTTAATGTCTGTTTTTTCTAATAATTCGTTGGCATTCAGTGGCGTAACTAGAGAAATAGACCTAGGAGCACCGAGCAAGTCATTTTTTTTGCGTCCTAGATTACATGTTAACGGGCATAGTAAACCGTAAAAAATGCCCTAAAATAGGATGCGCCCAGGGGCCCATTGCTCATTAGGGAACATGGCAAAAAAAAATTTAATAAAAACCCGTTTCACACTTAGCAACTTGGAAATTTAATATGGTACAAATGTAACTTGTTTTCTGTTTTTTTTTCTTAACAAAAAAAATGTGTATGACGCAGCCCCATAAAAGTATTACCTTCAGTTTAACTTTCAGACCATAAGTCACTAAACTACGCTAAAAATAGAGAAATAAAGAAAAACTTTTCACTCCTTCTAGGGGAAAGGGTTGATGATATTTTTCACCCATACAAATTTGGCAATAATTTGACTATAAAAAAAAAAGCTAACATATTATAATTAAATTGCTAAATTAATTAAATTAATTAGCTATTAAATAAACATAACTTGATAATTTTCTTTAGAAGAAAGTACGGGCAGCTTTTGAGTTATAACTATAAGAGTATGGAAAGAAACATAAGTGACACGCCATGATTCGGTACAAAAAGGCCTTAATGTCCACTAGTCTTCATGACTGAGTTCACTATTACAAAAGTTGTTGATTTTTAAACAATGAATAAAAGTCATTGAGTATAATTTTAATGCCAAGTTTAAAGTCTCACTAATGAAATCTGACTTTTTTGAACTTAATTATATTAATTGAAATATATATAATGTTATGTATGGTGTTTGGGCAAAAAAGTATACGTCAAAATTACGTTTTTTCAGTTGATAAATTCCCTAACGGCAAATTCGGAATAGCTTAAACCATGATTTTTAGTTAGCGAAAAGGAAGAACTAAAGTTAAAGGGTACTGAACTATACTAGTTTAGACAAAATGAACTTATTTTCTTATGACCAAATACCAGAGATAAATTATTTAAAAAAAATTGTTTAATGTTTTTTTTGTTTTATGTCTTAATCTCTTACAATCAATATACTTAAACGACATGAATTTTTTTCAGTAAAAAATGAACTGGTTTAAATGTATTGCTATAGTATTCTTTACTGCAGTGTCTTGTGAACCAATAATAAATACTAAAAATGGACAACTTAAAGGGAAAATCTTAGAATCTCGTGATGGTCGTAAATTCTATTCATTTACAAGCATACCTTATGCAAAACCACCAATTGGTGATCTACGGTTTAAAGTATTGATTCGTTCATATTGTTATAATTTGCATAAACTATAGAATAATTATTGTCATTTGAAAAATTTACTTTTAATTAGGCTCCAGAACCAGCAGAACCTTGGAAGGGAACATTGGATACAACAAAAGAAGCGACTATGTGTATTCAAAGCAATGAAGTATTTATTAAGCAACCCGAAAGTTTAGTATTAGGTGATGAAGATTGTCTGTATTTAAACATTTACACGCCAAATGTCAATGGAAAATTACCAGTGATGTTTTGGATACATGGCGGTGCTTTTGTGGTCGGTAGTGGTGGTACGGGTGGACCCGATTATTTTATGGACAAGGACGTGGTCTTGGTTTCTATCAATTACCGTCTCGGTTTACTTGGTATCTATGTATAATATTTTGTCTCACTTGTTTGTAATTGAGTGTATCGATTATTGTTTATAAATGTACTTGTTGCGACTTTTAAGGATTTCTCAGTACAGAAGACGAAGTGATTCCCGGTAATTTCGGGATGAAGGATCAAGTGATGGCTTTACGTTGGGTAAAGGAAAATATCGGCCACTTTGGAGGAGACCCTAGTAGTGTAACAATTTTTGGCGAAAGCGCCGGAGGAGCCAGCACTGGATACCACTTGCTATCGCCTATGAGCAAAGGACTTTTCCATAAGGCTATTCTTCAAAGCGGTACTCCTCTTTGCAGGTGGGCAGTCTCCGCGCCTGGTTTAATTCGCCAACGTACCGAGGCCGCCGCGACAATAGCCGGCTGTAATATCGACGACTCAGAAACTATATTGGAATGCATGAAATCACTCCCGGCCAGCGTTATTACAAATCTGTACGTCAAATTGTTTGTAAGTATTAAGTACCTACTTACATAATTATTAATAAATAACTTCCCATAAAATAAAGACGATATTTTTAAAGTAACTCATTACAGTATGCATGTAGGGTAATAATTATCAAATAAACAAATATTACCATTAAGTGTTCATAGTGTATTGAGTATACCTATAGGCTATAACTCAATGATATTACATTTGGTTCTGGTTTTATGACTCGAGAATATTTTTATCATCACCTGATTGTTAAATAAGGGTAAAGTGAGTTCTGCGGATCGTAACGACAAATAATTTACGGCTTCAAACATGTGTATTTCGCTGAAAACTACCACTTTAATGACCCACATCACAAATGTGACTGAACGAACATTTTCCAAAATTATGCAATACTTACTTATAAGTGAGTAGAATATCTAGTAAAAGTTTGGTGATGGAGAAATTATTCTAACATCAGTGGTAAGCGTTCAAATCTTACGATTTACACTTATTGGAAATATACACAATTTACATTTACATTTTGAACCTTTACCACTGATGTTAGAATAATCTCTTCATCACCAAACTTTTACCAGATGTTCTATTCACTTATAAGTAAGTATTGCATAATTTTGGAAAATGTTCGTCGTTTAGTCACATTTGTGTTGTGGGTCATTAAAGTAGGTAGTTCAGCGAAATACACATGTTTTAAGCCGTAAATTAATAGCAAAAAAAAACTTAATTGGTTCAAAGATGCTATGGGTCGTAAGAACATTGCTTGAATTTTATAAAAGAAATTTTTTTTAAGTTGTTTATTTTTTAACCCCAAAAAAAGTTTTTCAAAAATTCAAAAAAAAATTCCAAGGTTAAAAAATAAAAAAATAAAAACTTTCTTAAAATATGGTTAAAGTACACTTAATTAGAATTTTAACTGTGCAGGTTTCATGTCTATACCACTATCGACAGTTAAATTACAGAGTCGGGGACATGAGGTGTTTTTGGATAAATTTTTTTAAAAATTGACCTAGGTCCAAAAAAAAATTAAAAAATTAAATAATTCACCCATCAGGTGACTTCACGTGGAATGACCCAGTAGAGAAAACAATTTTATTTGAAATATTGAGCAATCACCAGTGACAAAAAAAAAGTAATTGTAATACGGTTAGGTAAGGTTAATTCAGCAAAATATCAAAACTTGTCTAATGGATATAATATAAATGTGTGAATAATGTAATAATATTAACATTTATTATTCGTGAATTTATTTTAAATTTGAATAATGTCCCACTCTGCTGTCAGGTATGGAAGGCACATCCAACCGTATTGTTCACTCCTGTAGTTGAGAGGTGTGTTCCTGGCAACAATGCTTTTATCTGTCATCACCCATTTATTGAGTTCAAACAAGAGTCCCACGTTCCAGTTATCATTGGTCTAAACTCGGCTGAAGGTGGACTACTCGCTGCAAGTAAAGTTATTATCTTATTAATTAATTTAATTAAAGTATGCTTGCGTATTATCGAAATAATTAAAATTTAAAAACATAAAAATAATAATAACAAGAATATTATTATTTATATTTAATTATATGTTATATAACTAAGTTAACCTTTTTTAAAAAATTAAGTACAAATGTTTCGTAGATATGTTTAACAGCACATCACTGGTGGAACAAGAGTTGAACACAGATTACAGTCGTTTAATGTCCATAGTGATGATGTATAATAACTTCGCATTACCAAAACATTTGGTTGAAATCGGTGAACGCATATTGAAAAAATATTATCCAACAGGGTCTATTGATGACCACACTCATTCAAATGCCGTCGAAGTAAAATTTAACTTTACTAGTAAAACGTATTCTATGCTAGTTAATTAATTTAAAAATACGGGTGTTTCCAGATGTTTGGCGACGGTGCTTTTCTTCAATGTGTTGTTGACATGGCTGAAAAGCTAACTTCACCAGTGTATTTTTATCTGTATGATCACCAGAATGAATTCTCTTTTAACAAGTTATTTGGGAAATGCGAAAAACCACTTGGTGTGACTCACGCCGATGAACTTAACAGTTTATTCAACCTCAAATTTTTATCCCGAAAATATTTGAACGAAAAAGACTTGGCTGTCTCCAAGTTGATGATTAACGTTTGGACAAATTTTGCTTCGTCTGAGTAAGAAATAGAAACTGATAAATATTTTATTTCTTCAATTAATAATGTGTTTCATTCAATTTATGTTTAGCCATGTTACAATTGACGGCTCAGTCAATGGACAATCCTGGCCTAGACATACTCAAATTGAAAATTCGTTGATGGTTTATATAAATTCCTCTCAGCCTAAAATCGATCAGAATCCATTTCAAGACAAATATAGATTTTGGGAAGGTCTTCCTACTTTATCTCGTCTACAGCACTATGCGTCACAAAACCATAACGGTTCTACATATACGATCAAAAATGAGCTATAATGTGTAAACTTCTGTTTAAGAAATCATGAAGATTTTAGTTAAATTGTTAATTGTTTTTAAAAAGCTTATCAGATTTTAATAATCGTGGGATCATAAAATAGCTTTAACTCTTTGTTTCACTGATATAATTCTAATGATTATTATTATTAATTATTAGTATTATGTACTTCTATTAAGCACATTATCCATTACCTATGTATTTATATTATTTAATTATAAGTGTTATTAGTTATTATATACAATCGTCCTTTACATGTTAATACTGATAAGTATACCGTGTCATATGGTAATCCATCCATTTTTCGTGATTTCTAGGTTTTGGGGGTTATTTTAAGTTTTAACGTTCGATGCAAAAAATCAACTTAGAAATTAGAATACAAAGCAATAAGCAGCATTAGGTCGATATATATTGCGGTGCATCATCTCGCTTCGTGCTTTATGCAAAAACGTACCCAAGTCATTTTATTTTCCTCAAAATATGTCTCGATAAACTATTCTTACATGAGACAATTTAGTAATTATTCGAAGTAACCGAATAAAGCTGATGAACGCTGAAAGTAATAACTTAGATAATTAAATAATGGTATTTAATTGAACTTTTTTAATAAAAACGGAATAAAACTAAAATAATAAGTAAATAATAAAATTGGAATCTTAAACAACATGATAGAGGTTAAATGTAGATGTAGTTACTATCAAAATTTACTAAAATAGAAAAAAAAGATGTGTGGGTCACGGGACCCCGACAGAAGCTATGTTTAGAATTTAGAGTATGTAAATCATACGGTTACTATGGTTACCGTGGTTACCATGGTTACAAACCAAGTGTTTATTTTTGGTCAGCAACGAAAACTATTTCGTATTTAAAGTTAAAAAATTGTCTTTGAGGCCACCCTTAGGGATGGAATTTTCAAAAAGTACTATGCCAGAAACCTTCACGGAAGTGTACTCAACAACTTCCCAAAATTGCATGGCAATCGGATGAATAGACGGATGAGTAATGCGTAAAGGACAAACAGACTTACGGCGTACGTTACGTTACGGTTATTCTTCGTTGACCCCCGAGCACAGGCGTCATACTTAAAGCATAGCTTCAAAAACAAACATTTGAAAGTCATAGGTGCAATATATAAAATATGTTGCTATAAATAGTTACACATTTGTATTAGGTAATAACACTTTTTTTAAATTAAAGTATTGTGTAGGTTTAAATAAATAATTTTTAAAAAGTTTTATTATGCTCCATTAGAAAGCGAGAGTAGGTACATTGGTGTATATCTCTAATCTTACATAAGATATACTTCAGTTAAATTAAAATGGTATTAGTCCTTGCACACGGTGTTTACACCGCACACACATCCGATCACATGCACTGTAAGCTTGTGATTAATTTATTGCTGGTATCACAGTGGACAGTCAAAATGTATAAGTATTGATGAAACTAGTTTATACATATTATATAGTATACAAATAACGGTGACACTCATTTGGCGGTTCGATTATTGTAAATAGAGAAATGAGTTTAACCAAAAGTTGCGGTGTAAACAAAGCTCTAAAACTACAACAAAAAAGGAATTGTTAACTGCTATTGGAGGAATGAGTTAATCATATTATGATGGTAGTTCTGACGTCTGTATATAAAGAATATAAATATTTTAATATTTATTTCTACTATAGAGTTAGACAAAATGATGGCCACACTTGACTTTTCGAGGCCAGCTTTTATGGGTTCTAATCTTTACATTAATCATATGGGCTATGATATATCAGTGGCCAGTGGGCATGGACCATGGTAGAACAGTGTATGTGTTAGTTGTCGACGCGGGTGCAGAGATTTCTGAATGTTAAATATTCACTGTAATCATCATTTATACTCCTACTTCGTTAAAAAAACTTTTTCACGCTAATAAACAATGTAAGTTTTCAGAAAAATTCATAAAAACACACTTATTAAATACTATATATTAAAATCAATGCCAGTGTGAGGATTTCAGAGGTCCTAGGTCATGAGAGGTTTTAAATTTAATAAAAAAAACTGCTTGAGCCGATTAGCTATAGCCTATAATATAACAAAATTCAATAAAAAGGAAGTATAAAACAATTAATTAGCTAGTCAATATTTTTTTTTTTTAAATGTCTATATTATAAAAAAAAATATAATATCTATACACCAGGAATCGTAGTCGTATTTAACTCTTTAAATTTCAAAGGACGATTTTTATTTTCACTTAGTCGTACAACTGCTTGAGCCGATTAGCTATAGCCTATAATATAACAAAATTCAATAAAAAGGAAGTATAAAACAATTAATTAGCTAGTCAATATTTTTTTTTTTTAAATGTCTATATTATAAAAAAAAATATAATATCTATACACCAGGAATCGTAGTCGTATTTAACTCTTTAAATTTCAAAGCACGATTTTTGTTTTCACTTAGTCGTACAACATGTGGTTAGATGTTGTTTATTTCATCCAATTGTACATAATCGACAATATTATTTTTTCCTCCATGATAAATGTAATAGCAACTGTTTACTAAATACCACGTTTTATGTTGGTTATCATTTTAGATATTGTTGCCGTACGGTTTTATACTCCTTCTTCGTCAAGGCGTTTTACAGACCATTTAGGCCCATTACCACAACAACCACTTGCCTCCATCTTGTCTCTATCCCTCGCCAGTTCTTCCCCATTCTCTATTCCATGTTCTTTCAAGTCCTTGACCACTCTATCCTTCCATCTTTGATCTTTGTCTAGAACGTCCTCTAGGTCTATTTGTGTTTGGTTTCCATTTCGTAACTTTTTCGCCGACCATCCGTCGGCTAGGACGAGCATAGTTCGGCCCCCTCGGTTCTTTATTAGGTATTGTTGTTGTTTTTACTATTATTATTATTATTATTATTATTATTATACATTTATAAAAATAAACTATCAACTATCAACTAAAAAATTTCATTAATAAAAAAAACGAGGGCCTTAATTGAGCCGTTGAGAGCAAGAGTGGTGTAAGTGGCTGCGAGTTGGTCCTACTTTACAGTTTATTTGTTTACCGTGGATGGTAAAGGAACTTTTACGTTCTCGTAAAAAACTATACAGTATTTCTACTGTAATACTAAGTGCATTCAAGCCTTCCCTCTCCTTAAAAAAGGAAAAAACAAAATGTGCTTCATTTCGTCTTGACTGTATTTTTATAATTATTACTATCTTGTTTATCTAAACATAATAATAATAAAAAAAACAATTTTTTTTTATAGAATAGAAAATGGGACATTTATCTATAGTTACTGGAATATTATTCTTTTCTATAGCATCTTGTAATCCAATAATTCAAACTGAGAATGGATTACTTAAAGGACAAGAACAAAAATCCAGAGGCGGCAGATCATATTATTCATTTACTGGTATACCTTATGCGAAACCTCCAATCAGAGAATTGCGACTACAAGTACGTAATAGAACGCCGTACTTAAACATTAAAACCCTTTATATATTTATCAGACTTAAAGTAATTTAGTAATGTAATAGACATATTTGGCATCAAATACAAAAAATATAAATTGTGAGTAAATATACATTTTTGAGTAAAATCATTTTAGTATTCGAATTAATACATAGATTAGATACTGGCATATTTTTTATTAAAGAAACCGTTATTAAGCATTTATAAATCATACAATTAATGTTAACAAATTTTAAAGTACATTACAAGTAAAACCAATGTTGATAGAATTAATGGCATGATTTTTATGAAGGCTTTAAAGCATTTTTTCAATAAACCTATATAGGTATTAGATTGAATAGTTGATAAAAAAATAAATATTTTTTTTTTCAAAAAGTTCTTAATAGCTATAATATTAAGTATGGCGGAATTATTTCCCTCACATTGCAATAAAAAAGTTGTCCCCTACTACACACCTATTTGATTTTTAGATCCTATAATTTATTACTTATAATTATGTATTCATTTCAAAGTACATAATATTTTAAGAAACTAGTGAGGATTTTAAAAATGTATGAACTTTTGATATTGTTGGTTATATTTTTGCCTCTATTTTTTTTTTTTAATAACAATTTATTGAAATAAAAGTGTTTTGTCTGCAAAAACTGGAGGTGTAAAATATTATTGATTAATTAAAAATTAATGACAATTAATACATTTTTTTTTTTTTGGATCTATTTTAGCCCCCCCCAACCAGTAGATCCATGGAAAGAAACTTTAGATGCAACAAAAGAGGGAAATATATGTGTTCAATTATCCTCATCCGAAGATAGCTTGATAATTGGTGATGAAGATTGTCTGTATTTAAACGTTTACACACCTAATACTAATGGCAAATTACCAGTTATGTTTTGGATTCATGGCGGTGGCTTTGCTGCCGGTAGCGGTGGATCAGTCTTTACGGGTGGACCCGATTATTTTATGGATAAAGACGTGGTCTTGGTTTCTATCAATTACCGTCTCGGTTTACTTGGTATCTATGTATAATATTTTGTCTCACTTGTTTGTAATTGAGTGTATCGATTATTGTTTATAAATGTACTTGTTGCGACTTTTAAGGATTTCTCAGTACAGAAGACGAAGTGATTCCCGGTAATTTCGGGATGAAGGATCAAGTGATGGCTTTACGTTGGGTAAAGGAAAATATCGGCCACTTTGGAGGAGACCCTAGTAGTGTAACGATTTTTGGCGAAAGCGCCGGAGGAGCCAGCACTGGATACCACTTGCTATCGCCTATGAGCAAAGGACTTTTCCATAAGGCTATTCTTCAAAGCGGTACTCCTCTTTGCAGGTGGGCAGTCTCCGCGCCTGGTTTAATTCGCCAACGTACCGAGGCCGCCGCGACAATAGCCGGCTGTAATATCGACGACTCAGAAACTATATTGGAATGCATGAAATCACTCCCTGCTAACGTTATTACAAATCTGTATCGTAATTTACGTGTATGTAATTTTTTAGCATTGATGAAATATTATGTATTTGTAAATCGTAAGCACCGGTTTTTATAATTTGCTTTAAATGAATTACATCTGTCGGTGTTAGACGTGGAATGAACACCCATTAGTTTTATTTACTCCAACTTCAGAGAAATGTAATTCTGGTGCGTTTCTTTGTCACAATCCACTTGTCCAATTCCAACAAGAGTCTGACGTACCGGTCATTATTGGTGTTAACTCGGCAGAAGGTGGCTTATTAGCCGCAGGTATTACATTATTATTTTAATATGCAAATTACAAATTTTGTATAAAGCATCTATAAGATACTTAATTATTTACTGATAATTTACTTTTAGGATTATTTAACGACACGTCGTTTATGTACCCAGAACTAAACTCTGAGTTCAATCGTCTGATATCTGTATTACTGATGTATAATCACTTCACACTTCCAAAACATTTGGCGGAAATAGGTGAAAAGTTATTGAAAAAATATTTTCCATTGGGTAGAATAGACGATCAATCACATTTAAATGCAGTAGACGTAAATATGTTTTATTATTATTAACTATACTGGCTTTTGTATTTTATTGTACAATTTATTGCGATTTTAGATGTGTGGAGATGGTTTTTTTGTGCACTGCATCTTTCATATGGCCGTTAAATTGACATCGCCGGTGTATTTCTATTTATATGATTATCAAAATGAAATATCATTTAATAATTTTGTTGGTACATCTAAAAGACCGCTAGGGGTAACTCACGCAGATGAGGTTGGAAGTTTATTTAACTTGAAATTGTTAACGAAACACGAGCTGAACTTACGTGACACAGAAGTTTCTAAGACTATGATCAATATTTGGACAGAATTTGCTTCGACTGAGTATGGATATATAATTTTTGTTCTATGTTAATTTTTTTAATAGTTATGTTTATTTATATTATATTTCAGCCAACCCACTATTAATGGCGAGAGAGACGGACAGGTCTGGCCAAAGTTCACAAGTATCAACTATTCTTTAGTGCTTCACGTGGATTCGGCTCAACCAAAACTTAAACAAAATCCAATGAGTGATAATTATAGATTTTGGCAAGAACTTCCTCTATTATCGCGTTTGCATGATTATTTATCTGCATCTCAAGACACATCACGTAATATTAAAAATTAACTTTAGTGATGTTTTATTTGTAATAATTGTATAAAAATGATATTGTTTGAATTAATCATGTCACTAAATATATTTTTTTATTTTAAAACAATACTATATCCTATTCTAAAAAAACTGCACAAAATAAAAAAAAAATTTAATTTAAACATATCCTCGAGTCAATAAACGCGCAACGAATGTTGATAACACGTGTAAACGTACTTAACTGTAAGAGTGATTTTTAAATTGTATATGATCAACATTTTGAATTTTATTTATTAATAATTTGACAAAAAAATTAAATAAATGCAATAAGCTTGTGTTTTGATTTCCGAGCAATTTTACTATTTAATTTAATTTTAAAACTATAATTACTATAAACAGTTTTTATGGTTTAAGAGTAGGTATATATATATATATATATATATATACTATAATGTTCTAAGTATCGTTTAAAATTACAACTGTTCTTATGACTAATCGCAACAGGGACTACTGTCAGTCTACTGTCTAAAAATACAAAGGTATATATAAAGGTAAGTCTTAACATTTGTGTCAATAACTGATCGATAACTGATTAGGACCTGGGCCAAATAAAATCACGTCTAGACACATTATTTTCTTCGTCTGACACTAGATACTTTAACTTCGACTAAGGTCCGAGACCTTGACCTTTTCAAGTTTAACAAATATAACGAGTTGTATAATATACAAATAGAGTATACATAATTTACAACTATATATAGTATAATAGTGTACACATTATCGAGGTCCCTATTCCGATAACATTTACATATTTTAAATATACTTATTGCTCGGTTCACAGTTAATCTACATATCTAACGGTATCTTATAAGTCGCTGACCACTGGTGTCAATAAATAAGAAACAATTTGAAATAAGCTGAAAATTAAAAAAAAACCGGTGTGGGTAAAGCGATTGGGTGGTATCTGTTACGTTACGTTTATAGTAGAAGTATATCCAAACATATAGACCATTTTTAGTACTTGAGCTCCACGGGCTGCAGTGTTCCGCAAATACTACCTACATCCTAACGTAAAAACTATAATAACGGATTAGTGTTTTCCTTTAAGATTAATCGTTAAGGTAAGCCATAATACAGTAATATAATTATAATTTCTATCTTGATATAATCTCCTTTGATAAACAATGGTATTAATTATAAATTATAAGATTATAATTAAGACAATTTTTTTTAATTAGCTTTAGTAACAAAAAATATGAATAATAAATTTTGCATAAATTCTACAGATTATGAACACAAAAAGTATCTACAAATAATTAATTTAGTTGTGTATGGCAATATTATAGACGCTCTTTCGACAAAATATAATAGAAGTGTATAATAATTAATAATTATTGCCTATAATAATACACTTCCTAGCAAGTCACTACTATAAAGTTACAGCCAACATATTATTTTAAATATTCCTCTCAAACAATTTAAAAATTCTTTAAAAAAAAAATATTTGTTTTAATTTTATTATAATATTTCTAAATAGCAAAATTAACTTACAGGCTTAAGACAATTTGTTCACCGAGTTATTTTTCTTAAAACTTTTCTGGAATAAAAAAAAATATATTTGTTAAACATTAATTTGTGTAATTAAGGTTAGTTGTTTAGAAATACATACAGGTCGGAAAACATTTTTTATTTTACTCGGAACTTTAATCGGGGATCTGCTACCTAACAGCATTAAGTAAAATATATAGTATACTCAATACTAGTAGTTAGTATATATTTAATTTTAAATATTCTAAGTCATAGCATAGGTAATACTATGATAATTATTGTAAGATTTAGTAAATATTATTTTGTGTCAAAGTCAATGCTACGTTACAATAACTAAAGGGGTTAACAACAAAAATTAGATTTAAAAAAAATTGTTTATGACTTATTTAATGTCCATTCAATTTTGTTTTATAATATAGTTACAACCAAACAAAATGACATCCGGTACAGTGGTTTTGTGTCTCGTTTCTTTAGCCGTATTACACGAGATTCATGGGCTTGACAATGGATTGGCATTGACACCACCTATGGGATGGCTTGCTTGGCAGAGGTATAGGTGTATTACAGATTGCGACACGTATCCCGATGAATGCGTTAGGTCAGTAGAGTATTTATTTAGTTTAAAACCCAATGCTTAGGTGATTGTTCAATCAGCATTATATATAGGTACCAAGCTTTTCATTTTTCTCTTGTATTTGTAACGAATCGGTCAGCTAATTTCCCATAGCATAGTTAATAAATCAAATAATAAAAAGAGAACGTATAAACTATGTTTAATAAGTAGTGTATAATATGTATTATAAAATAAAATTTCAATCTAATGCTTACTTTTTTTTGTGGTTTATTTAACACGTTAACTGCAGATTGGAGTCATTTAGTATAGTAATTAGCATACATACATATGCTACATAAATATGATCCACTGATCCACAGTGAACGTGTTAACAAGTTTAGGTTGACATTTACAGTATTGGTTTTATTACAGTTAAACTGAAAAACGCGTCGCTGGTCTACTAATATTGCAGTTTAAATAATTATTTGTGAAATTAATAAGGTCATCAGAAGCTTAAAATCACTATAAATGCTTGGATGCAAATCTATAGATGGTCAAATTATAATTGTAAAAATAATTAGATATAAAAACAAAAAGTGCCCTCGTTCTCACGATAAGTTTGTTTTTTTTTTTTGTACGTTTTTTATAGTCTTGTTTATTAAAATTAGTATAAAAATTAATATATACAAACTAGACGGCAATTACAACAATGGCAAGCAACTTAAAATTATATTATTAAAACATCTTTTGGACAGTTTTCTTCCCAATATTGCATTATACTCTTATAATTGTTTTACTAAATATTTCCAGTGAAAAATTGTTCAAGAACGCAGCGGATCTCTTGGTCAGCGAGGGTTACGCTGAGGTAGGTTATCAATATTTAATAGTTGATGACTGTTGGTTATCTCACAATCGGTCTGCCGATGGCAAACTGCAAGCCGACGAGAAGAGATTTCCGAGTGGAATTAAAGCTTTATCAGATTACGTGAGTACTTCAATATTTACTGACGAGTAATAAATAGACAATTAGAAATTAGAATTTCAACAAGTGTATGGTTCTACAGGTACACGCTAAAGGTCTGAAATTTGGATTGTACCAAGACTGGGGGAAAAAAACATGTGCCGGTTATCCAGGTGTGCTGGGTTCCGAAGAGTTGGACGTTAAGACTTTTGCAGAATGGGAAGTAGACTATGTAAAACTTGACGGATGTTATTCTAATGTGCGGGACATGGACAAAGGCAAGCGATAATAATTAAAATGGTAAAATTATATTATAACACAAGAATATGTAATTTTGCATAGGTTATGTGGAGTTCAGTCAACACCTGAACAAGACCGGTAGGCCTATGGTGTTTTCTTGCAGTTGGCCGGCTTACCAAGAAGACAAAGGAATGCTAGTATGTATATTATATGTCCATCCATTTATGACATAAACTTTTGTACCTACACTTATAAATACACCGGTAAATTAAAAAAAAATGATCATATAAATCACATTATTTGCAGGTAAATTATACAGCTCTGGCCAAATATTGTAATCTCTGGCGAAACTCTGGCGATATTGATGACTCGTGGAGTAGCGTTATGGACATAGCTGACTATTTCGCATTAAAACAGGAATTCTGGGCACAATATGCAGGACCTGGTCATTGGAATGATCCAGACATGGTAAGTTTATAAATGTATGGTAAAAAACAAAATATTATTATTAATAGATATGTACACAACAAAACTGCAATTTTCAAATCTCGCTAATATTATAATATTTCTCACTTCTTTATAAAATCCCGTTAAAACATAGTTCATGCAAATTCTTTTACAGCATAAAAAATACGAAAAAATAATATTATTCACAAACCTGTTCTTTAAGCATTGAAATGCTTATAATAGTGCCAACATTTCGTAATATTTGCGCTTAGGTTTAATAATTGTAAACAGCAATCTTGTATGAAATAAATTATCAAATATTAAATTTTTTCTTATAGCTTGTCATAGGGAATTTTGGGTTGACAGTGGATCAAAGTAAAGTACAAATGTCTATCTGGGCCATACTTGCCGCTCCTCTGCTAATGTCCAACAAATTGTCTGACGTTCGTCCAGAATTCAAAGAGATCTTACAAAATAAGGAAGTGATCCGAATCAATCAAGACGCTCTCGGCATACAAGGAAAACGGGTGTTTAGGGTGGGTAAATTTAACAAAATAATAGTTTTTACTGTAGCAAAACATAAATATACAAAAGAGGGCATTGTATTGTAGGATAAAAGAATTGACATATGGCTACGACCAGTAGAACCGGTTCATCTCGGACACTATTCATATGCTGTTGCATTCGTAAGCCGCCGATCAGATGGCGCTCCTTTTGCGTACCGAATATCATTAGCAGATTTGGGAATGAACAGCTCCAACGGCTACACAATTACAGTAATTATGAAACAATGCAAAACTAATTAAAATTACAATAACGTTTTTAAGTACTCGTTAACATTAAAAATTGGTACATTTCAAAATCAGCAATGAATACAATGCGTTAATTATATTATATTCGTGTAATTACATTGTTAGTTTTATTTTTGCAGAATCTTTTTGAAAAAAATAAGTCTCCCTACAACAATGCATATTTCACACAAAAATCTTTTCTAAGAGTTCGTGTTAACCCATCTGGTTAGTTGCATTTAACATTATATTACATGCTATAAAACTTAAAACATATATATTTTATTATGCGTATTCCTCTTTTAGGTGTTGTGTTCCTGCGAGTCAATGCTAGTCCTATTAACCCTGATATTGATCGAGATAATGCTAACAATGCGACCAACAATGTAGTTTTTATATAGAATATTAAAAAATGTAAAACCTATAAAGAAGAACCTCAATAAATTCAGTAGAACGTCTACCTGTGGCACCTTACAACCATTACCTATACAACTATTGTCACTATTATTATTCGTATATTTTTATTATTATTTTATTTAGTATAGACTTTTGTCTTTTATAATATATGAGCTCTTTATTAGTTAAGTTAGAGAATATGTAATATTAATAACCTACTGGCTAGTTTTGTTTAACTATTGTTTTGCACTTTAATAATAAAATAGCTAATACAAAGTAATGAAACCAAGTAATTATTACTCCTTTAGTTTAAGTAAACCTTGTAACAATTACAAATAAAGTAAAATGCTAAACTGGGCTCCATAGTGTTTAACTCCATTACATATTGAATAATACGTGAAAATTATATAATTGGCAATCCTTCATCCCAGAGCAATTTTCTTTATGAGTTGTCTGAAAAAAATTACGCTAAAACTAAATCAAGACTGTTTTTAAATTATCTTATTAAAGTACCCGTGGAGACTGAGATCATTGACTTCCGTAATGATTAATGCGTAACACTTGAATACTTTTAAATGTGACACTACTCGTTTAAAGAAGACACTTTATTTACATTTTAAGAAAGATTGCAATTATTTAATAGCGTTCCTTAAAGATTTAAGAGGATGCAACCCCGCCGTATTTTTTGATGTACTAAGGAACTCGGTGTAGGCAATTTTTGTTTTTAATGACAAAATCGTTATAAAATAAGAGTTAAATTTTCAAAACAATTAAAATTTACCTCAAACCAGTTTTTTACAGGAGACTTAAGGAAAAGCTAGGATGCTGAAATATGAATGGAACTAGTTTTTATACTTATAGAGACGATTTGATGGGCGGCTGTATCAAAACTCGAACAGACCAAAATATAAAATATATAGACCATCCTAATAAACCTGTACACACTTGACATACGTTACCACTGACATTGAAATTGACTACTATTCGTTTTTTGATAAATAAACAGGACTTAAATGCGACCTTTGTACATATTATGATTATTGTTTAAACAAATACGTCATAAAGTGGCGGATCTAGAATATTTTTAAGAAGGTGCTAAGACTAAGGTTTCGTAAGCTATGTCAGTCCTGATGGTATTACCTTTTTTTTAGTACTCAAAAAAGAATGCGCTTAAATTTCAAAACGATTACCATGAGTGACAAATTTAATAAACAATATTCCTTTATTTAAAAAAAAAATGTATTAATAGGTATTGGTTAGAAATGTGCCTGGCCTACTGAGAGTATTCAATTATAATTATCTGGAACTTTCATGCTATAACATGTATCCAAATTTTCAAACTGATATGTTAAAAACAGAATAAGAATTTAAATTTGAATGTTTGTTTAGTTCATCCTGAAAAGTTGCAAAAAACGAGATACGACCCTTTTCGTTGGGGCAGTCGATTTGTCTTACCAAATGACAACATGCCAAGAATAAGGCAGCCCCTTCTGATTCCTCTCCTGACGACATGTCTTATTAAAAATGGTAGATACCATATTTTATATATCAATCATTTATAGATCAAAATCTGTGACTAACTGATGTTCATGAATTCGTCAGCGACTACGGTTGTTAATTGTTATAGTCCCTACGTTTTCGAGCATTTGCGTTGGCCTAAGATCTGCTGTTCGGTGACTTGACCTCTTTGACGTCCGACTCCTGTAACGACTCCGGCGATGAGACGCACATCGTCGCTTGGAATGCTGCCACCATTTTAGGTACTCTCTGACCTCATCTTCACCATTGTTTGAAGTCGTGCTTAAAGCCGCGGGTCCATAGCCGACAAAGTGTTCTACCGTGTTGCCATTAACCGCTATTGGTATGACATTGTTACCATTACCCAGATTCTGGCATCATTGAAACGGTTTATCGCGGTTAAAATGTATACCTAGTTACAACGAACTGTTAACACCATAGGCAGACAACTGGTTGACATTAATATTCACTGCCGGTCGATATTTTTTTACACAGTTAATAGTATAAGCCAGAAGCTACTATATAATTGATGTGCGTTTTATTAACGCTTCCGGTTTAATTTAAACCGTAAAACCAGAATGCACAACACCGCAGTTCCAAAAGATATCAATTGACCTAAAATTAATTACCTATATGGACATAATATGTAAAATGTGGTAAGAAATCAAAAAAGTGCGAGTAGACATTTGCCCAATATCGAGGTAGTCCATATTTGATATTATTGTACCAGTGGCGTAATTATGGGGGGGATTTTGGTGTCGTATTGACACCCCCCCTTGACGTTATATGTATAACAATAATGGTATACATACAAAAAAGAAATTGGGGGTTGTGAGGGCGTGATGAGTAAAATGTATGCAATTTATTTTTATCCCTCCCCCCCACAAACATGACGCCAATTACGCCAATGTGATGTACTATGATATCAGTTTTCATACGTTTTTAAAATAATCATAACATATAAATTTAACTACTAATACGAATCTAAGCGTTGTTAAAAGTGATATCATCACTTTTGGTTATAATAATTTCTGTCGACCTGTGATCTCCCCGTCCCCACTATGCCTCGAGACTCGACCCCATCGTACTGTTTTTTTTGTAATTGATTCAATTTAGAATATTGTTATCAAAATTGTTTGTTACCGAATTTAATTACAAAAACGGAAGATTCTTTGTCTTATGTTTTTTAAATTATATTTTCTGGTATTAGGTTTAAATAACAGTACCGATTTTTATTTTTGTTAATTCTAGTTATGATTTATAATACCGGTGATGTATTATTTTTCCAATTTCAATTTTGATTAACAATACCGGTAACATTTGTTTTCGATTTCGGTTTTGATTTACAAGACTGTTATTTTTTTCCCAATTTTGGTTTGATTTCAATTTTGTAAGAGGCTTAACCGGTTTTTGAAACCGGCTTCAAGCCCTAGGAAAAATAAAAGAGACTAAATCTCGATGGTAGAAAAATGAAATAGCTGAACGAATATGAGAAGTATAACCATGTAACTAATAAATAATAATTATCAGATAGATAATAGAAAAATTAAGCGTAATGCGTATATAGTTCATACTTTATATGGTTGTAACTTGTAGTCGATAGTAAATTAACCTTTGGAACAAAGTATAACAGCTATTAAGGCTTATGAGTTTACAAATATAATGTAATTATTAATGCATTGTATATTATACCTATCAATGTGAATTGTCTGTTTAATAATTAGCATTGTTATTTGAGTATATAGTTTCAGTTCATTGACTTAGTAGTGCCGAGGCATTTTAAAATACTTTTTAGCTTTCTATTTTGTGTTTTAGCGTAACGCTTGAAGGAAAAATAAAACAATACCTAATAGAATTAGGACAGTCGTAAACAATCAATTTAAAAATAACTGCAAAATGAAAAATCCTTTATTTATTACATACTTAATATTCTCAAAAAACAAAGTAACTCTGAATTTTAAGGCGAGGTAATCGTAATTAGCATTCAACAAAATATTATAATTATCTTAACAAAAAATAGTTATTCTATATTTTGAACACAGTACCTACCCAAAATTAGTGTAACCCAAAGTTAGTGTATGAATATCGCACTTCGTCGTTGACACGAAAATCTCCTAATGTGCCAATTTACAATTATAAGGTTTTGGTACTCCGGAATTAAGAAAAAATAAGCTAATAATAATTATAATATATTATAAAATGTCCTGCGTATCTACATTATAGAATAAAAATAAATAAAACCTTTTATGTCACATAAGTTGTGTGTTACGTCATGAATATGAGGTAACACATATCATACAGTTTCATCGTTCCTTTAAGAGGACGTCGTAGACCCGTTATTTTTTATAAAAAACCCGCCTTCCGCAGATTAATTTTACAAAGGCTATAATCAAAACTAAGAAACCAAATTTTTACATAATGTAGACATCAACATTGTCTGTTTTATCATCGCCTTTTTTTTAATATTTCAACTAGTTAATGAATAATTAATTAATTAAGAAAGGACTTTTTTAAAAATGATATAGCGTCGGTTGTCGGTATATCGAAAAAATACGGATGCTGTAGCACAGATAATTTTGTCATGTATAATATGTATACATTTCTTTCCTTCACTATACTTGAAGCCTGAGAAAAATTAATCCGCGCAAAGCAGTTTTGATGGGAAAAAAATTGTAATTTATCCTATAGACATGACTGTGATAGTCTGACAAAAAAAATGGCTATCAACAAATTATCTTCATTACTGTATTAATTGCCTATACTTTACTGCTTAGAAATGGCCGGTGTGGCGTCCTCTTAAGAGCAAGCGGGGCACGAGCACAGGATCTTTCGGTCTGTTGGGGGCCCCGAATAATACTATTAACATCTTTAGGTTTTTTTTTGTTTTATTAAAGAACCCCTAAACTCTGTCTACTTGTATACACACACCTAATACATTAATAGATAAAAATACATTTTCAAATTTCTTTAAACTTTCTTTAAACCGACATAAGATGTATTAAATATTCTATTGTAGTCACTATACTCACCATTTTTTAATGGAAATGTACATTAGTAATAATTAGGATAATCTATTAGTTCTTATAGCAATTACATTTTTGTTTTGTGGTTCCACGCCACACAACCCACTGGCTACTTTACGCAATCAATTCACGCACATTCAAATATTATGACATGAATATATAAATGTTGTTATTTGTTATAAACTATTATGTATGTATATATATATATTATACATGTATATAAACAGTATTGTCATGATGTGCTCGTTGCTGTTACATCTCTATGGTTTGGCTTCTCTTCAAATATTTGGATGCGCGACGGAATACGATTATTTTTTTTATCGTATACATAATCACCTTCTGCTACACCATGATAGTGCATATATATTACAAAACCGGTTAAGTTGGGGGAAAAGTGTCTACGTTAGATAAACAAAAACAAAGAAGTCACTAGTAGTATAGGTATAGGTAGCCAAATAGGGTTCATTCGGTCCTTATACCTTCATTGAGTGAACATAAAAAAGGTACCTACAATATATTTTATAGCCACTATAATTTAATACTGTACACCGAAGAGTGAAGACATATTTTGTTCAAAAGAAATTACTTCAGAGTAAGTAGTTTTTGAAAGAATGTTGAAATCGTGAAATTAATTAAATACATAATAGAAGGGTACTTTTTGATATTTCTTTTAAAACTTTTATTTTAAAAACATGACCGTAAAAATGTTCATACTATAGATAAACAAGTAACCTATTAAATAGGTGTAACCGGTAATGATTTCATAAAAGTCAATATCTATAAAATGTAATGGGCTAAAGATCAGCCGTTTTATCTCTATGGAGATAAAAACAAATACCGGTCTCGTTTCAAAACACAGTATGTATAGACGATATATTCGTGGTTTTTTACAATGTTTATTAATATAAAATACGAAAAATACCGGTAGATTTAAGAAATATATTATTTTACATGTACAGTTAAAAACTTTAAAAACGTCGGCAAAACAAAATCGTTTTTTTAAAAATTATTTCTATCATGTTTGTCTGTTAAGTTATTTTTTTGTAACAGAATGATTCACGGCATATTATTGCCGTGTCTGATCGTCTTAGTGGCCGTCCAAGGCATCAGAGGACTTAATAATGGCTTGGCTCTGACACCACCAATGGGATGGCTTGCTTGGCAGCGATATAGGTGTATCACGGACTGCGAGACTTACCCGGACGAATGCGTAAGGTCAGTTTAATGTTAAACAATTGCATTAAGCTTATAAGGTAAGTTTAGAAATTAAAAATGATTGGTTTCAATTACCAAGCGATAAAGAAATACAATGTAATAATTAGTTTAAACTGTTCATATTAGTCTATAACATAATACAAGAAAGTTTAAAATTCATACAACAGCCGAGACTAAATATCTACTTAAAAGTAATTTGTTGATTTTACATTCTTATTTTTTTTTTATTTAGCAAACATTCCTGGGGTAAATCATTTAAACTACATTGAGTATTATTAAACTCGATGTAGTTTAAATGATTTAAGTATTAACGTATTTTCGCGGTGCTACCGAAAGCAAACATATTTACTGATATGTGCTGAATAAGTTTAGATTGATAAGGATTGTTTGCTCACCGCTGAAATGATTTGCATCATTATAGGAACCAAACATTCCAAACTGCTGTTTACTGATAGGAGCAAACATTTTATTAAACAATAAACAATTTTAACATTAAAACATCGCCAAGACGATTATCAGCAAACTATTTGCTTTCGGTACCTCGGCGAAAATACGCTTAATGTTTCATCTACACACATATCTACTACCTTGTATGACTTAACTAGGATAAATGAGTTTTGTTTGTTTACGTTTCTTTCTGTTGCATACGATTTTGACAATGCGTTCGGTAAAAATATTTTGTAACAACTTTGTCAAAAACGCATAGGATGCCCGATGCCTTTGACCCCGGCCGAAGTTCTTGTTAAAAAAAAATAAAATATATTAACGGATTTATTTAGTATTATGTTTGTTTATTTTCAAAAATATAGTAAGATGGTAGTAATAAACAATTATAATAATATAATATTACTGATTACTGGCAAATACACGTATGATTAATCAATTTTAGATTTTTGTTCTTGCCTAACAAAACAAAAAACGCTTACGTTGTGTAATAGGTATATAGTAGTGATGGGAAATACTCGAATCTCGATAAGGATTCGAATCCTTCGAATATTCAAATAGTAATAATAATTAATTTACAAATAGTTTTTTTTCAACTATTGGAATATTCGAATCTTTAAAAATTAGGTATTCAAATCCTTCGAAGATTCGAATCCAAATTACAACACTAGTTTACAGTAATACAACAGGTTATGTGAAATCATGATCAGATGTCATATAATCTGTGATAATACTCGAAATCCTCAAGAACCCCTAGTTATAATAATGGGATACTAGGGAATTTTGTACTCATTCCAGTTTTTGAATGACATCTTCAAAAATACCTGTTAGTTAAGGGGGGGGGGGTATGGTTAATTCGTGCAAAAAACGGCAAATTTTTGTGAATTTTTTTTGACGACACAGTTAAAATCTGTTTATTAAAACTAATGGTACATTAAAGTATAACATTCGAAGAATATTGTGTAATATTTTCATGTAGAAATTATTATAAAAAATACGGCAATGGCGGTAATTATTTGGAAGCGTCTCGGAAAAAAGTAGAATTGCGGTGCCCCTCATAACTCGATGCTGGATCATCCGAAATTAAAAAAATTAAGTTCTTTCGTTAGATAATTGCTTTCCCCAGGTAACGCTGGGGGGGGGGGTTGAAATTTCAATTTTTCACTTTTTGGGAAAACTTTGAAGGGAAAACCGCGATTTTTGCGAAAAAAATCGGCTAATTTGTTATTGTAAAATAAAAAATATTAATTTGAAAAAAAACTCTCCAGCGTTACCTCGTTAGTTATGTACTGAAATAGTGTTCAAAATTTCAAAAGGATCGGTGTAGTAGTTTTGAAGTTATGGTGATCACCGACTTTGAAAACGTGAGTTGTGGGAAAAAAGTTAACGATAGTGCGCTCGGGCCCGGGCAGCTATAAAATTCCGACAACTCATAACGTCGTCAATTTTGTTCCGATCGACTTGAAATTTTGACACAATATTCATGAGATATTATGCATTCATAATACCCCCCCCCCCCCTTTAAGTCACTTATGTGAAGTTCGTCTGTAAGTGTCCCGTCACGTTATTTTTGTATTTCACGTGTAATTAAAACATGTTTACGCTTCTCGCAGTGTTACTGGGATCTGAGAGTACAATATACAAACATATACATTATACCTACCATAAAGCTCTTGAGAACTTTTAACAAGAATGTCTATAACGGAATATTTAACACATATAATATTTTGTTCTAAATTACCCACTGACAGCTGAGCCGATTTAATATTACTATATTTTAATGACTTACTTTCTAAAAAAAAACATCAACTTGTTTTCCAGTGAACAATTGTTTATGAAAGCAGCTGACCTGCTAGTAAGCGAAGGATACGCGGCAGCTGGTTATAATTACGTTATCGTAGACGACTGTTGGTTAGCGAAAACACGATCGGCAGATGGAAAACTACAAGCTGACGAGAAGAGGTTTCCAAATGGAATCAAAGCTTTGTCGGACTATGTGAGTGCAAAGAAATTGCAGAATAATATTATATCATATGCATACCACGAGTTTACAGCAGCATATATTTAAATGTGTCTTGTATCTTGTACCATAACGTAAATAGCCCTAATGTTTATTTAGGTACTTTAAATTCGTACGAGTTAAGATGTACAATATTCGATTTCTTACAATCAATGATTTCATAATATATAATTTCCTTTCTTTCGTCTTCTGTTATTTCCTCCCTCTCCCATTAAGTTTAATGTATGATGATTTTGAGATCGAACTTCTTTAGTTTTAATATAGGCTATAGCATTTGTATCGCTTAAGAATGGGACAAGCCGCTTATCCTATTTTTCTAGATTTTTACTAATAAATAAAATAAAATGTTTTCCATATAAGTTATTTTTTTTAACATAAATACAAAACAGGTCCATTCTAAAGGCCTCAAGTTTGGTTTGTACGAAGACTGGGGTAACAAAACGTGCGCAGGATACCCAGGAGTGTTGGGGCACGAAGAGACGGATGCCAAAACGTTTGCAGAATGGGAAGTCGATTACGTTAAATTAGACGGGTGTTATTCCAACGTTAGGCTCATGGATAAAGGTATGCACGTTATTTTCATATTAATTATATTAGATTGTTAGAAAACCAATCTTTTTTATTTTAACTACTTATAAACAGTAAACTTATGTGGAATATTCTTTAAATATTAAGATTAAGATTTATGGGCAAAAACGGCAACATATTATTATAGACTGACTATCAACCCTAATCGTTTCCACCCTTATACTAAAAACACAATTTTAAGCACATTACTGCTCATAAAATGGTTTTTATCCATATTTAAAGTATGTACCATAAAATAACAAAAAATATAAAAACAATACATCTCAAGGTACGCGTCGAAACTAAAATGTCAACACTTTTACGTTGTTAAGAGTCTATATTATATAATATACAACATGTTGTGTCGAAATTATTTAATTTCACTCCGTCCTAATTATAAAATCGTGATAATTATTTCATTGGGTAGGATATCCTGAATTCGGTAAACATCTAAACAACACAGGAAGGCCAATGGTCTACTCTTGCAGCTGGCCAGCTTACCAAGAAGAAAAAGGAATGTTAGTAAGTAAACGCTATGAATTCTTAATTTAGCTCAACATACGTACCTACAAATGCAAATGCGTTTCAATGAATGCAATTATATCTCTTTTTGTATAATAAATAAACAGATTAATTATGCATCGATGGCCAAACATTGTAACCTTTGGAGGAATTATGACGATATTGACGATTCGTGGGATAGTATGATAAAAATAGCCGATTACTTTGCTCTTAAACAAGAATTTTGGGCGAAATTTGCAGGACCCGGTCATTGGAACGATCCAGATATGGTTTTTATCAAAATATAATTATTCATAAATTAATTATTCAAATATTTATGTCAAATAAATGTTTTATTAGTTGTTGATTGGAAATTTTGGTTTGTCATACGAACAAAGCAAAACACAAATGGCTATTTGGGCTATTCTGGCAGCACCGCTTCTTATGTCCAATAAGCTGTCAGATGTCCGACCAGAGTTTAAAGCAATTTTGCAAAACAAAGAAGTCATTAAAGTCAATCAAGATCGTCTAGGCATTCAAGGAACAAGAGTTTTTAAGGTTATCTAACAGAATTATCATTTAAATTGGCTACGATGTTGCCAAAAATCATGCCTAGGCGAAGGAACAGGGCTTAAGAAATAAACAAGTAGTTTTTTTTTTAGGATAAAGGTATTGATATATGGACAAGACCAATTGAACCTGTGCGTAATGGGCATTTCTCATACGCCGTAGCATTTGTAAACAGACGCGTTGATGGTGCTCCTTATGCTTATAATATAACGTTACAAGACTTAGGTTTAACTAACAATGAAGGTTATACAATTCAGGTAATACAAATTTCAAACCTTTACTGTCCCCAACTATATTCAGTAACTAATATTAATACTACTAGGCCACTTATGATATTAAATACTATATTTTAGAATCTGTATGATCAAGAAAATGGGCTATTTTGTTTTAATACTCTGAAAACACTGGTCAAAGTTCGAGTAATTCCTTCAGGTAAATGATTACTTATAGTTATTAATTAATATATTTGCACTATTCTATACAAACCATTATCAGTTTTCTTAGTTGAGTACTACATAATTTGTTATTATTACATAAAATGTAAGAGTAGGTTACTACTTTTATGGTTTACTCATTAAAAAACTCATTATATATTAGTTTTATACTGAATTTGTTTCAAGTGATAATTTATTCAACAGGGGTAGTGTTTTTACGAATTAACGTAGAAAGCTCAAAATGTGATCAAGATACCACAAAGAAAAAGTATGTTTTTATATAATAAAATTCAACTCAATTCTCGAGACACAAGAAAATTGACAATACAATTTGATTAAGTAAAGTTTAATGTAATTAATATATTTTTTTACATTTTTTAATCTGATTTTTTTTTTTTGGCTAACAAAAATAGGCCATATATATAAATTTTTATTTTTGTAGTTAACAAAATAATATATTATATAAAGAAGTACTCTAATGATACATATTTTACTTATGATATATTATAAGAATATGTCTTATTATTAATGGAAATTGTTGCAATCAATGACCTTACTTGTTTTATATTTCTTATACACTGGAATTCTCCATCCAGTATATCACCTATAATTAGAAAATGAAAATATTTTTGAAAAACGTATTGATAATTGAACTATTATTTTTACCTTTAGTCACGTTAATTGGATCAGGTAGAAGAAAAACTGTCTGTTTCCAATGTGTGGGAATACTTTGTGGTGCCGTGGACATGGTAATAGAATTTTCATTCTCAAATATTGAGTCAAAATACCCAACAATGCTTGTCAACGGACAAGTTTTAGTGATGTTTAGTTGAAATTGGACTTTAAAATTGGTAGAATTTGTATCACATGTATACATATTGAAAGTACAAAGTTTAACTTCTTCGGTAACAATACAATCTGCAGGTACAATATCTATATGTGCCTTGTTTAGAGTTTCAGTTTTCAGCGATGGCATATGAAAGCCATACACGTCTGACCAAAAGCCCAATACTTCATTGTATTTTTCTATATAAATAAAAATATAATAAAAAAATTACACAAATAAAATAATGTTCGTAAAATAATGAGCTTATTAAATATATTGATTGTATTGGACAAAACGTTATTATAATATTTAATTATCATGAAATGTATAGATAAAAATTAAAATTAATTAGTCAAGTCAATAATAAAATATGTATATTTAATTGCAATACATAGTTAATCAGCAAAATTAGCCAGTTTTACCAAACTTATTCAATAATTTACAATAATATTTGTACATAGATTATATTTTGACAGAATTTTAAAATCTAAATTTCATTCATTTAAAATCTCTGATGGGCTAAATATTAAAGATCTTTTAGTTATATACATATTAGTAGAATATGTAATAAAATGTCCATCTTTATTTTAGTATGCCGAAACATATAATAAAAAGTCAAAAAAACCTATAAACAAGTATACAATTATATTAGTTATCTAACGACCAGGCTGATTGGGTTAACATAAATTGACCCTATGCATTATTTAGTATATGTAATGTGCAAACACTTTTAATGTGTAATTTTCCATAATGCTATTAATGACTTAAACAAATATGTAGTACAATTTTACATATGAATGAGTACAGATTGAAGATATTTCTCTTAGCAACTTTTGAAAATATTAATTACATCTAACAAAAATGTTTGAAGAAGTATTGTTTTAGCGCAGTATTTAAATCTTAAATAAAATAGATAGTTATCCATGTATTTTGAGAACAGTATGTCTATGCACCCTGTAAAACAATCATGCTTACCAGTATCACTAACACCACTGATGAATAAATTACACTCATTAGGTAAAATAACGCCGCCTTTATTCAAAAACTTATTACGGGCAAATATTAGACTATCCAACATGGATTCAAAGAGTAAGAAATACCCCATCCACTCGGAAACGATAACATCAACTTTTTCAACTGGTAAAGTAACATCTTCAATTCTCCCTTTAATTGGTACAATAATACTTTCAAATCCATTTTCCCTATAAACATAAAGTAATATAAATAATTTTAAAACATGCGACTAGAAAGAAAGTAATTGTACCTGAAATTATCTATTGCATTATACATAATATCAGCTTCATCAACAGCAAAAACTTTGGCTGCTCGTGCTTTAGCCATAAACATAGATAATATTCCACTACCCGTTCCTAAATCCAACACAGTTTTTCCAGCAAATTTGGGTGCATTGAGTAGTATAGCTGAACAATAACTTTGAGTTCTTACTTTGTCCTAAGAAATATTAAATTGAAATTTGTATTATAATTCAGAATATTCATTAAGAGGACATTGTTCCTTCAATTTTCTTAGCGGAAAACCTGACTACACAAAATACATTTTACTTTTCCATAATGGTTTTAGAGTAAAAACCATATCATATCCTTATAACAAAATAATTCTTTAAAAAAAAATTATCAAAGTTTTAATAAATTAAAAAATGCTTTTTATTGTCTGCCTTTGGTCTTAAACTATCGTAGACCGAAAGTAAAACGGATTCTACTATACTAAAAAAAATACATAATTGTTTAAGCCTAAAATTAATACTTTACAATTTCCTATACAGAATTCCATAATAAATAGGGTGTATAACGCTCTTTAACATAATTTAATGGGTTTAATTACACCAAATATAAGTCGTATTGTAAACGCTGTATGTACATACCTAATATTTAATGCATGATTTATTTATTTATGCATGTAATCATAATAAAAATTGTGTACCCACAGTTAGAGTACGTAATTTCCCACTGCAAAGTACTTCTATAGTATAGCCAGAGAAATTCTGTATGGAAAATTGCCATACTACCAGGGATTTTTCATTTGTTACTCTCACAAAAAATGTTTTTCATCAAAACTAATTTTAAGATATAATACAAGCACTCGAAATTTGCAACACTTGTTATAAAAAACTCATAAAAATATAACCTCTGAAGTCATAAAATTCTTATAGTCCTACAAAGATTGCTCCTTATAATTACACCCGCAGTCTTACATGTGAAAAGTGAATTTTTTTTTAGATATATTTCAGTATGCATACTATATGTTTATTATGCATTTAATATACAGTAGTCTCTCTAATCTGGACTTGATGGATTGGACGAGCAAGGTCTAGATTGGCGAGACTCCACTGTAATGTAAATATGGTATGTTAATCACCTTAAGCATTTCAAAATGTATATCGACTGACGAATAAGAACCAAAATAGCTTTGATCATCTTCTAAGTTTATAGACGATGCTGTGTTTATTGAATCTTCTGTTTTAGTTGATAAAACTTTTGTCAAAGTATTCTTCATTTGAATAATTTGCTCATGAGCATCAGCGAGCTCCTTTTCTTTTAATTCTAACTGAAATTATATGCTTACGTAAACATTAAATAAAAATTATTGGATTAATTTGTAAAATGTTTGTGATAATACCTGTTTTGTAACAGTTTGTATTTTCTTTTGTATATGGCTAAAATGTTCTGAAGATAACGTAAATTGATTATTTTCAAAATTCACAGTAAACCCAGATTCTGTTTCTTTATCGTCTTCAATAACATCATCAATATCTAAAAAATAAATTGAAAATAAAAAAAACTTATTATTTTAATTAATTGTATGTTTACATTAAAAAATAAACCCTTAGGTATAGTGGGGAAGGAGTATAGTTAGACCAGTATAGTCATCGGATTGTAGAAGTCATAATTGAGAGTGATGAAATTATTTTGACACTTTGGGAGTCTGTAGATTGTAGAAACATGAAGTATTGATAAAAACCATTGTGAAATCTACCTATCTATCATTGTGACCTCAAACTTGAAATCAGAAATCTGCAAATCTAATAATTCAAAAGTTAACTTGTACAGTAGCTATTTGTACTTTAGCACTGTATACTATTTTGATATAGAATATCAAACAAACAAAATTAAAAATTAAAAGGTATACTCATAATAGATAGAAATAAATAGAATGCTAATTAATTAATCCTAAAATTGAATAAAAAATTGGTAAGTGTTAATGAAATAAGCTTGTATTTGCTCAACAATAAAAATCAAGTTCAAGCAACTATAACTTTTGAATCAGTATAGTCTCTGTATTTTTAGTAGATTTAAAATCAATATAAAAAAATTAACTAAGTAAACTAAGTATAAAAATAAATACCTAGTTATAAAACACATAAATGCTTACCTATCATTAACCAAGGATCATCTTTTATTACTGGATTCAAGTACTTCTCATCAGTCCAGGGTTGAGACTCAGTTTCAAAAATTTGACTTGGATTAAAATGTTCATTTTGTATTTGTAACCTTATATAATTTACACATTTTATATATGAATAAAAGTCCATATTATATTTTCGCTTTACTGCTGAAAAGTCAAAATTGTGGTCTTTAGCACAGTGCACCATTGCTTCAGAAACATCGTCGTATAACTGTTCACAAAATAAACATTTTACTGAACTAGGTCCATTTTCTACCCAGTCACCAAAACTATGATCTGAATCCGAATCTATAGACATCTAAAAATATTATTTTATATTATTAAAATATTGTTATGATTTTGCTAATTTGTTTTTTCATATTATTTTTGACATTATTAAAAATGTATTTTTACATCCCTATCACCTAATTTTAGTAATATATTAAAATATTAAAGACAATTAATTAATAGATACATATATGAATATATGATCCCAAACAATATTGGAAAAATAAATAAATATTGTAATAAACAGGAATTTTAAACATGTAGTTCTATAATTTATATTTTCTAAGACCATTGATTTACAGCATTGTAAGTTAACATTTTTTTTAAGATTTTTTAAATATGATTCAAGTAAATACTTGAATCATAATCTTAATCTTATAAATATATACTTATTAAATATTATTATTGAATAGCAATAATGTTTAATTTTTTGAGATGGAATAAATTAAGAACATTACAAAATTAACTATACTGGGTATAACTGTATCATCTACAAGAGGACAGAGAGTAAGTTAAATTTAAAATTGTATGTATTTTAAAATATTATTAATGTTTGATTACAAGTATTTATTTAGTTTACTTACAACTTAAATAACTATTAGCCAAAAAATATTATGAATTTATTAATAATATAGGTTTTAAATATAAGAGACACTAGAAACTATTTGAAAGTAAAAAGTACTTAACGATTTACAGCGAGCATCGAAGTGCTATGAAATCAAAAGAACGTCATTTTAACTTTAAAAAATCAAAACATGTTTTTTGTCAAATAAAACCCTAACCTTATTAATGTGATAATATCACAGATATTATGATAATTGATGACAAAATCATGGAAGAAGTAAAAATATACATTCTATAATATCCATGTGTTTTATACTCCATTGATAAGATAACGTTACACCGCAACGGCGCAACTTCCCATAAATACCACAATTCGTAACACCTGTTTTATGTTTATTGAGTACCAGTTACCAATATAGTTCCTTATTTGGATATGTTTCTACCTTTTTACTATTGTAAACGTGTTTAATATACATTATTAGTATTAATTATTTTTTTATTTTACCATATGGCCAAGTTTAGCCGTCTAAGTCAAATAATTACAGTAGGCGTAAGTGCGACTTGTGGTAGTCTAGTCACATATTATGGATTCAACACGGGTGTGTTAACAGATAGAAGCCAACAGCAGTATTACAATATTTTTGAAAATAAAGAATCTAAGTGGGACTCTAACTGGGACAGGTAAGCCAGTCAATGTTTATACTATATATTTTGTAGTGCCTACATCATTGCATATGTGTTTTATATGTTCATTTTAAATGTTGTTTGCTTGTCTAAACTTTTAATTTATCAGTGTATAACTGTGACTGGGGTGTGTTTTAACGTTTTCAGATGTTAATTGAAACCCAATATAATACATAGCTACTTTCTAACAAAATAATAATATTAACATACAATAATGGATTCAAAAAAACGAAGTGGTCGCCAACAGTTGGTCAAAACAAAAAAAGAAAATATTCAAGTAATTGTTCGATGTCGACCAATGAGTTCTAAAGAAATTTCAAATGGGTATACTGAGGTTGTAAAAATGACTAAAGAAGACAATTCTGTTGCTGTAGCTGTGCCTAAAAATGATGGTTCAGAATTCAAGCAATTTACATTCGATTCAGTTTTTGATTGGAATTCTACTCAAGAAGAATTATATAAAAAAATGGTTCACCCGTTAATTGAATCAGTTTTAAATGGCTTTAATGCCACAATATTTGCTTATGGACAAACTGGAACTGGTAAAACTTATACAATGGAAGGTCTCAAAGATGATAAATATCCTATAAGTGATCAAACAGATCGTGGCATTATACCTCGAACATTTGAACAGATATTTAAAACTATTGAACAGTCAAACAATACACAATATCTAGTATTTTCATCTTATTTAGAAATTTATCAAGAAGAAATACGTGATCTGCTAGATGCTAAACCTAAAGGAAAATGTGAGCTTCGCGAAGATAAAGATGTTGGTGTGTATGTTAACAACTTAAATAAATATATTTGTAAAAACGTTCAAGAAATTTTAAAAGTTATGCATGAAGGCAACAAAAATCGAACAATAGGTGCTACAGATATGAATGAACATAGTTCGAGAAGTCATGCTATTTTTACAGTAACTGTTGAAATAAAAATTTCTGCTGAAAGAATCCGAGTAGGAAAATTGAATCTTGTGGACTTGGCTGGTAGTGAAAGACAAAGTAAAAGTGGTGCCACTGGTCAGAGACTTAAAGAAGCTGGAAAAATTAATCTTTCTCTTTCGACTTTAGGAAATGTTATACATGCACTCGTTGAAGAAAACTCTACACATATACCTTATAGAGATTCGAAACTCACTAGACTTTTACAAGATTCATTGGGAGGTAATTCTAAAACATTAATGATAGCTAATATTGGGCCAGCCAGTTATAATTGGGATGAAACCTTGACGACATTACGTTATGCTAACAGAGCTAAAAATATTCATAATGCCCCTCATGTTAATGAAGATCCTAAAGATGCTCTTATTAGACAATACCAAGATGAAATATCTAAACTACGAAATATATTAAACGAAAAATCATCTAAAAAGACAACAAAAAAAGAAAAAAATTATGATATGGAAAATCTTCAAGAACATACTTTATATTTAGAAAAACAACAAGAAGATCTAAATGAAAAACGTAACAATATTCTTGAAAATAAAGACAATTTATCTACTGATGATCAAAATAGAATGCTATATGATATAGAATTGGAAAAAGCCAAAGTTGCTGGAGAAATGGATTTTATGGCATCTTTAATTGGACGCATTCAATCTATGGAAAGTAGTTTATTGAGGGGAGGAAAATCAATCACTGATCATTTGCACGAACAACAAAGTCAAATTGATAAACGCAACAAAGAAATCCAGGAAGAAATACGGTTAGAACAAGAGCTTGCCAAGAATTTAGAAGAAATAGCTGGCTATACTGAATCAATTAGAGAGACATATTCAACTCTACTGGAAGAAGTAGAATCGAAACAAGCTAAATTTGATAAGCTGTTGACACTCTATCAAAATCTTAAAGGGGAATTAAAGAAAAAAGAGGAAGTGTATTCTAATCAAAGGAGAGAAATTGAGTCAAATCAAGAAGCAATGACCAGGCAATTGAAATTAGGTAATATAATCATGTCTAATTTTATAGCTCCTGATGAACTTCAGAGTGTCAAAGATAGATTGTATTATGACGATGACACTAATGAATGGCGGTTGATCAGTAACCAATTAGAAGGTCATACACGAGGTTGCATTAACGGTGTAATTAATACAAGAAGAAATGAAAATTTAATCACTTTGAATTTGCTCACGCTTGAGCATAAACTAGAAGAATATAAAAAACCAGAAATATCCCCTTCACTTTTATCAATGCTTGATGAAGCATTAAAAGTCGAAGATGATCTACAAGTAGATGCTTCTATTGCAGAACGTCCCAGGAATGTTCGTAGTGCAATTGGGCCAAAAATCAAACCAACTATAAATAAAAACTATCCAAGAGCTCGAGGCTTGATACCAAAATAAATGAAAGCTTTATTATTCAATGATGTGCACTATATTTATATTTTTTTTTTTCCTACTAACCAAAGACATAATTTTTATTTGTATTTATATCTTTGTTACAAATTCTTCTTTTGCTTTATATTAACTTTTTACATTCCTAGTCATATTTATATGGGATAATCCTTTTTTTTTTGCTTTATTTATTTTTTATTTATTACTCTATTTATGTTACTTTATTTCCTATTTTCTAAAAATGTGTTAATCAAAACTAACTTAGTCATAGTGTCTAGTCTTTTGCACAATAAATATCACTAATAAATGAAATATTTCTAGTTTCAATGTTATTTTTTTACCTAACTCGTTTTATTTTCCACACAAATGAGCATGTGATTTTGTGTATCTTAATGTCCAATTTCTAGGCGACTACCTACCAGTCTTGTGAAACCAGCTAACCCAGATAATGATAAGTCCCAAAATGAGTACAATACAAAATTGGAGAAAAAAAAATCTCAAGCAACTAGGTACATTTTTCTTATTAGACATGGTCAATATAATTTAGAAGGCGAAACCGATGAAGAGAGAAAACTGACTGAACTTGGTATGTAGTGTTGAAAAATATGAAACATGATTAATTAAAATGAATTAATTAATAACTAAAAGGAAATCAAAGAAAATTATGTTGATAATTTTTTTTTTAAGGGAGAAAACAAGCTTTATTAACTGGTGAACGCTTAAGTGTGTTAAAGTTACCATGGACTTCAATTACTCAGTCAACTATGACACGAGCAATGGAAACTTGTTCATTGATTCAAAAACACTTATCTTCAGATATTCCACTTACGTCAACCGATTTGCTAAGAGAAGGAGCACCAATACCACCGGATCCACCCTCTAGGAGATGGAAACCCGATCTTTATGTTAGAAAATGAGTAATTTTACTAAAGTTTTTAAATATTAATCAAATTGTATTTTAGCAGTTCTACCGTGATGGGGCTCGTATTGAAGCGGCTTTCAGACAGTTTTTTCATAGAGCTCCTCCAGAACAAAAAGAAGATTCATATGAAATAATTGTTTGCCATGCCAACGTTATAAGATATTTTGTTATGAGGTAATTGTGTTAAAATTGTAGTTTTAAATTTTAAATATACATGTATATTAATATATGTATTAATTTTTTTGTGTTTTACTATATAGGGCATTGCAACTATCCCCGGAAGCATGGTTACGTCTTAAATTGGACCATGCGAGTATTACTTCATTTGCCATCTTTCCTAATGGTCGAGTAATTTTACACAATTACAGTAATTCAGGCTATATGCCACCTGATGCAATCAGTTCTTAAATATTTATATTTCTGTAATTTTATTCTAATAAGATAGCTACTTTTTCTAATCAAAATAAAAGAATTCATTATTTTTATACTACATGTTTGTCAATTGAAATCCTTAATTTTATTTATAAATAATTTATTAGTTTTACACTACATAATTATTGTCAGTTTGTATCCTCAAGATAACATGAACACTTTTATGATTATAAATGCATTTTGGTTATTGTTCTGTATTTTAATCTTCTTCTTCATCTTCGCATTACACTCCCAACCACAAGGGGTCGGCCAATAATTGTTATTTATTTAAATTAAACATTAATAATGACTCATTGTTAATGTGGAGGATTTATGTATCCATTTAATTAAAATTAAAAAGTTAGTTCAGTGAGGTAGGTCGGAGCATAGTGGAATTGGAGAGGTCACAGGTCTATAGAAATTATTATAACTGAAAGTAATAAAATCACTTATAAAAAAACACTTTGATGCGAATCTGTGGGTAGTATGTATAAACCACACGTATCAACCTAAAAACTGACTACGGTGAAAGTGTAATTTTCCTCTATGACTACATATTTTTGAGGAAATTGTACATGTTATAGCCCCATTCTAGATCTACCTTTGGTGTAATTTTCATACATAAAAAGCGAAAGAAAGAAAAAAATTCCACCCCTTCTAGGAGAAAGGGTGTACGATAATTGTTTAGGTTGTTAATGTTTGTCGGTAGTTCTATATTTTAAGAATATTCTATACAAATTTGGAACTAAACAATTTTGAAAAAAGATAAGAAGCGCCATATTATTTCAAGTTGTAAAAAATGTAAATTTTTCTCGATTTTTAAGGGATGAACTTGTTGAACTTTTAGTCTATTAAAATACCTTACAGATACGATTTCTGATTAAGAGATTCAGTGGTTCAGTGGCTTGAAAGATATTATGGGTACAGACACAAAAATATAAAAAAAAAACATTGTAAATACAATACCTTCTCAGCTATCGCATCGAATTGTATATCATGTATCACGTTGACCACCTAAAGTCTAAACAATTATCCTTTCTCCTAGAAGGGATGGAATTTTTTTTTCGCTTTTTCATGCAAAGTTTTAGGGGTTATACAAAATACCTACGGATTCACATCAAAGCATTTATTTAAAAATTATTTTATCACTTTCAATTATAATAATTCCTGTAGACCTGTGACCTCTCCATCCCCACTATGCCCCGACCCCACTGTACTAGGTTTTTTATCTACATGCATTTATATTTTGTAGACAGGTTATTTTATTACAATAGTTATAACAAATATTAAAAAAATATTAATTGTATCAAGTCTACTTTGTAATTTCTCGATAAATGCATTTTAAGGTTATAAATCATATTATTCACTGTAAAATAAACATCAACTGTCCAAAGTATCTCATCTTTCAAGAAGAATATAATTTTTTGTGTAAATATTTTATACTCTTAAATTGAACGTAGAATTTAATTATCACCTATATAATATTTTAGATAAGGTACAACTTACTAGGCAAGAACAAAATAGGGGTATGGATATATTGTGTGTTTCCCCTATATCGAAAATTGCTATTGTAATGTTTTCAATGATTACATAACGTAACTTAAAAAAAATAGAGTCTTGAAATTTGTTAGCACTCACACTTGTAGCTACTACTTAAACTAAATGCCATAATACCAATAGTAGATATGAGCCAATAAGCAAAGGTAAAATACAAATATACAGCTGTCTAAAGTTAAGACCACAATTTTGATTCAATCATTGTTTGCCAATAAAAATAAAAATTAGAGGATGCTCATTATTAATCATTATAAAGGGAAAAAAGCAAGGGTCCGGATAAAGTTCCTGGCGAAATTCATAAATTACTTAACTTAAAAAAAAAATTCTTAAGTTTAGCTCGGAACTTTATCCAAACCCTTAAAAAAAATATTCACGGGATTAGATTGATATTTTCTAGCAATGAATGAAACTTAATATATTTTCCTCTGTAATCGATTTTAAAACATTTTTTGTTGGCAAAATAAAATGTGCTAGTCCTGTACAAAGTGTATGTTGTAGTCTATCGAAATAGCTATTTTTTTTTGCAACTTACTCTAATAGACAACGAGTTTTTCCCCATGTGCTTCATAGTTAAAATTATATACCTCTTATGTCGCACAACACACTCCCTATATTTATTAGGCAATTGGAATAGGAGATTTCTTGTAGAATCTTAATTATAGCCATAATAATTGTAGTATAGAAGTATTAGTATTGTAATGAGTAGGTTTTTTTATGGGTAGATAGTTCAATTATTTTATCAGTAACCATTAATATTTTTATAAACTAGGTATTATTGACAAAAAAAGTACACATTTTTTATATTATGGTATTATATTATAATATACATACATGGTAGTTCTTTATACTTATATACATATATTTCTTCTGTCCGTGTGTAAGTATTCAAACTCCTCCTAAACGGCTGGACAGCCGACAATGAAATTTTGTGTGCGCTATTAAATTGATTTGAGAAAGGTTTAGATTCACAATTTGATCCAATAGAACATGTTTTTAATTATTAATTCATTAATATTAATTTATATAATTATTAATATATCTACGGTATTATTTTTCATACCACAGGGATACAGTGATCCGATCAGCTGATTGTGTGTCTATAATACACTAATTCTCGGGCAACGACGGGTCGGGACAGCTTGTATATTAATGATTTTATAAATATAATTTTTTTTAAATTATTATGTTTAATTCACATAGTACTTTCCAAAAAATTGATGAAATTAGCATCAAATTTTGTAAGGACCTAATTTTCTAAAATAATTTCCCCCAAAAATTTTTATATTTTTCTTCATCTACTCTTGTTAATTTTTTTTTTATAAATTTGATGACTCGTGAGGGCTTTGCCCTCTCCTTAATCTTACCACTGGCTAAAATGTAACTGTAATAACAATTATATAATTAGTAACTTAGTTATTATTAGGTTTTGTGTAGTTTTATATTCTTGTATTAATGTAGTGTAAATTGTGTGCCTGTTTATTATTACATAGTTTTATACGTTTTCACATCCATATATAATATAAATATTATATTTTTATTTCAACACATCTAGACATCGACTATCATAAATAATAATGGCATCTACCGTTAAGTTGATCTAATCATAATTAATATTATTAGGTATAATCAACAATAATTATAAAGAATATGTTTTTATTAAATACTGTGTATAAACATAAACCAATAATAAAAATAAATAAATCATTTATTGTTCATAATGCGAAACGTCACAGGCCTGATTTTAAATCCGTTGAGAAAAAACTATAGGATAGATATCATTGTAATGAGCAAAATTATTCGACAGGTTTGTAGATTCTGGTGCAAATGATGTCGTTGACAGTTAGGATCTAGAAACAATACACATATAGTTATTAATTACTATAATATTATTAGTTATCACTGGCCGAGGACCATTATTAAAGATAATAGGTATTATCTTATTTGTACCATTTTTAATTCATCAGGCTTGAACTCTCTCACAATGGTCGTTTCTACTTTGTCGCCTATTTGCTTGTGCACCAACTTGTTACCTTCCTGAGTGATGATGGACTTGACCTTTCGTCCATCTAGTGTCTCCTCATCGAACTGTTCGCCCATCTTAAACACCGTGGACGTGTTTTTGAACGTCGAAGTCGATTTCAATGTATACTTGTCATCGTCGCCTTTGTTCAGTTCTACAATCGGAGATATACTGTTGCCTACTTTACGGGTTATCATACCGACTCCTAAAAAATTGAGTATTGAAATTTTATTATTAATTACAGACACCTAAAGGTTAAAGTATTATTTTAAAACACGTCGACGTTCAGATACCTAAGTGAAAACTAAGGGTGGATCCTACCTTCATAACGGGAGGAGTGGGTTTTAAAAGTGAAATATTTATAAGTAAAGTACAAAGTTATCAGTATACCTACTATTCAAATTATCATAATAGTATAATATTCGCATGTTCAGTTCATGCATACCCATATTAAACTAATTTATATTTACTGCTTAACTATTTTGAATTAGGATTTCTTTTAAATGTTATTTATTAAAATCCAGTTGAAACATAATAAGTATATAAAATATACAATATGTATATTTAAGTAGGTAAAAAAATAATACAAAAAATCTATAGAATGGCATTGTCAACGGGGGCGGTGATCCATTGGGGGGGAAAAGGAAAACCATAAGAGAATTGGAGTTCCAAGAAAGTAAATTGTGAAGAGTTGAGAGCGCAATCAGACAGCAAATGAGAAAACTCACGCGTACCTCTGATATTTATATTCGAAGTGTATCACATTCAACTTTTCATGTACAATGAATCATAAATCATTACCTACATTATTATGTAATACCTATCTAATATGTAGTACCGCAGTTGATAAAAAATTATGCTGTTTTGGCTTTATTACCACCGGTTAAAACGATGTGTGAAATAATTACTGTCAAGTTTAGTAACGTGCTAAAGGCAAAATAAAATAATTTCTATACTTATAACTTATAACTGTATTCAAGTACTCATGTATTAAGTATATATTTTTATCTAACTATAAAATGGTTCATCAAGGGTTAGTGGAAAGAGTTGAAAGAGTAAGAGGTAAAGTATGATAATTGATAAATTATCTCCCAACTCCGTCAAATTCCTATAAACGTTACGAAGGGACTATAAAAAAAAAATAGTCCAGATTAACCCTAACCGTCTGGACGGTCACTTGCATATGTATTTAATTATTATTTGATGAAAAAATGTGCTTCAGCGACAGCTGTATTATTAAAGTTTCTGTAATCTACTTTAATCTACCAAACTAAATACAAACATAAATAATTTATAAAAATCACTAAGCCAACACTGATTGTAATTTGCACCCAATAGTATTTACCGTAGTGTATAATATACCTAATATTTAACATTTTCATTTAAAAATAAAAATTAATGTTTTGTTTTTTTAATACTGCTTGAAAAAAAATTCTTGGCCTCTGGACATATTTTTATTTACTTAAGTATAACACAAATATTATTTTTCAATTAATAATGTCTAACGAGTATATTTATTGTTTTTGTTTTTAAAAAGGCAAACTTCATTTTTATATAGATAACGTTTTAGTAAAATGTATTTGTTAATTGCTTTTGTATTAATATACCTATTTTGTGCGCTCTGAATAAATGACAGTAAAAAGTCCACCGTCAAGGTAGTGTCTCAATTATCATTATTTATAATTTATAACCATTATACAGATTACATCATTTAAGGAGATTATAACGTTTTTAATAATCATCATTAACGATTTCTGTTTCCCGATTTCTTATACTCTAGGGAGTATAGAGAATAGACAATACGTTAAACTAAAAGCTATTTAAGTCATTAGCTCTTTCAGCCTCATAAACAAATATATTTTACAATGGCAAATCTCGTTAATTGTTAAGTGTATTACAGTTTCAAACTTTGTAGACTGTAGGTAGTTAATATACTAGGGGATCAACTTATTATGAACCACTCAATATCTCATTGGCTTAATTAAGAAATTACATTTTTTCTTTACAAAGTGTTTTTATGCAATGTGATCTCAATTTCTAACAATTTTTTTTTGTTTTTACCCACCTCCCAACTTAGTTTTTTTGATAGCAACTTTTGAAACTTAAATGGTAACGCATACATTTCATTAACATTTTGACTGGTCGATAACCAGTTTAGGATAATTTTTTTGGAAGTTATTGAAGTTTCAAGTTCAGGGCAGGAGAAAAGGTGGAGTGTAGTATTATTTTTATCTGCGCACATTTTCAACCACACTCTCAACCTCTCCCATTTTAACTTTTAAACTCTTATAACTTTAAAAATAATTATCTAAAACTAGTTACCGAGCAGTCAAAATGTTTAGTACATTATTCTCAATTAAAAAAGTTAATGAAATGTATGCGTTACCATTTAAGTTTTAAAAGTTTCTTTAAAAAAGCTAAGTTGGGAATTGGAAGGGAGGTAAAAACAAAAAAATGGTGTGAAATTTAGATCACATTGTATAAAACCATTATGGAAAGAAAAAATTAAATTATTAATTTAACCCAGTGAGATATTGAGTGGTTCACGATAAGTTGATCGCCCTGTATGCAAACAGTTGTGACATTTAAACTTAAAGGCTAATAAACAAAAAATAACAATAATAAAAAAACCAGTACAGTGAGGCCGGGGCATAGTGAGGACGGAGTGGTCACAGGTCTACAGATTTTATTATAACTGAAAGTGATATCACTTTTAAATAAACGCTTCGATGCGAATCTGTGGATAGTATGTTCAAACCAGTTATAGCGGTTTAGAAGATATCGTGGGACCAGTAATAATGTACTAAAAACTTAATATTTAGTCTTATGCAGGGTGGATACGATAAGGGTTGATCGTCTGTCTATAAAAATGTAATGCCATAGTTACCCATACATCGTAATTAACAATATGATGAAAATATTTTCATTACCTGTTGACTGTTGATTCACACACATATAGCAACCTAGAAACTGACTACGGCCAAAGTGTAAATTTGCCCTTTTTTGGGGCTTTTCCTTAATAAAAAAAAATTTTACTACAGATTTTTGAGAAAATTGTATATGTTATAGTTCCATTTTAGATCTACCTTCGGTCTAATTTTCATACATAAAAAGCGAAAGAAAGTAAAAAATTCCACCCCTTCTATAATTTCTGATCTATAGAGTAAAGAGTTGCTACATTAAAATGCCGATTTAAAGTAAAGTCTATAATCTATATATTTTAGTACTTTACTGCGTACTTCTGTAAGTAGTTTACCAAGTATAATTAAATTAGTTCATTAATTATTTTTTATAAATGTTATTTTCTTTTTCATGACTAATAAATCATTTGTTTTCTTTTAACATTAGTCAGCTATTTTAAGTTGATCTGGCAAGTTAAAACGTTCAACAAAATATGATTTTTGAAATTATTATATAGAGTTTTACATCTGTTACTTGTAATAGTTATGTGTGGTAAAACCGCAGACGTTAATGTGGGTAGAGAACCGGTATCTAGATTCTAGGTGTACTTAATACTCGAGTCGTGGTACAAGTTCATGTCTACTAACAGACCGTTTGAAAACCAATTGTTATGAAATGCACATTTTAGTGTATCCCAAATTTTTTTGAATATCCCAGGTAGGTAAATACCTACCTCGAATGTAAATACTTATTCTTAACTCCAATTACTAATTTTATTTAAATTAGATTAAAATGTTACACTGCTAATAGCCGTTCTCGCAGGTTTGGCTTAATAGTTATTAGCATGTCAAGCTTATAATTATAGTTTTTTTAAACTTTTTAGCTTAATTGGTAGGAGCTGTCATGAGCCATTGAACACTGACATCTGTTTTACAATTAAATTAGTAACACAAATTATTTTACACTGTCAGCGAATACGAAGTTCGTTTTTAATTGACATTAATTTACATTAATTAAAATTATAAATATAAAATAACGACAAATAGAAATTAGAAGTGCTAATTTAATAGTTCGTCATATTGATGGCCTAGGAAATAATTGAGAAGATAATCATTTTATTATCTTTATTACATATTTAAATTATGTATTAAATGTTTTGAATACTTTAACTAATTTATATCAGATTGTCTGGAAAATTTAAATCTGAACATTAGAAGTAAGTATCAATACCAAGTCATGTTTATTTCTTTTTTAACAATTTTTTTAACGTTATTAACGTTTAGATAATGTGGTGTTCAATGGACGATGGTTGAGTGACCTATCTAGAAGGAAATCTGTTTAAAATCGAATATACAGCTTTTATGGTAATAGTATATATGTGTACAGTACAAAGTACAATACGTTTGCTTTATTGAGTGTAACGGTAAGATAAAGCGGTGTGTGTTTGAGAAATTCCCAATAGTAATAAAATTATTTAAAAAAAAATTGGTACATTAGAGTGAATTGACAATTAAATAATAAGTCTGGCACTAAAAAAGTATAAAATAATTTCGCAACCGAAACCCTAAAATAATTTCCCCCTGTTTTTTTTTAATTTTAATTTTTGTATATATAGGTGTGTTGAAATATCGTGTCGTTCATTGTGTTGCGCCGACTTCAAAATTAAATGATACAGTTTTAATATGTGTGTTAATAATTAATACTCAGCTCTTATATATTAACCTACAAGTTCCAAAGAGTTATCTTATACTTTTCATTTAATTGTCAATTCACTCAAATGTACCAATTTTTATGAAGTAGGTTTTTTGTTTTAATTATTTTATTTTAGGCTATTGAGTGGTAAGGATAATGGTTGAATATTATGGTATAATATATATATATATATATATAAAGAGACTGAGCCCTATTATTATATTTATTTACACAGATTCACATTACACAATATCGCATTATTTTTTTTAATGTATATCGAAATTGCAATATCTAAGTTCTAACATCTATCTACATAATATGATGTATTGCCAAGGCTATTCTTACCTAAGGCTTTCATGTATTCGTCGAATTTGTCGCTGGATGACAGCTTGTATTTCTTGTTCAAATATGCTTCCATTGTGGTAATGAATTGATAATATATGGATTTAAGCTAGCAATATTCGTAGGAAATGGATAAATGTTAAATGAAGCTCGGTAAATTCCAGTTTCTACTGTAACGTGTTCGAAACGTTTCTGTATGCTTAGTTATATGGCATACGGCATACCCTTTTTATCTATATACCGGTCTACCTCCTCTCACGCTTCAGCCACCACCACCATAGTCTCCTGCGCTGTCACTCGACACCACACACATGATAATCTTGTTTAAATAAAAACAACTGGCCAAGTCCTATGATAAACACATACACACACATTACACACAGCTGTTGTACAAGTCCAAAGGTAAGAGACCTTTTCACAGAAAAATAATTGTACAATTATTTATTACAATATTCCCTAGCGGAAATCATTATATTATGTTTTTTTAAACTAGGTATTAATTAAAAATCTCAATCATTTAACAATATGTTATATGTGGGATAGCAGCAACCCGTTTTCGTAGTATTAGTGTAATTTAGTTGAAAGAACAATGTTTCATTTAATATAGTCAATTTCTAAAATCTGATTGTCGTTATGATGATTACCATATTTTTTCTATGTAGTTTTAAAATATAGTGTTCAATTTAAGAAATACGTTCTATTTTATTTTATAACGTGCCTGGCACTTCATTTATCACCCTCTATATGCGAATAACATTATAAATGTTTTCATAATTAGTATTAAGATGATAAGGGTGAGGTAGCCTGATGAAGAATAAGTGAGCTGCTATTACTTATTATAAATAAACGTATGCAAATGTGTGAAGTGGGTAGAGAAATCATGACAACAAAAATTATTAAGAAGTATGGGGAGATTGGATTTAGCTATCCGACCACTATATTCATAAGTTTAGGCGGGGAGAAAAAAGAAGAAAATTAGTTAAAAATGTACTGATCATTTAATTCATCAAAATTAAATTACTAGGTACCTAACTGAATCTTAGTTGATTTAAAAAAAAAAGTTTTACCCTATTATTTACGCTTTATCTATTTAATAGAAATTGAATAATTTTTTAGTAAACGTCATTATCTAAATCTTATACTATAGCTCTGTTTTATGCATTAGCAGTATCACTAAATTAAAAAAAAAATTTTAGCTATAGACTTTTAACGCTTTTTTTTTTAACCATGAGGCATGTGTAGGCATATTTCGCCTTTAGTAAACGACATGAAAAAGTTTTGTTTACGACTAGGCTAATAACATCTAAATAAATATGATACTAATAAAAAAAACAAGATAATTTATTTTAAATACGGTTAGATTTTCATAATAATAACATATTATTAGTAATTTGTGAAGACATTTTTCTAAATTCTATAGTATTGATATAATGTTAAATACGATTGTTGTAATTAGACAGAGACATTATGTTTTTAGTTAATCTATTAATTTCCGCATCGTAGAAAATAAACTTGTAATGTATAAACTGTAACAAGTTATAATACAATGATAGGTACTCGAGCGGACAGTAGTCAAGGTACAAGGACATTTGCATGAGTCAACCTTGACCATGACCGCACAGATAGATCGTTATTTAGTAATGCTTTTACTATGGTTATTTTAATAAAAAATATAATTTTACATAAATATTATTAATCATTTGGAAAAACAATAAATTCCATGTAATCACTATCTAGGTGAGGCTTATAAAATCTGAATTTATAAAAAATAATAATGGTGGTATTTTTAAATATTGAAAACACAAAATACTAATAACCACAAGTCGCAACAGAAAAATAATATTAATTTAAATGTATTGTTATTAAAAAATGTAATTAATGTTCATTTACAATGTGTACCTCAATTAATAATTACAATTTAAAATAGTTTTTTTATGCTTGAATAAAGATTTTGTAAAATTCCAAATTTTTGGGGCCCCATCCTTAGAGATTAGTCGAACACTCAATAATAATTATTATTTATTATCCTATCCTAAATAGTTGTTATAGACGTTTTAGAGTTGTTCTCTTTCAATTTCTTACTATCACTATAATTATTTTTACTAGCTATAAATAAATAGTTATCTATTATGTATATTTATAGCTGTTTAGTTTGTAAACCTCGTCACTCTTGGTATAGTTATTGTAAAACTAAATTTAAGTATGTACTTTTGTAATTATGTTATTAGAAGCAACTAAATATATTAACATTGAAACGTCAAATTTAAAAAGTAAACAAGTTTTTCAAGATAAATATATTACCTGGCTATAAGCCCAAAACTAAAATAACGCATAAGACCAAAACTGCATTTTTAAATTGTACTTATTGTTTCAGCCTACAGGTAATGTGTTTTTGCTATTAATTAGTAACTACATAATATAAATTAACTGCAACATTGAGTAAGAAGTTTTGTAATATTGTTGAAAGAGCACTAAGTATGTCGTTTTTTAAAAATTTTTTTTTTTTAGGTATATATTATATTCTGGGGAGAAGTTTAAAAATTAATTTAATACCTATTTATTATAGGTGTTTATTTATTTAAACTATACTATACTATAGTTCCAACTATTACTAAACTCTAATAAAGTAACTAAGTATCACTTAATTCTACTCAGCAAAGTTAATTTGCAAATTTAAAAAAAAATAAAAATTATACAAATATGTAGATGTTTGAAAAATATTGCGCAACTCACAGTACATTTTTAAAAAAAATTTTTACACAATATTTGTAAACAAACGTTATGGTATTTATCTAATGGCTACTACAAAATATTTGGATATTTTTAGTTGGTATAATATTGTTTTAATCCAAAGCAATAAACATCATTAAAGCATCGTGTATCACAACGTATTATATTTTATTAAAATACGTAAATGGCAGTTAATATTTATTTCGGCTACATTTATGTTTATATTAGTACAAATAGTAATTATTGTTATTCTAGCGTTAGAAGCTTTAGTAACCCATATGTTTTTTTAAATTTTTAACTAAGTACTATTGACAATACAAGAACATACTACTAACTACACTGAAGGTGTACTTAGCATACCGCATTTAAGAATACAATTACATAAAATGTAATATTATATCGTACGTATACTTGTACACTGTAAGTCTTAACACTGTTTACAACCTGAGACATTAAAAAAATATATTATCCTTTCATTAAATTTAACCCGCGTGACGTGTAATTGATTCTTTACTCACAGGTGATGTAAATTCCACAAAATCAAGTTAAAGGGTTTGTGACATAATATAATATAAAGCGATACAGTGAGAATAGGCACCGTGACGATAAAATATGCAAGGTAATAATAAATATGTGTTATATTACAGACAACTTCAACATTACATATTAACACTATTTTCTGAACACATTGTTGAGCTGTAAAATTACACTATCGTGTTACAAAACAGTATCGTGGTACAAAATGATTTACCTTTGGTAATTGGTAATTTTTATTTATAATTAATACCTACAAGCTATACCTAAATATGTATTGCTAATCTAGCCTCTAGGGTAATTCCGATGGATTCCTGGCTACACTTAGGTGTTATTACTTTTCTGTTTTTATTTTTGACATCAGTAGACATAATATTAACATTGGCGATATTAAAATGAAATATATTAATCAACAAATATGTAACTATATTATATTTTTCAAATAACCTAAGGATTAAATTGCACTGCTAATTTGGATCTTATGTACAGATAAATTATTAAAATAAAATCTCCAGATCTCTTATCCGGCTGCTCATACATTAAAGCATAAAGAATATGTTTTGGGAACCATTTCACTGTCTCTTACCTTTTTTTGAGAATTTTAAGATGATAAACTGAACAACTCTAGTGTAATTTATTTAAAAGATAATTAAAATAAACAAAATTATGCATTTATTAAATAGTAATAAAATATTTAAGGTGTCATAATACGTTTGAATGGCGAGTAAAAATTTAGCTTTAAAAATAGTTTTGAATGACTTTCGTTTGCATCGTTACCGATATAACATAATATTAAATTGTTACACTGGATGACCCTGTATAATTCACAATTTGATAAAGATTCACGATTATGAATAAATATTTTTAGCAAATATATAATAAATAATAATATAAAGATAATATTGGAAGATATAAGGCGTGTCTAAATACTTGACAGCTCTGAGCTTTGTATGTAAATATTAATAAAGTCTAAAGCGAGAGGCATTATTACTTTTTTTTGACAAGTATTTTCGGATAGTGGTGTTACTTACCCAGAGCTTTCATGTAGTCGTCGAAGTTTTCGCTGGAATCCAGCTTATATTTTTTGTCAAAAATCAGAGACATGTTAAAATGTTAACTCGTAAAAAAACCGATAAAAAACACCAACTGCAGTAATTATAATGCAATAAATTTGTCGTGACGCGGTTTCGTTCACCGGTACGTTTGGGTCGACAAATATGCGGAACAGTCTTATTTATAACTTTGAATCTATGTTCGTGGCACCTCGGGTTGACTTTTATAGGACGGTGCTTACTACATTGCATAATATATATACTTTTTTTTAAACATCTACTCGTTATCGTCACTTGTCGCCTTTCGTCCTTGACGTTCAATTACAATCCATTGACAGACGAATCGCCGTACACGTACCCCGTGGAATTTATACGTCTTATTGTGTAAATCAAAATGTATAGAGTGGGGCGTTAATCCTGTATGATTTCCGAGGCAATAACAGTATAATTAATTCGACGACAAATGCCCAGTAAACGAACCCCCCAGACATAATCACCGAACACCATATTATACACTTCCTATACACTTGATCAGTCTACATAATAGTAGCTTAATTTGTAAGATTTTATTTTGAAACGCTATCATCTAGACTACGGTTACTACTATTACGCAAACATAAATCTCTGAAGAAAACAACAACCTCAGCTTCAAAAATTGTCTTATAATAATTACTACCACAACTATTGAATAGGAATATTAAAATAAATGTAGATAAACGATTTCTATGCATTCGTTACAAAAAATATAATTGTAATTCTATGGTATCTAGATACTTTTCGTATTTTTAGTCTAGTGGCTCAAGAAATATCGTACAGATACACTAATATAAATTAAATATCTTAGTAAAATTAATACAGGGGTGGATAATAGTCATGGGAGTTTCTGTTTTACATATAAATTACTGAAACATTTCCTTGTCCCGTTAATTTGTTACGATTTAAAAGGGAAAACCTTAAAAAGTAATTAAAAGAGCAAGCGAAATGTTAAAGCAACTTATTTTTATGTTTTATTAGACCACGATTAACTTTCCATTCTTTTAACTTAATATTAAAAAATGTACTAGGTCTATACATAAAAGTATTAGGTCATCAAAAAATCTGATAAAAGATTAACAATTTTAAATCGTACAATATATGTGATCAATTATAGTATATTTATATTAACTAGTAATAAATTATGTTTATTAGGGCAAGGACTAAGGTTCATGTCAATCAAAATAGAATCGAAAAAATATGTTATAAATTTATGGGTGGGTTTGGTACCTAACATGTGACAGCTGCTACTTTTTAGAGTTCATATGCGGTTGCGGACGTCTGTTGTCGACGACATTAGACTTAAAGGCGCCCGGCGCTAACGTCATGGACAAATATGCAAATAACACATAAAACCGTGGCACAAGAATAATGGGAATGTTACAGGAGCGTTAGCATAGTAAAAGTAGTAGCAACTGGCAGTAGTGGCGGAGATAAAAACTGAATCGATATTATTATACGTCTACATAAAGGTTGGTCACGCAAAAGTGTTCCCAAAGAATAAAACGCAATAATACGAGTCTTTGGCCATTGTGTATTATTTGCATAAAGATAAAGACGTTTTGTATAATATTTTATTTTATCCATCTACACTCTTATAAATATTACCTAATAATCCGTTTTAGCACGAGAGAAGAGTTGGATTAAATTAATTTTATATAACGTATACTATATGTTTATAATAGGGTGTTACTTCATATATAGACAATTTGCGTTTAAAGGATTGATTATCAACATTTGACCGCAGTGACTAGATTAATAATGTAGGGTACACCCATACAAGTAAAAATGTTGATTTTCTAACAATATGGCTACCATCTCTCAACATTGACGGGGGAAAAAAACAATATAAATAATTAAAGTAACACGGTGACTCGTGTAATTATAATAAGCATTATTGCTGTTTATCACGGGTATCGTAAAATATTTGTAATGCTAGATTAAAAGTAGTTGCTATTCACACTCACTCGGCGCGGCGTTAGCGTTATTTGAACAAACCACACGGGAAATTCGATATTGGCCGTCGGAGAGCGCGCGGGGGGGTGCAAGAGCGCATGCGAATTTTCGCCTTAAAGATGTAACGAGTGGCATGCTCGCCGTTATTGTCGTTTATTACACGGTGTCGAACTCACTCATTCACTCACACACACAATTGTTTACCAAGTCGCGATGGACCCGCCAAAAAGTTTTTGCAAAAGTATGTGAGGGTTTTTGTAATCTTTTTTTTAAAGATATTTATTGATGTTGTTAATGATGGCTATGCCACGTGTATAGTGTACACAACACGAAGTCTGTAGAAATGATGTAACTATATAGTCAATTAACACACATACACACATACACACGAAAACTTGTAGTATTTTATAACAGCCAGACTATTTTGACATAATGGACGGTAATAAAATAGCGTCGGTTTTCGAAAAGTACTTTTCGCCCTCTCCCCTGGTCAATCACATACGGAACTTTGTCGTGAGTATAATAAAATTATTTATTTTATCCCGCCTATTTTATATCATAATATACAAGTACTAAAAATATCATAAAAATTTTACTTGTAACCATTAAACGGATGCAGAAATTGGAATTAATAACAAGCAATTTCCGGGTTTTTATTGTTATTGAGTTAATACACTTAAATATTGAATAATACGAAGAAAAGAGATGGGTAATAAATCAATTTTTAAAGTTCAAGAGGACCGTATACTTTGGTGGAACCTTAAAGGTTGAATATTAAATACATAGATGTAAATAATTGTATAGCATTATTATGAATTGTTATATTTGTATACAGTTGCTATTTTTTGTTTTCTAAGACTTATAATAGACATATTTTTGTTATAAATTGAATATTGATACCTAAACTGAAAAAGGTAAATTACAATTTTTAAAAAACGAATCTAGAATGAATGAATTACTAATATACCATAATGTAGAATTTAAGCAGCACGTGAGATATTAAACGATAAATTGTCTATGATAGACGATTGTAATCGTAGAACAAAATGTGTTTGATAAGCAATATAAGAATAATATTAAGAAAGTTTAGATAAATTAAAAGGTAGTATGGTGGTTACGATTTAACTTATATTTTATTTGAACTGTCTTTTAACGTAATACAGAAAACACAAGAACACTTGAACGATTTTTGTTAAAACTAAAAATTATATTTGTCTACTGAAGTTGCCTTTTTATTTAACATTACCTCGATTGCCCCTTAACTGAACATCTTTTTCTATTATTCCCCTCAACTTACTACTCATTTCTCAATAATAAAATAATTTTTTATAGGCTATAAAGTTTAAGTAATTCTCTATCATAAATTAAGTGTTGCATATTATTTTTCGCTGAATAAATTTAATAACTTGTAGGAACATGAAGAACTTTTTTTGTTGTATATTATGTGGTTATTCGAGTTTATAATTATATTTTAATATATAAATTAATTATTTGCTGTAAAAAATCACGGAAATGAAAATATAAAAATATAATCTATCTAAAATGATAATTAACTAATAACCATAATATTGTATATGAAAAATGTTTTTATACTTAAAATAAAAAAAATTGTAATTACGCGTAAAACAACCAACCACATAATAAGAGTTGGTGACTGGTCAGCCGTCGGACATTACAATTTTATAATAACTTCCTATAAAAATGTTCAAAAATGATTCATCGCATGATTGATTTTGTCTTATAACTACGTTATCACTAGTTTTATATTTGTCTATATTTTATTTTTGTTAATAAGTACTATCATTTTTGTTTTTACTAGTTAATAGTGTAGACTGATCTATAATAAAACCAGCTTGTCTCTTGTATATTTGAACTGAAAGTGTAATCAATCGCGTTGTCTTTGACTCACAGGCCACAGCTATACCCTCTATAGAGATGGCTCGCAAAGTTAGAAAATCAATAGCCCACAAGAATGTTGCTTTCGATTTTGCAGAGAGCAACTTGTAAAATGAAAGGAAGTATTGCGGTGCTAATTTACCCAGTTTCAAATTATCTAATTACAAATATTGAAAAGTAATATGTTAATCAATATTATAGCATTCACAATAAATCGTGCAATTTCCCTGCGTACAATTATTATAAACAATAACTTCTAAAGTATTTATTTCAAAATGGGTATCGAACAGTCAAAGTTTCTAGTACGTTATTCTTAATTTAAATAGTTAGAGAATTATGTACATAATCATTAAAGTATCAGCGGACGGTGCTAAGAATTTTTTTATCATCGTAAAAATATGATAATTAATTTTTGAGAAAATGAGTAGGTAAGTTAGCTAACCTATACAACTTTATACTTAAAAAACAAAAACATGGAGAATGGGTTTGGACTATTTTGTATCTTACCTATCACTGCAATCGTCACGGTAGGTTAGTTAGGTATTAAAAACCCGATATTACATAATATATACTGATCCCTATTGGGATTAAATTAAAATGCTATACTGAGGGATACAAATTCGGAACAAATTGAAAACTGATATCAAATTTGATAATCGGTGACCCCAAACATTTAAATTTAGAAAAAATTCCTTTTTTTAATGTATTTTAACTTTAAAAAAAACGCTTTGATGCGAATGTGTAGATACTGGACCCCACTTAGTTATTTTTTTGCTGGTTTGGACAGTATTCGTTTAGACCGTACTTGGTTTATGCAGTACTTGGTTTAAACTATGCTTGGTTCGACTCCAGGTTTGCAAAGTTCCTTGTTCCAATATTGCTAAATTCTTCTGTGCCGATTAATACTGTAGGTATGTGGTTTGGACTATGCTGTTTCTTTAAATTTTAATATTAAAATGTATTTATTCTTTTGTGTCACTAACTATGTCGGAGTATATTACATGTTATAAATTATAATTTAATTTTATCGTCTGTATACTTCTTTGGTCCCCTATAAATGCAATTGATAATAATTACACACATTGTTCGTTAAATACCGGCTTTTGTAATGTGTAGCATTATCAGACCCCTTTATTAAGATTACGGCATAAGGCATTTGGACGGTTAAATTGACCCTTGATGCTCCCTAATGGTTAAATTCGGATTGATTACAATGAAACAAACATTCCAGAGTAAAATGTATTTTTTGTCGATGTATCGAGTATACTGTATATGTCATAATTATTCAATTATTCATATAGTGTCTACTTTAATATTTTAAATGTAAATCCTTTGTAGACTGTAAAAATATGTTTACATTCTCAATGCTATATATTTTAATTACATCTCAAAATTATAGTTTTTTTGTTAAAGTAGGTAAAGTTATAATATTATCATTATTTTTTAATTTTTAAAGTACACTCATTATTAGTATAATATTTAATATTTCTTAGATTTTTAGTTAATTTTAAACCGATAAGGAAATCATTAATTAAGTATAGGACTATAGTAGGTACACATTAGATATTATAGATACACTAGATTTTTTATTCGCCATACAAACTTGAATAAATATCAAAAGATTAGACCTGGCGAATGCTAAACAAGTTTTTTAAATTTAAATTATAAATTTTGAAACTGGAAAGAGAACAAACTGTATGGATTTAATAAGGTCTAAAGCTTGGTAACACAAATAATATTTTATTGAAGTTATGTTCACATATGTTAAAAATATTTATTTGAACGATTTATAGCGCACTTTAACTAGCAAATTACAAAGGCACTTCTGTCTTAATATTTCAGAAACAATAAAAAAAAGTACTAAATTAGTTTCTAATTAAATAGTTTTTAGCTTTGATGTTTCTATATTTTGATTTTATTAGTGCAATAATACTAAAATTTAACAATTTTAAACTTTCAATAGCATTTTTTTTAATACAAATATGTAAATTTAAAGACTATGTATTGAAAGAGTGCGTGTAAAGAGATGATGTATAATTTTCGTAGTATTGTTTATTGTTAATCACAAAAAATGTATAATTTAAACTTAAGCAAATTATATTGACATTTTTTTGGGATAATTTATTTTAACATTAAATAAATATTTAGCCAACTTATTATAGTTCGTAGCCTTTGTACGCAAAAAGCATCATAAATATTATATTTTTCATGTTGTATCTAAATAATAATAATTTGTTTCGTATTATTTTTTTAATTCTATAATTTAATGTAGAATCGGCAAATAGATGACCGCCAACAAGCACAAAATGTGACCACACCACGACCAATAGAGAACAATCACAATAGCTGTATAGTAAACATCACAAATTTAAATACTAAGAGTTTTGAAAAACCTGCCGAAACCAACGTACGTGCCCAACCAGTCCAGCCAGCTGATAGAAATTTAGTGCATGTCACTAAAGCACAAATGAAAGGTAGGTTAGGTTTATACCAAAACATAAAACGAAATTAAATATTTTTTTTATAATAATATAATGTCTTAAGATAAGTTATTATAATATTTTAATTTTTATGTGACTTTTAATGGAACAATCATTATGTAAAAGGACAATCAGTCGTAACATCGAACGTAAAAAAATTGGGTTTTTAAAAATAAGTAAAAGTTAAAATATTAAATTACAAATCAAGAAATTTATGATACATAAATTATAATAAAATATCTTGTAATAATTTGAATACTATTTAAATGTTAAGGGGAAATTACCACAAATAACAAACATTTTCCGAGAAACAAAAAACAGAGAAAATTAAGAACAATTAATTACCATTTACTAAAACTAAAATTAACGAATTTTGAGCAAGTACACAGAACAAGTTACAAATGCTTTATAATATCGCTATAGTATTGGACATTTTAATTTAATAATCTGTTTCTAATTAAATTCATTTTATAATTTTACACATTCATTTTTCAAATGCGTTAAAAAAAATGTGTATAACTTTTTTTCATGCCTCATCCGCATTATTTAATGAAAATTATATATATATATATATTTTTTGTAAGTGGAATTCTTACACAATACTATCTAATGATCATAGAAAATTGAAAATAAGTATTTCAATTATATTCTGGTGACTGGTAGTATGAATTATAAAAGTATAACCCTATTTTTGTTATTTAAACCAAAATAATGTTATATGATATTGCAACCTTGCCGGTAATTTGAATCAACCTATAAATTATTTATAATAATAATTGAGTATGTTCTGGTTGTTAATAATTAAGAGAAATAAAATACTTGATTTTTTTCAGCTATTCAAATTATAAAATCTCATGTTGAATAAAAATGAGTATTCATTTTCCAGATAGTAAACATTTTATTATGTTCTAGTAAAAATATCACCTTATTTAATAATTTAGTAATAAGTTAATCAACTGCAATGTGATAACAAAAAATTGCACAAATATTTACGTATTTTAATAGAAAAAATTAACATATTTTTTATGTATATTTTGTATGACTTTCTAAATAATTAGGTACATGAAGCAAAATGACACAATCATATAAAAGTATTAAGAATATTATTTAAGTTTATTTCTCCACTGTAATTGAATTTTTTGGACCATTAATTAGGAATTGAATTACATATTTGAAGTTTCATCGGCAACCCTAGTTTATAAAAATAATAAATGTAGCATATTTTACCATATATTAGTATCGAGTTTAAAATGATATACCATTAGTAAGTACCTATATATATATATATAGATAAATTGGTACACAAAAGTATAATTCAGAAGTAATGATAAATGCAATGTACTTTTAATTCAATTTTTAATTTATTTTGTGCTTTATAAACATTTTAGAGTTTCAAGAAGCATTTAGATTATTTGATAAAGACGGAGATGGAAGTATCACCAAAGAAGAACTGGGCAGGGTCATGCGAAGCTTAGGCCAATTTGCTAGAGAAGAAGAATTGGAAACTATGTTACAAGAAGTCGATATTGACGGTATTCTTAAATTTGTATACTTATGTCGCTGTATCTATAGGTTAATAAGACTGGGTATAATTAATAAAATAGTATTTAGTAAATAATAGTAATACCTATTATAAATTTGGTAGAATTTAAAATGTTTTTTTTTTAAGCCTTTAATTGAGTTTAACATCAATTGATATTGTAAAACTATTAGAGATCAATGCAATAAAATGTAAATTACGTATTTTAATGATAGTTAAAACAATTTTTTTTTTTTAATACAATTTAGTACTTATCTTATAGCATTTAAAAAAATTATAAACATAACGTAAAAATAAAAATAAGACGAATGGTTGTTCTTAAGTTTTAAGCCAACTAGTGAGAACGGCAAACAATAAATTATTTTATACCATTTTTACAACTAAGTAACATAATATATTGGATAAATTGTATTTTTTTGGCTGAATAAATAACTAAATAGTATTGAGAGAGAATATGTTGAGATGATTCGCTTGTGCTATGAGAAGAGATAGGCAGAGATAGTGAGAATATTTATGAAGATGAATGTAAAAGAAAAGAAGAGAAAGTCCGAAGATCGAAGAAAAGATGGATAGACGGAATAGAGAGTGATTATATATCTGGATAGCTGGGGTGATTTAACGAGATGTAGCCTGTAGGGTATCTCTATGAGCTCTATGGAGGTGTAGGACTAGGATGATTTAGACGATTTAGTTAAGAGTGTAAGGCGAAGATGAAGAAGAAGAAGAAATAACTAAATAGCATAGAATATGAATACGTTTTTATCGTAAATAACACATTTTTAAGACAAAAAAATGAAAATACCTAGGTCTATTGTTAAAACGAATATTTTGTTAACACATTACATGCCGTGTTTTGTATATTAAGCATAACTTAAAAAGTAAAATCTAATCAAGAAAAGAAAAATCACTTTTAAGTTAATGGAAAATACGATCGAGTTGTTATCTATCTTCGAGTAATTTATGGGGAGAGGATACAATCTGAAAAGGGCTTAGCCATCCAAGCCCCCTGCCTCACAGTAGTGGCAAATGCATTATAAATAATAATATTAGATTCACAGTATTTATTATTTTGTTGATCGCCAATAATTATCTGACAATACAGGTGACGGAGCATTTAGTTTCCAAGAATTTGTGGAAATCGTATACAACATGGGCGGTACAGCAGAAAAAACAGCGGATCAAGAAGAAAAAGAGCTAAGAGATGCATTTAGGGTAATTACATTTCATTTAATTCTATTCATTAGCTGCTTAAAAAAAATAGTTAAAGATATACAAACACGAATAATTTATATTATTTCTTAATTCAAAAATAGTGTTATATAGGAAAAATATATAGGTAACATAATTCTTAAGGATTAAATTTGGGCGACGCGACGGTTTAAAAGAAAACAAAAAACCGGGTCACTGCAAACTTGACACTGATAACATTAATAATATATTATTTGGCATATATTTAACCAAAATATAAAATCAATACTACTATAAATTATTCAAAATTTAAGATTTTTTTTTTAAAGGGTAGAAAATAAATATTTAACAGTATATTATATCCTAGTCCACAGAGATTTACAAAATGGAATAAACTATTCATAATATTTATATGATAAAAAAAAAATAAAAGTTAAAAATCACATTATTCTTACTATAATTATTATTGGTGTGATTCGATCTTTAATGGTTTCATAAAGAAGTAAGCTTTTTATGCTTTTATGTTTAAATCAATACTCAATAGTTGTTTTTTTATACCTCCCTTTTTTTATCCCATGCTATTTTTTTGTCCATCGCTATTGCTATATAAAGGATAAAAGGTCAATTAATCTTCTTGAGTTTTTTCATTTCATCTATTTCGTACATTAAATAACTAAAGGGAAGATCGATGTATAGTGTATCATTTTCTAGAAATCGATTTCGTTTGAACGTTAAGCTAGCGACTCTCGTTTGATATAATATTCTGGATAATATCCTTTTAGAATTTTGATAATAAATTATGTTATTACTTATTATAACGTAAATAAGTAATACCATGTTGTATCATTAAATCAGACTGAAAGAATCATGGTAAATTGTAAATTGTATTATTACAATTAATATTAGCACTATTACCTATAATAACTATGTGTGGGTCATTTCATGTGAAATCACCTGATGTGTGTGCGACTATAGTTCAAAAATGTTTGAAATTTTTATCATGCATTCTTTACAGATTCTTAAAGACAAACAATTTTTTTTTTAATTTAATATAGGTAACGGTGGTTAAATTACAGAGTCAGGAACATAAAGTGATTTTGGATATATTTTTTTTCAGTAGACCTCTAAAGAATATATGATGAAATATTTCATTTTAATACAGCTATATTAAGGAACAAATTGAATAGTTGTTTAATTGTGTATTTTCCAATAAATGTAAATTGGAAAATTTGAACTCTTACAACTAGTGTTTGAATAATTTCTTCACCACAAAACTTTTACCAAATGTTCTACTCACTTATAAGTAAGTATTGAATTAATTTGGAAAATTTTGGTTCAGTCACATTTGTGTTGTGGGTCGTTAACTAAGGTAAATTTCAGCAAACCGCCCAAGTTTGAAACCGTAAATTAGTAGTAAAAAAAAACTTAATTGGTTCAAAGATGATATGAGCCATAATAACAGAAATTTTATATAAACAAAATATTTGATTTTAATTTTTAAATTTTGACCCCAAAACAAGTTTTTTAAAAATTAAAAAAAATTAAAAAAATTTCCAGGCATAAAAAATACATTTTTTTTTTTTATTATGGTTAAAGTACACTTAATTAGAATTTTAACAATGCAGGTTTCATATCTATACCACTATCGGCGGTTAATTTACAGAGTCAGGAACATGATGTCAAGGCTCTATAAAGAATATATGATAAAAATTTCAAAAATGTTTGAACTATAGTCCGTAGTCGCCCACACATTAGGTGATTTCACGTGGAATGAGTACGGAGTAATACCCGTATGTAATACTCCACAAGTATTTTATTTATCAGAGACAAATATGTAATAGATACAACAGCTGAATTATTGTATACATCCAATAGTGTTCTTACTTCTTAATGTTGATTTCGTTAATAGAGTAAAAAATAATTTAAAAAAAAACCTGAAAAGTAAGTATTGTTTTAGGTGTTTGATAAACATAACAGAGGCTACATTAGTGCGTCAGACCTAAGAGCAGTGCTGCAATGTTTGGGTGAAGACTTGTCAGAAGAAGAAAGTAAATTAAAAATAATTGGCGATATATTATGAAATAATCTTATAAATTAAGTTATACATATTATAAATTATTATTTTTTGTAGTCGAGGACATGATTAAAGAAGTAGACGTTGACGGTGACGGGAGAATTGATTTTTACGGTAAGTAAAATGAAACTAATTACAATTTCAATCTATACTCATATAGAATATACATATACTCTATTCGGAATAAGAACAGGCTTCGGCGGCCAACTAGTGCGCATGGCCGCCCGACGAAAACGCATGCCCGCCGAAGCCGGTTCTTATTCCGAACAGAGTATAGATACTTAGATATTAGACTATAGACAGAGGGCTGAAGAATGCAAGTTTCTTTAAAAGTACGCAAATTACATAAAAATTTGCTAAGTTTCGTAGGAAGGAAGATCACTCAATACTACAAATAATGTTGTTATTACCATCGATTTTAAAATGCATAACATCACTAACTTGTACTTTTAGTATGTTAATTTATAATATTCAAAACAATTTAAAAAGTCGTTTGATGGTGACTTTTTAAATTGTTTTGAATATTGATTTAGCTTTTTATAAAAGCTCCGAAAAGTTACAAATGTTGAGCTTACGTCAACAACTATAACTAGTAGGTATTTAAAAAAATATATTTATAAAGTCATTTTCTTATCATTTACAACAAAATCAACTTAAACTTCAGTGTATTAAAAAAATAATTATATTTTCCGCCCTTTTTCTTAAGAATTTTGCATACCGTACATACATATTACACGTCCTGTAATGTGTGCTACAATATACATATTTAGTGTTGTTGGTTATTTAGAAATTTAAAGCTCTAATTTTAATTATGTTATGTCAATTGCTACAAGCTTCAACAACATTAATAGTGTTAAAATTAACGACGAAATAATTGAAATAAATCTTTTATTATTGTTTCAACCAATTGCAATTATTTGTTTTATCTTCATTCTTCAGTTTGAGCTTGAGCCCTACCTTTCCATTATTTGTTAGTATGGAATGAAAAATACAATAAAATCATCATTATGTTGTTATATATTTAAAAATATTAATACTACAAATGGATGATACATAATATGTTCTAGACTGAGGATTTATCTTTTAAAGAGTTATATGACAATATAATTTGTTTTTTTATGGTCAAACTGCAAAAAGCAGGTACCTACTAATTGTCGTGGCAACCTGAAATGCAAGCACCTCTATATAAGTGATCTGTTATGGGTTTATATAGAGAAAAACGTACTAAACAAAGTGCTGATACAAATTACAAATATAAAATTTAGTTTAATATAGTTAATAGTTATCGAGCGATTCCGGTTGTTTCAGAATTTGTGCACGCACTCGGAGAGCCTGGTGACGACTACGATGAAAATGAGGAGGACGAAGAAGACATTATGTATCCACAAATGGATATTTAATTATTTTGTTGCGTCCAATCTTAATAGTATTATAACTTTTAAGGGTTATACAATTTTATTGATCAAATTTTGACAAGTGTTTTAACTATATAGATTACACTACTCATTAAATAAATGTTTTGTCGTTACCCCCCATTGTAATCAATTTGATCTCTGCCACTGTGTAACTTCACTAAACTTTAATGACATAAACTCTTATTGGAACACTGTAACTGGTCCAATCATGGTTTGTGCAAACCAGCATAAAAATATACATTAGACTGTTTTTTCATTTTCCTATTCATCTTTCAGATGATAGTAGCCTATTCAAATAAGAAATTCCTGAAATTTCAGATCCTTAGCTCAACTCAAGTACCTACTTATTTTTTTTTTTTTTTTATCCGATTGACATGGACAGTTTTAATTGTTCATTAAAAATATTATAGCTTGAAAATTGATCAATATTTTTTCAATTTAAAAAAGAATCTTTAAGCTAAAATGACACTTTAAAATCATTTTATGACATTTCGTGATAAAATTTGTTTTACCAACATCACTTATCAGTTTAAATGGTCTGTAACTTGATAAAAACAATTTTTATCGTGAAATATCAAGAGAGTAATTTTAAAGTTTCATATTTTACCTCTAAAAAGATGCTCATTTAAATTTTAAGTCTTAGAAGTTAGAATCTTTAAATGAAAAATTATAATTTTCTATAGCAATCAAATTCAAAACAAATTAACGAGGAAGTACTTAAAGTTAAGCTAGGAACTAAAATTTTAGGGATTTTTTATTCGAATAGGTTTCTATCAATTGGGAGGGTAAGTAAACAAATTTTTATTTAGACAGTCGAGTATACATATTATAATACATTCTAATTTATTCTATATTATTTGATATCAATTTGATTAATTGACAAAATACAATTTTGTGTAACAATCAAAAACTGATTGTTGGACATGTTAATTATAATCAAAAACATAATATACGATTCTATTTCTTTCATTTTACTTTTACTTAACCAATTTGGTTCATATGTGTTTTAATTATAAAAATTATTAAGTACACATTTTGTTCAAATTATTTAACTTTTACATTATAGTAAATAATTCACAAACTATTACATCCAGTAAATAATAACACTATTTAATTGTGGGAATTAAATAGTTAAGTAAAGGTAACTTAAATAAAATAAAATTGATGAACTATTATTTAATTTTAAAAAATTACATAATTATATTGTCAGTATTCTTACAAATACAAATTAAATTAAAATATGTATGTTGTTTTTTTTTAATATTGTTTTGTGAACTAAAAATAAATACATAAAGAACTTGGGTATTAAAGGAAATAGTCGGCTGCGTGTTTTTTCGTGGGCATGCCTCGATTCTCTTGTGGGGCAGCCTCAAAAATAGTGAAATCTCTTTGGAGTGTTTCACTAAGCTCTAAAATTGCCGCAACATTACCACATCTATAATATGGAAATAATAAAAATACAAATTAGCAACTCTCAAAAAATTTGATGAGAACACTAAAATTTATTTTATCTTACCGATAACAGTAGTTTGGTGCTGACCAAACCGTGAGAACAGTTTCATCGAAATGCCATTTATACCCTTCCATGACTAACTGATGAGCTCGACAAATAATATCAATGTCATTTGTGGTGTTGAATTGGGCAACGACGTCCGAACCAAAAAGATAGCCAGCACCTCTAGGACTGACGCCCCAACCTTGAGTGTCTGTTGAATAAATAATAATATTTTTTTGTATACACTTTTTAATCGCCACTTGGGGAAAAACATACTTTCTGGATCTGACCACAACAAGTCACACATAGGCCCATCATGAGGAACTTCTTGTTTTCTATCGATGGTTCGAATTTGATCCAGTGTCTGAATAGATGGGGATAAACCACCGTGGACACAAAATATCTAAAATAAAAGTACATTGATTAATTTCATACAGTTTTTAATGTAGAGACATTTAATTATAAATAATCGTAAGTTATACTTTTCCATCAATGATAGCGGACAAACTGAGGTAGTCAAAGATTTCCGTACAGTAACGCCAAACAGCTACACTATTATATTTACGTAAGCACTCATCATAGAAACCATATACTTGAGTGATTTGACGAGACTCGTGGTTTCCTCGAATTAACGTAATTCGATCTGGATATCTCACCTAAAATTGTTAGAAGTATAAAAATTGGTATAGAAAATATTATGCAAATCAAATGATATTTGCGGTCTATCAAACCCTGAGCAAAAAATGTTTGGCATATTTGTTTATCTTCCTAATAAGTAATTTGGAAAGCAAAAAGGACCTCTTGTCGGCATTTTCTAATCTTAAGTTAGTACTATTTTCTGAACTTGATTGATTTTTAAACAATTTGAGACCTGGTACATCTTTGAAGCTAAGAAAACGACTAAGTCGTTGCACTTTGAAGTTTGTCACTTTGTAATTGGTCTACAAAAGGTCCTTTATTCAGATTAATTTATACTTATGTCGGCTTTTATTTGATTCAGTTTATGTTCTGACCTACATTATAATCCTAAGACTCCTAGGTACAATTATTGATGCCTAGTAAGAAATCAATACTTTTAATTTTAATCGATGTTTTGATGTTTCTCTCAAAATCAACTTTCCTGACAAGAGAATGCTTTCCACACTATATATTAATTCAATATTTTATATTTATCAGCTTAGGAATGATTCATTAATTCTACATTACTAGCCTCAGCTTAAAATCTCAAATTTTATGGTAATATTTAATTATTATAACAGCTATATTAGTTAAGAAAAAAAAATAGAGGTAGTCGATTGAACCTTTATACATCACTAGTAATTAATCAGTGACAAAAACGGTCTTTTTCAAAATACAGCGTGATCAAAAGAATAAACTTGAAATGTGTTTAATTATTAAAGAACAATAATTAACTCCATATAAATGGTACAAAAAAATATTATAAGAAAAGAAAATTAATGAATATTTAACTTGAAAGCCAATTCAATTTGATGAAAAATTAGTTGAAGTTTAAAAGCTGTAATTTTTTTTTTTAAATATACATTTTGAGCTTTCTATAAAGTAGTTAGGAATAACTAAGGGCACAGTAGATTTTTAAATGATTTATATCTATGGCTGCAGTTTTTGTACCTCATTTAGAGTTGTAAGCATTTCAAAAGAATGTGGTTTTAACTAAAATTATTCAATTTACTTTTAAAGCAAGAAGAAGTAAAAATGTTTCTACACTGAAAAATCCGCGATCCACAAAATCGCCCATAAATAAATAGTTTCTTTCAGGAACATCTCCACCAACTTTGAACAGTTCTTTTAAGTCATAGAATTGTCCGTGAATATCTCCACACACCTGGAATAAAATAAAGTATTAATACAAATTTAATATTAATTAAATAGAAAAAAGATGGCATTTAAAGTGACTAACTAAACAAATATTCCAAGATGTGTGAATTCATAAAATTATTCTAAAATCATACACAAAAAATGTTTTGTTTTATTTTACAAAATACAATTTGGGAAAAAACACTTTCTGCTATGCATTGAAATTCATAAGGATGTTGAATCCTTTTAAAAGGAAACAAGAACAAATGGACACACTCTTTTTTAAGATTTTTTTATAACGCTTATTTTGAATCTAAAATCAGAAATCTGCTGATTCTTCAAGTTCAAAAGTTACAGCTACTTGAACATACAGAATTATTGTGGCTGAAAGCTTCTGTTGACGTTCCACACTTGTGCCGCAGCACTATACAATTGCAGTAGTCAAAGTGACTATATTGAATTATAGCAGAGAAAACCGGTTAGGTTAGGTCTGGGACCGGGATGAACTACCGCGATTGACAACCAGACGGGGCTTGATTGGACCTAACCTGCCACATGATAGTTTATTAATAACGAATTTGAAACAAACTACAATTTGCATTCAACAGGAGTCGTTCGTTGCTCGCTTCGATGCCTTGTGCAACGATAATTCTAAAAGTTCAAGTAGCTGTAACTTTTAAACTAGAAGAGTCCGCAAATTTCAAATTGTAGAATCAAATTCATCGTTAGAAAACACTACAAGATGTAAAAAAAAAAAAAAATGAACCCAGTGAAGTGCATTTATACCAGGTAACGTTTACATTAAATTTAAACACATTATATAGAACTTTATATTGTTATAATTTATTTGTAGTTTGAAAAAATGTCTTAAAATTTGTATGGTATCTATAATCGGGACACACTAGCTAAGAATAGTAGGTGTGCTTAACCTCCAAGCAGTTGTTTTAAAAAATCTTGGTGGTCGTACTACAGTATTTACACCTGTAATAAAAAAGTATCAAACACCCAGTAGCGTAGCTACCGTGGGTGCAGGGGAGCTGCTGTCTCTGGGCGCAATCTATTATTGGGCAGTTTTGTACGGTTTACTATACAAATTTACACATTAACATGTAATATAAGGCGCAAAAAAAGGCTTGCTCCTGGGCGCTTAAGTCTCTAGTTACACCACTGCAAACACTGCATCCACTCTAGGAGATTAAACATTAGCAATATTATAAAATCACTTTTCTCTCAAAAAATTTGTTATGGAACACAAACAATTTTGCAGGTAACTAGATTGGTATTAAAAATTTGAATATCTTATGTCTTCCCAAAATTGCGCTTATGGTAAATTACTATTATAAGTAATTATATGTTTAATTTTGTTAATAAACAATACTCACAGTGACAGGGGAATCAACACGCTGGACATTACTCTCTTCGATAAGTATTTCACGAGCTTTAGCACATAACGCTTTAACTTCGTGTTCTTGAATAATTTCGCAACGCTTTAGCTGTTCGATCTGTCGATCTAAATCACTATTGGAGTCGTACATTTTGAACATGTGTAAAGCAGCAAATCAGACCGTTGCAGAACACACCTACTAAATGATAGGTTATCTGTATTAAAATATATTTTAATGTGATTAAGTACTTATGAAAATACAATCCAAATTTGAACACATACCTGCATAACCCAACTGCCCGTGTGTAGGATGTGTGAGATCAGGAAGCCGCCGGCCGTCGTTTAGGAACTCGATTGCGGTAACATCGTTATTCTATTTCATTTACTAGGTAGGTAGTTTAGTAGGTTATAGTAAGAAATGTGTGATTTTAAAGTGTGTTGAGGACAAAAACAATAATTCACTAACGAGCAGCGTTTAAACGCATAGATTACATAAATAAATCGTCCGCGAATTGCGGTAAATAGTACAAAAAAAAAACCAACAACAGAACAGTCAACAGTATAACGAATGAAATTATCGGATGTTTACACGCCGATTGTAGCCGCGACCTCTGTGCGCATGCGCCATCAGTGCGACCATATGCCAAATTCAAAAAATCCCTTTGGTAGAATGATCATTTACCTTGTGGTTTAATGCAGGAAACAAAAACTACCTGTCACATAATATTATTGTGTAGTTGTGCAAATGTTGGGTGCTACAGTCCTTTTCGCCGGCGTCCCTCCCATTTTTAAGGAGTAAAGTATAGGCAATATTTTACAAAATCTTAATTTAAAGGTTTAACTGTGATGTGTAATTATTAGTTCAATAACTAGGTCTCTATTTTGGTAGTAAATTTATTTTTTGGACTATCACAGCATCCTTGAAAGCGATTTAAAAATGTTTTTTCATCTCTACATGTTTAAGCGGACTGAAAATAACTCACTTAATTTTGGTTTCAGAGTAAAAGCACCCATTATAAAATTAAAAGAAAACAATATTTCAGAGGGCAAGACTGTGCGTTTTTTTCATTATTCCAAGTATAACGATCAATAAATAGTTTAGAAATAACAACTATTTTATAATTTTTAAATGACTGTAACTTTTCAAAAATTTGATTTTTTTTTTTAAATGCACCATCTTGCCCTCCGGAATATTGTTCTTTTTTAATTTTATAATGAGTACTTTTACTCTAAAGCCAAAGTTAAGCGAGTTATTTTTAGTTGGCGTAAATATGTTTTACCACTGTAAAACACCGGTGCGACGCCCTCCTGAGGGAAACGGAAAGCTCTATTTATTAAGGGGCAAAGGATAGGCAATATTTTATAAAAATTGATCTAGTAGCCATTTTTAATAAGTCGAATAATTTTAGTAAGAAAGTTTGATAACAAATTACTTTGGTAGAAGTAGCTGAGCAATTTGTCGTTAACGCTGAAGATGACAAAGTTAATACAGTTGCCGAAATACGTACACGCAGAAAGTGTATTATTTTATGGTTAAGGGTTATAAATATTAATTTCTTTATTAATCTATGCATTCTTCTAAAATTTAAAATTATCCTAGCTATATCATTTATTTCTCCTGTTAGATTTTTAAAAATGTTTTTATTCGACTTTTTTTTTATCTTATAACAACTTGTGTGGCACTTTATGTTACGTTATCCAATTTATTTTAGCTTCTATTTAAAAAACACTACACTTAATAGAGACACTAATATAGGAAAACTTAACACTCCTTCTGAGAGAACAAGTAGATAACATTTCTTATGTCTTTTACTATAAGTTGGTAGGTTGTAGCCAAAGAATTTCTCAAGGCCTACATTATGTCTAAACTAATCAGAAAAAAAAACAATTTCAACATTGCAAAATCAATTTATAACTGCTCAGCTATGCATTATTTTATAAGTGTTGTATTTACATATTATTTATTAAATGTGTTTGTTGGTTAATCATATGATTTTTTACAATATACGAGTATATTATTATATAACTATGAAAAGTTCTCAATACGCCTTAGTAACAAAATACATTCAGTTAAGGATATACATTTTTTTTTGTATTTATTCAATGAATATACATATACATATCATGTCAGATGTCGATGATTGGAATGACCCTAGAATACCTCCCAAGGTGAAAATTCATTGGTGGGAAGACCCTAGATTTGAACCGAAAAAGTTACCAGATGAAATAATTACGTTATTACCCGAGCCGAAACCAAAACTAATACCAGAACCAGTACCCGAGCCGAAACCAGAATTAATAGCCGAACAAACACCGAAGCCAATACCTGAGCAGAAATCAAAACCAGTACTGGACAAAATACCTAAGGAAATATCCAAACCCGTCAAACAGCAACATAATAAGGTACTATGTAACTTTGATAGTAGGTGTTTCAGTACTTTATTATTAAAAAGCAGAAGTAAATACGTATATACTTACACTAAGCACAACCAAGCTCTCCCTAATTCACCTCTATGTGTATGTGGGCGATAAAAAAAGAAATATAATCTATTATTAAAAACATACGTACTCATAAGTGACATAACTTGTAAATGTTCAAAAAAATGGTCATAGGCCAATATCACATTGATATTTAAACACTACAAAATCTAAAAGTTAAATTTCTAGAGAAATTAAATGACAATAGTACCATTCATCCTATACTAAAATACTACACATGTTCTTAATCATTAAAATATATTTAAAAAAAAAACATATTATTATAAAGTCAGAAATTGTGAGCCTGATTTATTGATGGAATACTAATTGAAATTATATATTATTACATGAGAGATATCCATAAATGAATGGCGTTATGTAGAAAGCAACCAACCCACAAAAAAAATCGAGATATTAGTTTAACTAGTGTAGTATACACTATACTACACTAATTAAACTAAATTATCGATTTTTTTTTTGTGAGTTGGTTGCTTTCTGCATAATGCCATTCAAATGTAAGATTCCCTGATCCAAAAAATATCGAAAGAGAAAGAATTTTCTTCGCTACACGAAAAACAAAATCATGGATATTTGTTTAGGCTAAGAAGACGATATAATAAACTCATACTTGAATTTAATTAAAAAATTATCCTCTTCTCCCCCCCCTCTTTCTTCCTAACCTTCCTATATCTACAATCTCCTAACCTCCTATTCATTTATTGCAATTTGTTTGTACTATAACCTAATAATAACCCGATAATCTGATAAAAACCTCAAAAAAATGGTAAAAAAAAAATAAAAAGTTTAAATTTACGGCCAGGCATTTGAACTATGAACCGGGCATGCTATATAAGCCAGACTCGGTCATTGAACGACATGCGTTTTTGCGCATTCGAGAAAATGTTGACGCTATTTTGTCTACGCAAAAAAAAAATATGTACATTCAGCCAAAAACATATCCATGTTTAAAATGCACCAAAATTGAAAAATACAATTATTTATAACACAACGTATTTTTCATATGATCGCCGTTATTCTGTTTACATCTTTGATAACGTGACACAATTTTTTTCAAACACTTTCAGTAGAAGTTGGTGTCATTTTTACAGAAACGGTGGGTAAAGGTTGGTAGTGACATCAGTTTCAATTCTGAACGAATTTCCTTCTAGACATTTTTTTACGCCAATCTCATTCAAAAAAAGCGAAATGAGGTCGCGCACTGTCATGAAACAAAAGCATTTTTCCGCTGAGTTTTCCAATTGTTTACGCTTTATTGCAGCGTGAAGTTTATCTAGAACCTCACAGTATCTAGTAGCATTAAGAAGACGTTATACCTACCCCTATTTATTAAGGAAGTCTTAATTTAAAGGTTAAACAGTGATATCTACATATTATAATTTATATTAGATCAGTAATTAGGACTCTTTATTGATAGATTATTTGTTTTTCGGACTATCACAGCATTATTGACTGCGTTACAGTTATTTTAAAAAAGTTTAAAAAATTGTAATTTTTAATGCTTAACATTAGGTTTATCAAAAAAAAAAACATATGACATTGTCTCCAAACTCATTTTTTGTTATTTTTCTAAGTATTTTGGCTCTAAAATAATTACGGAGTGAGTGAAACGCATTCTGCGTAGGTACGTTTTAATGCTAGGAAATTGGTTGTATAACGTCCTCTAAATAGTTATTTGAAGTAATAATAATATTTATTGTTTATCACCCAATTATAATTTTATTAAATAAAGGTAGACTTAATATTATGGTGAATCTCCTCAAAAGTCAATGGATGTGCAAGAGGTAGTTGGAAGAAAATCAATCAAAAGCATCCATTAGGTGTTCTAAAAAACTGTAGCCCTCACCTAACCTTGAAACACTCAAAAATCTTTGTGGACATTTTTTTGAGAAAGGAGAAAAAAAATTGGACCTACAATTTCTCTCGTTTAACATACAATATACACGCTGGTCAATCAGATAGCATAAGCCAGAGAGTTGGCTCTCATATATTATTTAGGCTTTCTAATTTTTTATGCTGTACCGTATTAAACAACCACCATTTATTTTTAGATACGACCCGTACCATCAGGGTGTAATATCAAATCGGACTTAAAATGCCTGCCACTAGCGATATGTTTGAAGACTTTAGGAATGGACGACTGTTGGTTAAGGGAGCTACGAATGAAAAACAATAGGAAATGTCGTAGACAACATAACGAACAGCCATATAGAAGATATTTTATGCTTCTGTCTGTAATAAATCTGGACGTCCATGACCTAAAAGTATGTATTTATTGCTTACGTGAACGCTGGAGGAACGGTCCGAGAAAAGCCGATGAAGATCTTGAAAGCATACTAAATTCGCTTATAAGCGACCTTGAATGGGTCAAAAGAGAATTGGGCAAAACGAATGGACCACGTTATCAAGTAGAGAAACTTATTCAAGTGTATATTAATTGTAGAAAAAACTACAAAAATTTGAAAAAGATTTATTTTTCGGAAAATCGTTCTGTAAGGAAGAAGCCGCTTTCAGCTTTTATTGGTAAGAGAATCAACTTAATACCATTGAAAGTTATTTTTTAAACAAATAATTACAATAAATAAAATATAATTAAAAAATTTAATTTCAAATTGAATATATTTTGTTTATGCTCTATTTTCTCGCCGCTATTATGAAAATGAAATCACCTAATTCAAAAATTTAAACAAGATACAAAATAAATGCATATTGTCATTGATTATAAGTATTATAATATTAACATTTTAATAATAAATGATAATGTATAAAGATTTACTAGCAAATGATACTATAAAAAACATATATTATGTCCAAAACCAAATCAATTAATATATATAAGTATATATACCTCACAGACCTAGATTTTTTAAAAAAATTTTTACTAAAAGTTATTTTCGTTATTACTTCTCATTTCATACTTTAACAGAACTTATGTTAGTGGTATTAATAACAATCCACGGTTCCTTCCTTTTATTTGGAATGTAATAGACCAAATAATGTTTAAATTCCACAATCGAACAAACAATTTTAGTGAAGAATAACTCCTTCAATAAATTAGTTGGAATACCAAATCTAACAAGTTTGGACCGTACAGAGCGTCCGCGTTCTGTAATCTATATTTTCCCCAGATCGTGCAAAGTCTGTCTACGTTTTGTATTTTTAACGATTGCGGATTGACCGTACAAAGTGACTTAGAACCCCTTTTACGATTGTGAGGGTTATGGCATTACACTTATAAAAATAAAATGTTGTACCCCCTCGATCGTGTGGTTTCGGTCTGTAATATAAAATTATGTATCTTTCTTATATTTTGTGACTATACTTAATATATGATCTATCTCTTAACAAAAATTGTAGTAACATATAAAAACAAAAAATAAATTTTTCTGCTCAGATATGATAGCATCGGACGTGGACGATCTCCGAGAATCCGTACGTTCCTTGTATCATCGTTGGATGCTTAGGATGGATGACAATCCGTGTTTGAACATAAAACTGCTTTCACTAATGACCTACCTTAGATGGTTATATCAAGATATCAAATGCGTAAGGACCACAAAAGATCAACTATTGAAATTTCTCAACAAATACAAAATATATCGGGCAGAATATTTTAAATTAAAAACTAAAATAGCAAAAAATGGCAAAAAGACACCAACGAACAATTATGACAGCATGTGTATAAAATTTATATTAAAACATAATTCAAGTATTGGTATTAAGTTAATTATCTTACCAATAAAAGCTGAAAGCGGCTTCTTCCTTTCGTACTAATTTTCCGAAAAATAAATCTTTTTCAAATTGTTGTAGTTTTTTCTACAACTTATATAAACTTGAATAAGTTCCTCAACTTGATAACGTGGTCCATTCGTTTTGTCCAATTCTCTTTTGACCCATTAAAGGTCACTTATAAGCGAATTTAGTACGCTTTCAAGATTTTTTGTCAGTTTTCTCGGACCATCCCTCCAGCGTTCACGTAAGCAATAAACGTATATTTGTAAGTCTTGAACGCCTAAATGTATTACAGATAGACTACATATCTTTTATATTGGCTTTTCATCATATTATTTACAATAATCATATTTAATAGTTGATCCATTATGATCACTTGAGATCGTAATGGAACCAACTAATGTAGGTCATTAGTGAAAACAATCCACTATTTCTAAGGCTTTCAAACAAACTGGTAAAAGTAGACATTTATGTCTGTTTTGATATCAAATCCTAGTCCAATTTAAATTTTACTTTTAATAATTATTTATCTATCTATATAATAAGTTGTATAAGATTGTTTTGCTTTGGGATCTGGCCTGAGTAAACGTCTAGCTCTAGAGTAAAAACATTGTTGAAGTGTCGTATAAAAAGTATCTAGGATGTAGGATATATAAACATTTTTCCACAGGATATTTTTTCGCATAGACAAGATTCCGCAAATTTTTCCAAAAGAAACACAAGAATTTCTATTCTGATATCACTTATAAATTATTTTCTATTTTTTTATTATGTAATTTACAGTTATAAGTAGATATTATGAGCCAAGTTTCTCAAATATTGGACTTGTCTAACATCTTCAGCATGTTCCTCATATGAATCAACGACTCATCGCAGTCGACTCTGGACGTCCAACCACTTCTGTTGAGGTGCAGATTTTTTGTTAAAAATTTAATTAAAAAACCATAAAACTATAGAAAATGTATTTTTTTTTCAATTTTGGCTCAGTACATTTCAGAAGTAAGTCTAACAGATAACGAGTTAAAATGAATAGAAGCAATAGGAGCTCTGAAAGGGGAGAAAGGCTACAACTATGCATTATTAATATGTTAAAAACGTATAAATTAAATGTGTACCAATATGCAGCTTTCAGTGAACGTTTATAGTCTATTTTATCAAATGTTCAGTATTCTAGTTTTTATATCAGCTGTACAGTTATAGTGCCTTACGGTAGTTAGGTACTATAACTACGTAAGTACAACTAACGGCCGTTAGTTACTGATTAGTAATAATATTTCCAATGAGTATACGCTTGAAGAAACATGCATATCATGTGTTGAGGGCTTTGTCCTTCTCATCCCTTTCATTAATATTCTTTAAATAAAACACATCTACGGATTTTTGATAAAAAAAACAAAAAATAATCACTAATAATAGAAATTTAAATGTTACATTTTATAACACACAAATGACATACCCATACATTTTTTAATAACTTAATTGTTTCCTTTTTTTTCAATTATTTTGAATAAAAATTACCTGCTTTACATTTTAGTAAAATTAATACACGAAATAATTATTTTATTAAACTTTTTTCTTTATTGGAGAGTTTGTTATGCTGATTTTGTTATGCTTGATTTTATCGGATATATTGGCTATTAAGTGATTTATAAGTAAAAAAGGAGATTTCATCATTAAGTAATGCAGCTTATTAAATATGAAAACGGGAGATCACATTGAAGTTCGATGACCCTTTTAGTATATTGTTAAATGCTCATATAATCAGACATTTTTATTTTTAATTGCACATTTTTTTTGTACATTTATAATCATTTGACCGCTTACACCTTGTCTAATGTATGTCTAATACATTACCATAAAATACCAGCTTGGCGTAATCCGGATAGGTTAGGTAAAGTAAAAATCTAAGATTGTATTTTTAACAAAATCGCGTGCTTAAGCACTTCATTAAATAATCAATTCATAATGAAATTAGTCGTTAGCTACTAATAAGTTATGGTGAACGTATATTCGTCTTAATATTTTGCATTATACAGCTTTAATACAAACTTAACTCCAAAGATCAGAAATATGGTACTCTTGTTAGATAAGTATCAAAATATAACTTATAATACATTTCGGTAAAACAAAATAAAGATAATACATTAATTATATATTTACTGTAAAGTTATTAAACAAAAATATTATAAGTATGAAGTCCTGTTTATATTTTAAATAGACGTAGCATTTCCGTTTATTGTACTGATAACCTTGTTTTTTTATGATAAATATTGCACTTTGCACTCTTACCTCTTACAATTATGATGTCATTAATATAGCTATCATAATTATCGTAATAAAACATTAAGATTAATGCATTTGTGGTTAGATTATTACATATTTTATACATATTTTTACTTCAAAGTTCTATTATAATATGTTTGATTGAACAAAATTGTAATATAGGTATTTTTAAGAATCGCAAATTAAAACCAAAACCACTAGTTCAAAAATTAAAAAAAAACATTTTGATTATATATTTAGACTGCTTAAAATTCATGTATTTAAATTATATAATTTATTGTATTTAAATAGTTACATTGTAAATAGTTAAATTATTTTTTAGAATTTTATTAGCGAGTCATTAGTTCTTGCCCTTCTTCTTGGACGGCAAATGTTCGATGATCAAAGTCTGAAACATAGTTTAGATTAATTATTATGATTTATGGTCATAATAAAATAATATGTTTACTACCAATTTCCGTATAATTTATACTATACATATTATTGGAAAAAGTTATTACTATCATGTTATTATGTATTCTTGTAGAATAATTTATTCTATTTATCATAACAATTAGGTTTTGCTAATTGCTATACGCTTATATTTTATTATAAAATATTTAAATGGAAAACTTGTCATAAAGTATGTACTTCGTAATCTTGTACTTGAATGTCTGGCATTTAAGCTTTTTAATATTCAGTAGCATATTTTACTATTTTTATTTTTCCATGCATTATATTACTTAATTGTCAAAATTACTTGATACAAGGTCTTTAAAGTTTAAAAGCTATTCATAGTTATTTAATATGTATTGTTCTACTTACTTCAATTTTCTTGACAGCTTCAATAAGTTTATGTTCTAATGGGTGCAATGAACTCCTGACCTTGTCAATAGAAGTTGAAATCTTCTCTGGGTCGAGAACGTACTTAACGATATCTTCAACCAACCTATCGACTTCACAGGATTTCTCGTAGAACTTGTTTAACTTTTCTCCCAAAACAGGGTCATTGCTCTTGATTAAATCAACACTTTTCTTGAATTGGTCTTCACTTTCTTCGTCGAATTTTTTCAAGTATTCGTTGGTGTATTCTGCTCCTCTCTTGAACTAAATTTAAATAATATGAATAATATCATGTTTTTTGTAAACATACAAATTAAAATCAAACCATAAAAATAAACAATTTAGTTTAGGAAACTTTAATTACACCTTTTAGTTATCGTCGCTATCTAGATTCCCTTGTTACTATGGTTTTTGAATGTTCAGTGGCTATAAATAAACTAGCATTTAAGTTTATAAACCTAACTAATCTATTATCCAACGGTTTATTTGCATGTTATGAGTTATCATCAGTATCTATCGAAGCTTTTAAAATGTTTTACGAAAAATATTTTAAGTATATTAATATTTTAGACTAATAAATTATTATTATTATACATATATTATATATTTTTAAATAATACTAAAAAGTTTATAATAAAACTAAATTTTTTTATTTAAATCATGGATTTATTTGTTTTTCATTTGATTTAAGCCTAAAAAAAACTTTGTACGGATGATTCATTATCTATAAGTAATTTAAATTCCTTGAAAAATATAACGTTCAAATTTAGACTACCTATAGCTAATTCGTTATCTCAAATATACTAGCAAATAAAGATATTCTGATCCCTCAAAGCACATTTTTATCATTTTCCTTTAAAGTATAAAACTAGCATTTTCGCATATTATAATTAATACATTTTTTTTTTATACCTATCAGTAGTAATCAGTTTTGAGTATAATGAACAGATAAAGTTGTATATTATTAAATTTTAAAGTATTTTTTTAAGCATATGGTTAATAAAATTTAAATTATAAAAAAATTGATACGTTAGGACGTATTGGGAAAATTGGTTCTTACTTTATATCTTACTTAATAAAAATACAAATCTATCACTTTAGATATTCAGATAATATGTAACAATTATTTTCCCACATACTTGGCTTTGTAAGAAGCTCTTAGCTTGCTCGGCTTTGCTGGCCAATTCGTATTTTTTGTACAAGCTATTCAAGTCCACGGAATATTTGTCTGGGTCATCAGAAACCAACTTCGAGAATTCTTTTCCTACGTTGGTTACTGAGCCGAGCACTGAATTGATGAGTTCATGTTGTTCGTGTTCATCCTAAAATATAATTACTTAATTAAATATAATTACCTACATTATAAAGTTGAATAATTCTGAAATTAATCATTATTTTTAAAAGTATTTTTAAACATTAAAGAAGTTTTATTTTAGTTTGTTTTTCATTTTTTACCTTGGAGAAAGCAAACGCCGCGGTTGTCAAGCACAAAACGAAAACAATTTTTGCCAACATGATGCTAATTTCCTTACAAGAGTGAACCAATTCTATTGAATGTCGATCAGAAATGAATACAGAATAATTTAACAAAAAAACTATACATATACCTCGATATTAATGCGTACCCCTCCTTTAGTAGTCTAGACTCCCTGGACTTTAAGAAGTGTTCGTGAAAATATAGATAACTAAACTGGGATTTTTTATCTTACTCACACATATTGTATGATAAGTTTAATGGTGTTTGTTAATTATTATTATTTTATAATCATTACCTATTAGACGATTGGTTTTAGTTCTTAGAATTTAAGATGAAACATCTGACATCATGACCTGTATGTTAATGAGAAAAAATAGCAGCTATAATATTACCATATTAAGTAATCTAGAAATATTATAATATGCAGTTGTAAGTAGAAAAAGAAGTTGGTTGCTTCTTAATACGAATTTTTAGAGAATGAACTCTAAAAGTCAGAATAATATATAAATAAATATATATATATACATATATATTTTATTCTCTTAACTTTTTTTCAATTTTTAACAAGTTTTACATTTGTTAACCGATTCTGATTGAATAAAATAGAAATTAAGTTTCAAGTCTTATTTTTAGTTAGGTCATAGGTTACCGAAAAAATACAAATGCACAAACATGCGAGTTAATTCCTCAACTGTCGTTCACTGTAATTTTTTTTTAACTTACTCGTATACTTATTTATTATTAAAAAATTAGGCCTTTTTATCAAAAATTGGATGCGATTTTTGTCTTATCGATCGATTCAGTGGTAATAATGGGGTCGAACAAATTACCAAATAATATGTAGTTTACTACAGTTACTATTTCCAATAAATTTGAGTTACATTGTGGTCATATGAATATAATTTACACATTGCTTCAATTTTAGGGAAAACATTTAATGCGCGTAGATGCTATCGATGGACATAGGAATTTAATAGATGAGCTCACACACTGATTTAGACAAAAAGTAAAGTTGTTCTATTTTCGATATGGACAAATATAGCTTTACTCCAATCCCGAGATAAGAAAAACAAATTTCTAAGAAACTGTTTTTTCCTATTTAAAGAAGCAAATTCAAACACTTTAGTCTACAACTATTAAAAATACAAACGTGCTTATACATAAACATATTTTTATAACTATATTTTTTTTACATAGGCGAGTCCAAAGACCATATTGTAATTTGTAGCTAGTTTTATTTTATCCGATTGCGGTAGAACAATGCGTGTTCATCAGTTTTGATTTTTGTAGTACTGCAAACCTGACGTTCGCCCCAACCCACACGAGCACTCCTTATTAAAATATAAAAACAGGTTAATTATTTGGATGGATTTACTCACAATATTTAGAAAGTAATAAATTATTTTCCTGACTACAAGAATATTTTATCGATTTTATCGACATGTAATGTAATAGAAAGATAATTTGATACAATTTGAGATATCATGATAAAAATTATTCTAAATAATAAAACCACACAAAAATATTTGCAAAGAAACATAAAAAATGTTGATAAAAAAAATCTTGCAGTGCGTAACTCTTTGTTTTTTATATTTTTTAAAAAGTTATAGCTTAAGAGAAAAATAACGAAAATATTTTATTTACTTATTATTTTGCTATTAAACAGTTACTTCATATTCTTATTTGTTTCTCACGCATGTATAAAATATACATTAATTGTTATATTATAAAAGATATGCTTACGAAAATAAAGTATGATGACTATAGTTTATCTTTCAGGTAAACCAATGTTATCTTTGATATAAAAAAACAACTATGGCAGTTTTTAAATCTCTACACATTCGTCTAATCATTAATTAACTCACTGCACGTGAAGCGTAACAACGTACTTATCAATAAAATTCATTAATTATAATTTAGTTTTACTAAAATTAAGTACTTTTTACCGATAATAAAACATTAACAGCGTTTCAAATTTTAAAATGTCATTAAAATGCCAAATTAATTTATGCCTGTGATGTCAAAGAAAAAAAATAATATAAAACATATGCGAAATTTCTTTTTAAAATAAACGTCTATTTTAATTACTATTTAAAAATATAGTTAACGATCAAAAAGTACTAATAATTATAATATTATTACATAAGTACAATTAATTTATGTATTAGCAATACTTACACGTCAAGACTAAGCCTTTGATATAGTTTTCAGTTTTACTTCAGTACTTGTTAATATTCCGTTTGGTAATGCAATACTGTAGATCTATAATTTCTCCCTAACATACCCTTTATCAAGTTCATTAAAGAAAATCTAATATTTTATATGAAAACAAATTACACAATAATAATAATAATATGTATTAAAATGTAATACATATTATTTGTTACATTTGATTGTTTTGATAATCGATTAATCGATTAAATATAAAATTATTGCGGAAGGTAACTGTAAACCAGTACACCATACCCACTTCCCCAGGATGGTAACTCTTGTGTCTTGTAGATCAAGAGGTGTCTAACCAACCTAAAAATGTCGTAGAAAAAAATATAATCATATGTTTTATACTTACATAGACCATAAGAATTTATAATTATTATATTGTGATAAAACAACTAAGATTAGTAATCTTTTATTTCACATTTATATTAAATTTCTATTATTTAGTGATTACTGATTAACAATTACTTATATTGTAAATAAATGCAGTTTGACGTATACATATATTAAACTTATTTTGTTATTCATTTATCGTTAGTCATTACACATTATTTCTGCATTTGGCAGTGAAATCAGTTCAAATTTATTATTTTGTTTTTTTTTTAGCTTCGACGCGTTTATTATTAGTTTCATAATAATAAATCAATAAGTCGTGCTTAAAACAAAAAATAACAGCCGAGAAAAGGTAATTAATACAATCGTTTCGATAATATTTTTCGAATTATACTTTAATAAGAATATAAGATTTTTTCTATTTATTTGTGTAAAAAAATAATGTAAAAACATAAATTATCAACGAACGGACTTTACTCTCACATTATGTAGTCTCATGAGGTTATTTTCAGTGAACAGAGATAACCTGATATTTGACCTTAAGAAAGTGAATCAAAGGTTCTTATTAATTACTTTTAATAGGAAAATAAAATAGGTATACAATTGTGTTACAGTTTTAACTTTTTATACATTGATTTTCCAAAATATTAACAGTAAATACGTGAAAATATTTAGATAATATACGCTTAATATTTTTATGACTTCTTGATTTCATTCTTCTTGTAGAAGTCGTTCTTGTCGGGGATCAATAATAAAATAATGTCCTAAAAAAAATATATATACTCATTAAAATTTGCACAAGTTTATATAAAACTCATATTGAATGTACTAAAATTGTCTAATTTCGACTCACTTCGATATCTTTCAAAATTGGTGTCAATTTCTTTGCGATTGGTTTGGTCTTGGAATAAAATTCATCTTTTAATTCACTGTAACGATCTAAGAACGGTTTCCTAATTTCCTCGAAGATTTTGAAGATATCTTCCTTCAATTGCAGAAGTTCAACCTTCAACTTCTTTATCTTCTCTGCTAATTCAGGGTGTTGGACCTTCAATTCTTCAATAGCTTGGTCTACGTGCTTAGGAATGACTTCTACAAGCTGTTTCTGGAATTTTTCTAGACTTTCTTCAAACTGTAATAATAAAAACAATTTTTTAAAATGAGTATTAAAATCAGTTTACTCAAAATGCAAGAATTAATAATGGAATGATATTATTCTACAATGAGCTCATTATTTATTGAAAATGTGGTTTTAATATTGAGTTGAAGTATTAAACACTTTTTTTTTTGTTAATTACCTATTACATATTTTAAGATGGGATTATCTTACCTTGGCAATCGCTTCCTGGACAGTTCCTTCAGATTGTCCGACTTTGTCTTTGAGTTGGTCAATGTATTTTTCAACGTTAATGTCAGCCTCGGATAATCGTAATTGTAATTTGTCGGCGATTCTGCCAACCGTCTTTGAGAGTTCATTGAAAAATTCACCGAATGGGTTTTCTCGGTCAGGAATAACTCTCAGAGCACCCTGGACCTATACAAATAAAAATATATTAAACATTTTTAAATAAAAAAAAATTGTTGAAGTTTTAATTAGCTCTATATAATAAAATAACTTACTTGCGAAAGACAGACCAAGACGAAAACGAATTTCAAGTATGAATTTTTAATGATCGCCATTTTTTTACTTTTTTCCGGTGGCAAGTGGCACACGTTGCTCAAACACAAGGAATAAACTCAATAATACAGTTTTGTCAGTTTTTATGCATAAACTATGGACTGTAGAAACGTCGATAGGTAACAGATAAGCCTCAGTTATCTTTAATTCAGTCTTTGGTCCATCCTATTAGATATGAATAAACATGCAAGCTGTAATGTTCGCCAGGTGAAATATATTTCATTATGGTAAAATCATAATCAATAATATCATAATATATTACAATGATTTAATATTTAAGATACATTAGAAAAATACTTATTATTTATTATTGTACACGCTCCATTGGCTGATTTTGACTTTTTTTATTCAGATTACGCCGATATTTTGCAATTCATAATGTTTTTGTTATGTTCACTTAATTTTAAAATCATGTGGTAAATATGAATATTTAATGAATAACAAAAATCTTACAAAAATAGGCTGCTAACTTCTTAGAATTGATGTAGATAAATGATTAAGTAATTATAAAATTTCATATGAGCCAAAGATCAAATTTCCGATCAAAGCTCATCATAAGCTTGTACGTTGAGTAGTAAAATACATCACATAAGAGACGTTTAAATTTGATGACTAGTAAAGGGTTGTAACAAAATGAGTTAAGTTTACAATCTTGTATTATAGTAATTATTTGAATAGAGACATTCGACTACAATAACACAACGGAAATAGGCTGAAGTTTGCCTTAATTATTAAATTAATTATAATCAATTTGTTTGATTGATTTTATTCTCGTATTTCGAATCAAAGGTTTGGATGTGATTTTATAACATTTTTAATTTACAGTCCAATGTTTCATACTTGTTAGAAAAACAAACTATAGATTGACAATAATTAAATCCATTTCCTAAATTTTTACTTATTAATGCGACTACATAAATTCAACTATAAAAACTAAAAAGTTATAATACATAACTAACGATACATTTTAAACCATTGGTCTGTTTTTTTCATGTAACAAGTGTATTTACTAAATAGATTAGAAATCGTACCAAAAAGGTATTTAATTGGTCCAAAAATTTCAAAAGTTCTCCCCACTACCATCAAAATCAAGAAACACAACTAAATAATGTACATACATTTCAACTTAAAATTATAGATTTTATAACATTTTTTAAAAAAAGTCGAATAAGTTCCAAATTTGTATAGAATAATTTTTTGATAAACTTCTAAACTTTTTCTATACTTCACTTCTTTGAGCATTGTTTTAAAACTTAAGAACTTAAAACTAAATTAATGGTATTTCTATAATTATGTTAAAAAATTGTATTATGAAAAAACCAAAAAGAGAGAAATCACACTCGTGTTGTATTAAATTTCCTGATTGTTATGTGTGAATGAACCAACAGTTACAAGCTACCTGAAAAATATTTTTATAATTTTGTGAATTGTGAAATCGGTAATAACAGTAAAAAATTATTATAGACAGGCGTAAACAATAGTAAAAATATGATTCTAAGAACTAAGGTAATTGTCATTACAACAATGCTTTTATCGATATATTTTGTATTTCTACTTTCAACAGTTTCATATCGATGCGAGTTTATTTGAAAGCGATATTACATCACTGTACATATTATATATATATATATATATATATATATATATTTAATACAATAAAATAAGACAATTAACATTTTTAATTGTTAAAAAAAGCTCTTGGAAATTTTGTAACTGTAACAAAAAATGTGTTAAATTAGAGACGTTTTTATTTTTTTTAATCTAATGAGAATCATATTAATGATTGGCATAGAACAATAAGCATTCATAAAAGTTAATTAAGGTTTTAAAAATTTAATTTAGTTGTTATTGAGTATGTGTAAAATAATAAAATAATTAAGAAAAATATCTAATTGTGCATATTTGGTCTTAAAATAAAATAAAGTGTGATCAAATAATTGTTGTTCATTAAATTTGTTTTATTAGTAGAGCTAGATAAGAACTATATTCTTGATAAGAAAATCGCTATAAAATTCATCAACAACAACATAATTAATTATTAAAGAGAGTTCTTGATTTAGTTAATTTGTAAATATTATTGATTTAAGTTTTTTGTTAGTATATGAGAAGTACAGGAAAAAACAGAAATGTTCCCTTTTTTAAATTCGTTTTGATTTGCTGCATTTTTAAACATTTTTAAGTATGCTTTTCTTAAATAAAATAATGTTTAAAAAAGAAACCTACTTAAAAAACAAAACTATACATTTAGTGAATTGACAATTAAATAAAAATCTAGAAATACATTTTTTTAAAAAAATTTTAAAGTAATTGTTAACACGAATGTCAAAACTTTATTATTTAATTTTGAAGTTGGCGCTACCGAAAACATATTATTCTTTTCCCCCTTCTTATTTATTTTGTATTTTTTTAGATTTATAAAAAAATATTTTTAGGTATATCGTATATTCAAATATCGCGTTCATTATGTTGCGCCGACTTCAAAATTAAATTTAAAAAAATTTGTTATTTGTGTATACAATTAATATTCCGAAGAGAAAAATTGACCAAAAAAAAGAAAAGAAAAGAAATTGAAATTTCATTCAATTGTTTATTCACTCAAATGTAGATTATATGTAGATTTTTTGAAATAGGTGTTTTTTTAATTATTTGTATTTAAGCTTTTGTGTGGTAAGGATAATTAGTTGAATATTGAAGAAATATATTAGGATACATATTACAAAATACAGTGATCCAACTAACGTAAGACACTCATTTTCCCTGAAAATATAAATATTTTGAAAACAATTTTTTCCCTAAACTCTTAGGTACATATTTTACTACATTTTATCGCCAATCCTTATAAGCCAAAAAGGGGATTTTTTGTTTTTTTAAATGGCAACATATGTTTTTAATTACATACATTTGTAGACAAAAAAATTAAAAATATGTTTGCGTTAAAAAATTTTATTTTTATTAATCTGTTCATTAGTTATGACTTTGTTAAGATACTACAATTCCTCTTAATAATAATCAAATTTCTTCGGTTTGTCCAACTGGCGATAACATTCTAACAACTAGGAATTCACTATAAAAGATTTTGAAATAGACAAAGGTTCTTATCTACAGATTACTTAGATTATAGGTTATTTATTTTGTCTGATTATGATACATAGTACGGTAACATGTCAAATTATTTGTATGCAATGTAATAAAACTACTCGTCTTTGTAGTAACGATTGAAAATATTAAGAAATACAGTCAAAAAATCAAATCTTTATAAAGTCATAACAAATGAACAAATAAATGAAAGTTCAAAACTCAAACGCTAACATAATTTTTAATTTTTTGTCTTCAAACTTATGTAATTAAAAACATATGTTGCCATTAAAAAAAAAAAAAATCCCCCATTTTGGCTTATAAGGAATGGTGATAAAAATTTTCAACATTTTGAAAAATGTATTAAAATATGTACCTAAAAGTTTAGGAAAAAAATTGTTTTCAAAATATTTATATTTTCATAGAAAATGAGTGTCTTACGTTAATTGGATCACCCTGTATACTGATAAACATAAAATATACTATACAGACAGCCCTATTATTATTATATTGGTTTACGTAGATATACACTATTCGAAATTTTTTTTAGCATGAAACATGCTTTAGCTTTGGCCTCCCAGCTCGAAAACGACACAAAATAGCGACACGGAAGTAGCGCGCCTACTTTAAACGTATTCTATATAACTTTAAACCAAGTCGTCGTCGTCATGCAAACGTAGGCCAGAACATATAAATAAGACTATACTATCGTCATAAATCGCAAGGAGATTATAGATAAAAAATAATCGCTATTCAGGAGCCAGAAGCTAAAGCGTGTTCTATGTTTTTTTTATTTTGGCCGTAGACTGTAACTTTTTTTTTTTAATTTATAATAATTTTTCACCAAAAAAGGTACCACTAGAATTTGAACTATGCAGATGACACTGCAATACTCTCCCCAGGAAATGATCCAGAAGTTACTTCCAATTTCCTTCAAACTCACTTAAATCTAATTGATTCCTGGTCATCTAATTGGAGAATTAAAATTAATCCAGATAAATCTGTGTACGTTCCCTTCACACTAAAAAAATCTGTTCCACCCCCTCCCCAATTCCAAGGAATACTTATTCCAATATCCTCGGAAGTCAAATATCTTGGTGTCACACTCGACAAACGATTAACTTGGGGCTCCCACATTAAATCTAAAAGAAAAATTCTGAACAGCAGACTCCATTTACTACGTCCAATCCTCAAATCAAAACTACCTTTCCACACTAAAATTATTATATACAAATCCCTATTAAGGCCTATTTGGGCATATGCAATCCAAATTTGGGGATGTGCAAAACCATCCCAACTTCGTACCTTACAAGCTTTCCAATCTATCACTCTACGTATTATCTCTTCTGCCCCATGGTATGTATCAAACTGCACACTTCAAAATGACTTTAAAATAGAACCAATAAACCATTTAGCCATAAAACACTACAAAAAATTTCATTCCAAATTACACACTCATTCTAACCCTTTAATATCTCAACTTGCTTCTAATTCACTCCCCGGAAATCCACCTCGCCGACTCCGAAGACATTGGTGTCGAGATCTGTTAATACAATAATTCAAATTAATCTAATTAAAAATAATTAGAACAAAAATCACGTTGGGTTCTATTACTGGATAGCCTCCCTCCTCATATCAAATCACCGTTTCTATTTGTTTATTTTTTTTTCCCTCTCTCTGTATATATAACAATGTAACTATTTGCTTATTATGCCTTGCAGCATAGATTGTAAATACTCTTTAATAAATAAAAAAAAAAAGAATTTGAACTACTTGTTAAAAAAAGTTTAATCGAAAATTTTACTTCCATTCAATAGAAATCGATGATCATAGTTCCATCGGCCAAAATCGTATAGAGAAGCTCCTCTTTTTTTAGTAGTCGGTTAAAAGTAAAATGGATATGTTTTTGGACTGTATACACAAGAGATATTTACGACACGTTATTATGTTATGAAATTACGTCATGCAATGGCCGAGTCTAGTGTGAATAGTGCGATCGGTCAAGAATTCAATCCCAATCTAAACTTTTATTCGACCATTTATTCATAAATTATAAACTAAAATGATCTCTTATCAATACTGTCTTTTGATATAACCAAAAGTATATACATAATTCAATGTTTTCCGTGTATCGGAGACAATTTTAAGCCTTTGTATCATGAACACGTTGACTCAATGGAAATTATACGCAAGAGTGGAACGAGAAACAAATAAATTCAGGCCTAAAAATTGTAATTTATCTATGTCACCCAATGTCGCTCGACATTATTTTATACTATCTTCAACATTTTAAATCATTAACACAATTTTATCGTTTCAAGCGTATTTTATATTAAGATTTAAATAATTTAATAATGGTAGCAATAGTATTTTTACTAGACTATTATTTTTAACTACTAAGTATATAAAATAATGTAAATATAACTGAACAAAAACCTTACGTACCTAAAACTATGTAAATATCAATAGAAAGTTTGTATTTTAATGAGACCTTGGCTAAAAAAATTATACATAAATACAGATTTTTTTTAACTTGATAATAATATTTGAAACAAAAATAGCAGTAGAGTCGGAGTGGGTTATCACTTTAAGTGAAGACCATTTCTTAAAACCTATGACCTCTAATATGCTTTATATGTCTTAATTCCATGCATAATTATATTAATATTATATTATAATACAGACAAAATTAATATATCGTACGACCTGAAATTCAAAATAAAAAAGGCATTGTGACGTAGAGTTTGGTTTTTCCTTAAATATATACAATACAGATTAATAATTTAAAAACATTCGTATATTAAAATACGTTTATAGTTAATAGTTACTACTATTCAAACTACTATTTACGATTGGAACATCACTGTTATTTTTTCTAATTATACACGTATACGTATGTTAAGTTGCTTAACTAACTTTTGTAAGTATGTTATTAATGTGTACTTTATTTAATCCATATTAATTCTCCTCAGCTCAGCTGCTTAGTTGGTATAATGTAGACAATAAAAAAAAGCAAACAGATTCATAAACTATGTTTTACAATAATATTTATAATAATAATAAAAACCGGCCGAGTGTAAGTCTGACTTGCGCAATTAGTGTTTAGTATTATATCAACTGGTATCATACAAGTATCATTGATAGATTTAGCACATGACATAACTGTCACAATTAGTGTTCAAAAAAACATTAAAAATACACATTTAAAAATTACCTATAGATATAAAGCTAAATATCGAATTCCAGCTTTACCTCTTTGTAGTACCCAAAGACAGTAAAATATAAAATTAATATTAAAAAAAAACATGAAAATGTTTTAAAACTTTTTTTTTTTTAATTAAACTGTCTATAGACTGAATGTCGAAGTATATGTAACAAACGTTCCAGAGAAATATTTATACCTAACATTATAATTGTTAACAAAATTATCAAAACTTATGGACATTTTTTTACATATGACTCTCTAAACTCTACTTTTAGACAGATTAATGTATTACTCCATTAAATGGATCATACTGTCTCATTATTTATTATAATGATGAAAGAAAAACAGTACTAACCAACACAGTATGAACCCTAAGCAATTTAAACCAAGTCCCAATTACAAACAAATTTAGGATCAAATTATTACAATGGTATATTTGGAATTTGGATTTTTGTTTTGACTATTTTAGCAGGTTAAAATAACAGATCTTTCCAGTAAATGAATACGGTGTCCTGTCGTTGTCGCCGACGCTGAAAATGACTATTATTTTTGTGTGTATAAATATATATATATATATAATATCTAATATAATATATATATATATATATTCTGGGTACAAATCCAAAAATGTAATACAGTTTGAGTACATTATAAATTCTATTTGTATGTATATATATAATATTTTTATTATCGACACGACTCGTGCTTTTATTCGTATACAGGTTTCAATCGATTCTATATAATATGAATGTAAATATTATTACCCAGTCATTATTGACGTCTTCCAATAAGGTACACCAACGAAATTCGAAAAAAACTAAAATTCATTGGCGTGTCCATGGAAGCCTAAGCAGGCTATAACGATAATATCACGTATTTATTATTATTTAATTCTTTTTTAGGCTTTAAAGTTAAAAGAAAACTTACATCAAAATATTTTTCTTTTTTTTACATCATTTTTAGGAATACTTTTTAAAAAAATGGAAAAAAAGACATAAAGGAAAGGTAATACAAATATTTTTCGATGAAATTTCGGGGGGGTGGGGTTTAAACCCGGAAACCTGAACCCTGAAACCCCCTGAATACGACCATGATTACAATAATACAATGAAATTTGCATACAAAATATACTTAAATCGCGATTATGACGATACTCCCTTTATAATATTAGTTTAATTTTAACTTAAATATTACTCATGTTCGTTTAATTATTTTTAGGTGAGTTAAGCTATACTAATGCTATACATTAAACGTTTTTTTCTGATTATTTCATTCTATGCTCCACCTGTATTATTTATACCAGGTTTTCTACTTATAACTGAAGCTCATAACTGTTCATCACTAAATTTACACTATAAACATTGCATTTCAGATACATTTGTATTTAGCTTTAAATGAATATAAACTATATATATCTATAAAATTATGTGTTGTCTTGTTTATGAGTTATATTATAGTTATTTCTTTAAAAATACTTAAAAAGTGTTAATACTATTAGTATAAATCATGATCACATGACATGAGTTAATTTTAGACATTTTATTTAAGTTATTGTGATAGCGAGGAATGAATAATAGGTGTAGTATGATGAAACATAATTCGTGAATTATCAACAGATTTTTTTTTTTATTTCATAAAACATGTATAAAAATTGTTTTCGTAAAAGAAAATGATTAAATTAAAAAGGCATAAATACGGTTTGTAATTTTACATTATTTATATTATTTAGTTTTTCTTCTGGCTGTCGATGGCTTTGTTTACGGTACCCTGAAATCAAAAAAGAGCGATTAGTTTTGGCATGTAAACTTATGTGAATTTGATTTATAAAAACGAATAGTTTTTTTCCATATTTTCATGTTTTATATTAATTTTTACTAAACAAATTAGATGCCTGGTTTATAAGTTGCAGCCTATACTTAAAAACTATTATTAATTTTAAAAAAAAATCTTAATTTAATTGAAATAAACTTACTTCGGCATCTTTGGTGACCTTGATGATCTGGTCGGTAATTTTCTTGATGTCGTCCTTGTATTTATCATTGATCGGTTTGCCTACTTTATCGTCAATATATTGTTTGGCTTCGGCGGTGTACTTCTTCAAGTCCTTTTCGTATTCATCAACCTTCTCGATGATTTTTGGGTCAGAGTTTCTGCGGAGGATGTCTCTCAATTTGCCAATTTCAGCTTCCAACTGCAAAACACATTACAGTGACGTAAATATTATTTTCAATCTAATAGTATTGATGTGGATAGCACAATTTATAGGTTCTTATAGTTCAACGCTAATAGATAATGTTAAATGTATTGTATTCTTACTTCACTAGTTCCCTTAGTGATGTATGTCTTATATTTGTCGATGGTCTTTTGGGCATCAGAGTTGGGGGTGACTCCGAAAAGTTCCTTCATGTGCTGGGCAATTGACAAAGAAGATTGGGAAAATTGTTCGGCAATTTTCTTCAAATCTTCTCCGTCGAATAACGAGGCGGACATGGCCTAAACATTTTTAATATTAATGTAACATGCTATGTTTTCTGTTTTCTCTTAGAAAATAATAACTTTAAAAAATGTATTTATTCTACAGAGTTAGTTATTTTTGTTTAAAAAAATAAATATGTCAATTGTAAATCTCTCCAAGTATTACAACTCCAATTTAAATTATTAAAAAATAATAAATTTGAAACAATTCTATACAGAATTTAACTAAGTGTGATTAATGGTACTATATGAATAAATAAATTACAATAAATGTTTCTTACTTGTCCGACCAAGACGACGGTAATGCACAAAACGAATTTTCCGTTCATGTTAATGAGAAGATGGCTGCTGGTGATCAACTAATATTAACAAATGATCTACTCGTCTCGTACTGATCAAATCCGACCGTTTGCCCGGCTTATATAGTCATCGTATCTAACTGATACGATTGAGTACTTGAACTCTCATTCGGTACACACCGACCACCTGAGTTTTTTCAATGGAGTCGAAAGAAAAAACACAGGCTAGGTCGACACATTGAAGAGGTCAATTTCCATTGGCTGACGTCAACATTCTCTGTATGTATTTTTCAATTTCGCATATTACTAATAAGTAAATACATATCACATTATGATCACCAATGTAGTTAATATATTGCATTATATCATAAATATCAATGGTTAAGTATAAATTGCAATACGTTCTTGCTTATTAGACCATTTATTTTAGATCAATGCCTACATATTATACTGCAATGATCAATTTCAGGATTGAATGTTTTATTTTCGCTACGTCAGTGTAGTTGTACTTAATAAAACTATATGTCGTTTAACATAATAATATTTAACTAAATATGATTAATGGTACTATATCAATAAATAAATGACAATGAATGTTTCTTACTTGTCCGACCAAGACGACGGTAATGCACAAAACAAATTTTTAATAGTTATAACAGATTTTGTGTATAAAATAACTACGATTTAACAATAAATATTTATGGCTGATTATAATGAATGACACTAAAAAAAATATTAAGACAAACGTAAATCAGGAAATTAATTAATTTAATTTAAACATTATATTTTAAATATTAATAGTATTAAGAATAAGATTAATTATTCATGTAGATCGTAAATACAAATAAATGTGTACTAAAACTATTACTAAAATAAGATTAAAGATCTTAAATCTTAAGAGTTAAGATTATTTTATACTTTTCATGACATAATGAACTCGAACTGAATATTTTTAACATAACCCGACAAAGTTTTGCATATAGTCTACAAATCAAATATTGTTTGTCGAAAATGTAATTTATGTAACTAACAGTTCAACTTGTTACTTCTTCCATTTCAAAATAGAACAATATGTAATCTTATTAAAAATAATCGAATTTCTTCTAAATTTAAACGGTGGTATTCATTAGAAATAGCACTTCAGTAGACATTTAGAACCTCCAAAACAAGTGCTTTTCCTTGTGTTTTTTTTTCGATTTTGGATTTTAGGTGTAAAAAGGACTGATATTAGTTCTTGTTTTATCAATAAGCAGCTAACACAATTAATACACATAATTTTATAAACATCTATTTCCTACATAATAATTTTTATAAATATTTAAAACTTTTTACCACCACATAGATTCCAAACGAAGTGATTTTATCTTTTTTAGTTATAATAATTCCCAAAAACTTTACCTCTCCGACTCCGCTACCTCCATCTTCACTCAACCCCAATCTCACTTAACGGGCTTTTTAAACTTATTATATATAATCTTAATTATTTTTAATTTAATTTATAAATTTAAGGTAATTAATCAATATTAGTTTGCGTCATAAGACATATTTAATAATTTAACAGTATTAATAAGTTAGTCATATGAAAAATATAATTTACAGCCGATTTTGAAATAAATAATAGCCGAAATAAAAACGGTACAAAATAAAAAATAAATTGTATTAACTTCTAATTAAAATGTTTTTCTATCTTCAAAATAATTATTGTTATCTAAATATTATTCATATAATATTTGAGATGGGGAAAATGTTGTTTCCGGTCTGGCATACGATATAATATAATTTAAACAATTTGCATACATATTCTTCAATCGTTTTTCTATTTTATTTGCTAAAATGATTAATACTCAATAAATTTATCGGTATGATTGATAAAATGTTTAAAGGTTACTAGCCCGTTCAAATTCCACGAAACAAAAATGTATACTAGGTAACAGGAAACATGACGTGTTAAATTTTACGATTGAACGAATCAAAATATATTGTAACATTATTTAACTCACTAAAAAAAATTATCAGTGATATACTTAACTAAGAGTTTCAAGTTCGAGTTCTAATTTAATTCTATATAATATTCTGCTAAAGGAAAAATAATAAAAGATCAATTGACCTTTTAATTTATAATTATTTATTTATTGGTTATCTTAGTCAGCTCCCTCATTCAAAGACCGTTTCTCCTATCCCTTTTATATACCATTGTGGTAATCTTAAACTAGAAAGAGTATTTGATTGACTAAAAAGAACCAGTCATTCTTTTTCAGTTAAAAATTATTTATGATTTTTATTTGATAAATATAATGGTACTATAGAAATTATTTCTTTGTTGTAATTATGTGTATTATATGGTTTACTTGAACTTTGAACAACAGCTGTTTTGCATTGATAATAAAGCATAAAAGGCCCAAACTATATTACATGCCTACTTTTCGATGTTTTACCTGCACCTACTTCATAAGTCATTATGAAATGGTTTTCAGAAAAAATATATATATTTGTATTATTATAATAAATGTACAGTATACTGTTTTAATAGTTTAATTATCTATGTAATAAAAACCCAATAACCTTTGCTATTCAATAATAATAATTATATTATTATTAATATATTTTATAGGTAATAATTGTATTCTCTGATTATGAATAATACAAAAATGATCTAAGTAATTTTTAAAAGAAAGCGCGCTAAGTAATACATAATATTATGTATGTATAACATTTCAAAAATGATTGTCGAGTCCATTGTAACGACTTTATACTATATTATCAAATTAAAATTGTTTATGTCCACTTTATATTAATTGTAAACAATTCAATACAATATTATATGTATTATGTATATTAAGATAGGAACTTGTTTTCAGTGGTATTTGAGTTTAAATTCCAAACATTATCACGTCGCGGGAAAGACAATTGTTCCCATAGTGTCTTTATTGATCAAACCGATTTTACTAGAATTTTACATTTATCAATTAAACTGTTATATCTAGTAAAGGAAATAATAAATGTTATTCCCAGTAACTAGGTCAAAGCTCACTAGTCACAACAATTGCATTTACATAAATCATAACTAATTTATAGTTTATACTTACCACAAGTATAATATTATTCGCAAACGCCTACGCATAATCTCAGAGTATTAGGTAAAATAAAAAAAATATAAAATATTAATAGTTCCGATTTTTGATGAATAAAAGATTAGAAAATGACTAAATTGTATACATAATATTTACGTTTGTATATTAAAGGGAATTAAAAAGCGGCATAAAAACACGGGTTTTCCATAACAACTTTTTAATCTCACTTATAATTTGAAATTGTTTTAATATCTTTGGTTTGATGTATTAGAAAAAAATGTAAATCAATTTTAAGCTCATATGTCTTAAAAATGGACCTACACAGTTTTTTAAAGCGAACAACCCTCCTTTGCTTTGTGGAGGAGAAGAGGGCTCACACGAAAATTTCAAACCGCTCAAACTAAGTTGAAATATGAAAAATACTAAAATAATAAGTATAAATGTTTTTTATTTTAGTAGATAATACCAGTAATAGAGACAGAATATGTTGATATCCAGTTTTCATTAAAATTTTAAAAACAATGTCCGAAAATAATTAGTATACGCTTTACATTCAATAAAAACACACCATTAAGGTAATTTAATGATAATTTAATCACATTAAAAATAGGTTATTATATAATTATTACTAGTCATTTATATTGTTGGTACAAAGGTCCATGTTTGTAAAAAATATATAACCATTTATTTATTACGGGAATTTGAAATAGCAATACTTAATATTGATACAACAACAAAACAAAACTAACAACGCAATAGCCAATAACAATAAATTTTCAATTACTGCATGTTGGATTGCATCATTATTTTTTTTTAACAGTACTTGCAAAATAACAGTACCTGATCAAAATGACTCTGCCTACTGTTTATAAACTATAAATGAAGAAATAGCAAATATATTAGAAATTTAGTTTACATTTGGCCAACTTCAAATTAAAATTACTTGTAAAAACATAAGTATAATATTATTAAAAACCCAATATACCAAAATATTAAATTTTGCACGAAGACGCATATTTTGCCATCTTTAATGTTAACATCAGACTTTGTCGTATCTAATGTAAAAGTAAAACATTTTCGTTGATTGGATTTTTAATACTATTAGGTATTAGCTATATCAGTTTACATTTGTCTGAAAAATAATTTAAAGTTTTTAAAAATTTCAAAATTGATAGGAATTATATAAATAAAAATAGCTTTTTTGTTCACCAGTCAAAAGAAAATATTCATAAAAGAGGTTTTATATATAAATAATTTAAAAAAAAAAAAATATTTCTAAAAATATAAGACAGCATATATTAGTTTAAATACACTCGTGTTATCTCAAATTCTAACTTTTCAAATATTATAGGTACACTTGTATTTAGATAAACAATGCCTAATTGGTACATTTTTTAACTTCATCGAAAAACACTTGTGTACAAAACAAAGTTGTAAGTAAAATATAAATACAAATCAAATTAATTTACACAATGTTAAATGCTTGGCTTTTTAACACGTTCTATCTGAAACCAATTTGGTAGTGTGTTAAATTTTTACTTTTTCCTATTATGGATCTAAATAGGGTTTTAATGACACGTTCTTAAACATTTTACAAAATATAAAATGAAGAAACTCGGTTCAATAACTATCATACTATAATGCGTAGTTGGTACTGTGTAATTACTATCATGAATAATGTCTACTGCTGTGTTTAATGTATCTAAACTTCAACTTATAGTTGGCTATATTTTCAAAATAATGAATATGAACTTATGGCTGATTTTACTATTATCGACGTGGACGGTTACTAAGGTAATACACAATATATATATATAATATAATATATACCTCTATTATTACTATTCATAAATTATAATAGTAATAATAATTATTAATTATTGTTGGCAGATATTTAAAACGTTATTCATTTTAACGTTTTTGATATTTTGATAACCAAATGTTAAAAATTACGTTGATGTTTATCGTTTAATTACATTTATAATAATAATTATTTTAGTTTTTTGTTTGTCGTTTTGAAAAAAAGATTTCAAACATTTATAGTGTTAGAGGTATATAATGATAGGTTTTTATTTTTTAGTTATTATGATTTTCATTTTAAAAAATGTCTGTTACTTTTTTTGTTCGTATGTTTTTGCGTAGGTGTTTATTTACCATCATGCTTATGCTTTTAATTAATTATTGTATTATGCAACTCTTCTAGATGTTCCAGTGCCATGCTTGACCATTTTCCAACGTTAGACTTTACTCTCATCCATAATGACTATGTTTGTCTAACAATTTCCAGTACTGCTATAGTTTTTTTTTTTTTTCTATCAAACTTATCTACTCCATACGCTACCCTCTGACAGCACCACATCTCAACCATCTGACTTGACCTTGTTCCTTAACTATGACATTTCGTAAACTTGATCTATATATTCGATTACTTACTTCAACATTTTTTTTGAGGTTCCTGACACAAACCAGCATGTTTGTTCGTTTAAAGTTAACATTGTCAAAGACCTTTTTAAGGTTTATAAAGGGCAAGCAGATGGTTTTATTTCGGTCAATTTATTTTGCACTCAGAACTCGCAGTCTTAGTATTCCCTAGTATGCTTTTAACTTGAGAATTATTTTTTTATAAATCTAGTAATCGATTAGTCATTTAAAAGGTTCTATTTTATATTGTAATGTATTTAAACGCCACTAAACAATTAGCTTACGTGATATTGCAATCAGTAAATTGTTTTAAGCTCTAGTATAAGAACACACAGTTTACACACTTGTACTAATTTAATTTAATAGTTTGTAAGTTAAACAAATTAATCTTATATATTACGATAGTACTATGGTTTTAATCTGTAAAAAGTTGCTGTATATTGGGTAAAAGTGTTTTTTGTAAGCTATTTTAAAGTTTAGTCTAAGTGAAATCAATCGATTATTAATCTATAAATCTTTAATACATATACTAATCAAACATAACATTATATTACACTAATACATTATATTTCAGATTAAATGTGATATTTCCAATCCAAAAAATGGTAACAACTCAATAAACGACTCAATGGAAACAGAACCTTTAATAATTGTTCAATATTATTATAAGCCTTCAGGTTTACACCGTACAAATTTCGCTAAAGATATAAGCATTGACAATAAACGTTTATTAATAAATGATCTGTGGAAAATATTTTATGGAGTACTGAAAAAAATGGATTTTCAAAAAAGAAAAACTAGTTTAAAGAAAATTCATAAAAGAAATAATCAACCGAGAACTCTGGAAAACTTACCAGATTATAAATGCAAAACAAATAATACATCACAAGAGAATTCACCGAATGGAACTAAAAAATGCTATAATAATACGTCTTTTTTATCTCAACATTGGCGTGTTATTTTAGATATAGATATTAATATATTACAAGACTCACGCAACAAGGATTGTCCAACGTCAAATGTTACCACCGATGTTCGTAAAAATAATAGCAGTGAAGACATATTTTATCATTCTAGCACTTCTCCCGATTATAGTACTAATCCGATTCAAACAAACTCTACTACTATTTCCAATTTTAATACGAATCCTACTGAAATTGGCACTACTTTTAATTATAATACTAATCCTACTAAAATAAATTCTTCTACTCCTAGAAACAACCTTAGAGAAAGCAGAACTACTCTCAGTTATTATAAGACTTTTGTTGGAATTAGACCTACTCTAAGATATATTACTAATCCTACTGAAATAAAATCTACTACTTCTAGTACCAATCTTAGTGAAATGAGCACTATTGCTAACTATTGCACTGATCCTGCTGAAATTAACACTACTTTCGATTATAATACGAATCATTCCGAAACAAACTCTACTATTCCTAGTACCAATCTTGGTGAATCAACTACTGCTTCTAATGATAATGCTAATTTTAATTCAAGCAGCAGTACTGATACGAATCTTACCACCAATATAGGCACTACTAATTACATCACTAGTTCAACTTCAACCTTAATCACTCCCAACGAACCTTCGTTAGCGTCAAGTAAAAACACAACATCGCATCCCATAAGTGGAACTACATTAACTACACCAAAATCTGATGTGACTTATAAGAAACCCACCGAAGACTGGTCACCTAATAGAAAAGTTTGTTTTGGTGAGCACTTGATAGCAATTTTATTTAAGTCGTCCTACACGTATTTGCATAACAAAACTGTTTAAAAAATTATTTTTATAAGGTTACCTTTTACAAGTTAAAACTATACGATACAATATTATATTATCTATATGCTATAACTGATTTATTGTTTTGTATTAAACACGTGCAATAGATGTTTTTTTCTAGTATACAAATATTTATACCATTTGTATTGTAAATATATATATAAGAAATACAATTAAATAATTGCTTATCTCTTACAGTCATATAAGGGAGAAAGGTAAATGAACTATTAAAAAAGATAAGCGTTGATCACATATAAAAAATGTAATGTATGTATATATATATATATATATTACACATGAGCAGATGAAATATGTAAACATGTATAGATAACTAATATAATGTGTTATAATGTTTTTTGTCCTATATTTTTTATGTATACCTACACATTTATAATATAGAAGTATACACTATACACTATAATTACTAATGTAACTTAATTATTTTTTTCACTTTAAACTATGCCTATAGTATATTTTAATTAAAATACTAAGAAACATAATTAACATAAAACAAGTGACAATAGATAGATGTTAATTTATAGACGATTTAATCAAAATACTTATTATATTATAATATATTATGTTGATGTTTGTTTTTTCTAAAAAAAATATTTGTAATTACTACGATTTATAAGACATTAATATAAACATGTCAATGATGAAATATATGTTGCTATTTCTAAGTCTGATCATATTTTTATATCATTATTTTTAAGCATTGGAAACTCAACTTAACTATATTAAAGATATTTGTGTGAACCGATTTATTTTGTACAAAGTCGGTAAACATATTTTCTCCGATTAAAATTAAAAGTAAAAATTTTGTAATGCTGTAATTTCACCAAATCAAAGTACAGATTATATTGGTATCATAATATAATGAATAATATGAAAATATTCATGAATACATATAAAGTAAATATATTTAAGGCAGAAATAGGACTTTTTTTTATTAATAATTTGCATTGCTGGCAAGTCACGTACTTCAATTGAAAAATTAAGTTACATCCGGTCACTGTGTATTTATCTCACAAGGAAATGTTTGAAAATCACGTAATTGATTAGCTAAATTGTCAGATACGTCCAAAACATTGTGTCGTTTCATTTTTTAGTTTCTACTGTACCTTAATATAACAGCTATGTTGTTGTCAATACCAATAATTGTTTGAATACTAAGTGTACAACAAAGTTTGTATTTTTTTGTAAAGTTTGAAGCTGTTGAATGATGATACTAAGAATAATTGTAATTACGACGTTTGTTATAAAGGTAAAGTCTATGAATATAATATAATACAATATAATTTATATTTTACATTTATTATAATTTTAATATTATGTAGTGTCATATAATGTTAGTGTAAGTGTATAAATATTAAAATTCAAGTTGAAATATACACTCATTTATACTGTTACCAGATCTTGCATTTATATATTTAATAGTATGTTTATTACTTAACATATTTAATACAGGTTATGTAACATAAATAGTATAACACAAAAACATTGATAGCCTATTTAATACCGTGTTTTATACTTGGTTCATACAATAATAGAGTTAATCTTAGGTATCATTTTGTTATAAATTACTACTACAAAAGCGTACCTACAATAGCTCTGACTACCGAAAAACTTTTTTTTTTTTGAAGCTTAATATAATAAAAAGTAGCAATAATTGTTCGTCAACTATGTAAGTTTAAATAAAAATAAAATTATAGAGTAAAAACGAGCCTGCTGCGTTGTAGTTGGTAAATAATAATGTGTGAATGTATTATTTATTTGGTATGAAATGAAAAGAAAACGCTACGCACGATTTTAAATTATAAAATCACACATAAAAAACCTAAAGAACACATTTTGGTTAATTAAAATAAAACGCCATTGTAGTTGCCATATTTAATCTATATTTTTCTTATTGTTTATAAATAGTTTATATGCCAAAAATGATCTTTCTTCTATAAATTATCAAAATATAACGTTGAAAATAATAACTAAATTTAAAAGAAAAAACACTGTAATTTGTGGCATGGAGTAAAATTATAATACTTTATATATTTTTTAAGAAAATATATGATTTTCATTCATTTATTGCAATAAGAACTATAAAATAATTTATTTTTTATGAAACTGCTAGTCGTGTAACTAACATTACTATTTTTAAGCTTTTAAATGTAATTTATACAAATTCATACAAATATTCCGTTTACTATAATAAACATGTTTATTAATGTAACTCGTATCAAAAGTGTATACCTATAATAATATAATGCAACCAAGATTCATATAATATAATATAATATAAAAGAAAATGCATAAAAGAAATGACACGAAGGACGTCTAAAACATTCCGTTATAACAAGACTTTGCTCTGCTTGTTTATGTAGCACATTATTACTGATTACAATGTTCTAATGTGCCATTAGAAAAATAGCATTGAATCTGACTTTGTTATAATTTATAAACAAGTTACATTGAAGGTTAATCTAGAAATTGCTCCTACCTTGTTTTCTTGTTCTTTCCATACAGATACTATCCTATATAGATAGGGTAGGCCAGCCAGATCTTCTTCCTCTACTTTCGAGATACATAAAATATCCCGGGAAAAACTTCCCGTCAAATAGGAGGATGAAGGGATTTATATAAAAATGTCTACAAATAAATTCGATATTTTTTTGATTATTTAAAAATTTAAACCGATTTGCGAGGCCGGAGGCCTCAACATAAGGTCAAAAATAACGACCCCTCTAATTTATAATTATGAACACTATTATAAAAATATCTTTACTTTAAATAATAAAAATATGATATTCAACTTATTAAAATGATAGGATGAAGTCGAGGGAGAAGACGATAAACTGATTATAATATTTTTTTAAATACCTATGAAAATTATAAATAACAATAAAACTATTACTAACAGAAGTTTTAATTATAAGTTAAATATTGCGGGTTGTTATAAAACTAGAGTCTACCTTGATACTGATTAGTGATATTAATTTGTTTGTAACTTACAACCTAACATATTTTTTGAGATATGGATGTTTGATCATATATAATTTAATTATTATTATCAAAAAAAAAAAATAGGTTTATCAAAATTTATCGTACTTGACCGTGTGACTCCCTAACCTAACCACGAACTAGCCAATAGTAAAGTTTGAGTCGACTTTTTCTAATGGTTAACTTATGTTTTTAATTTAAAAGCAATGTAATTATAATTTGTTATTTTTGTTATTAATTAAGTAGACCATCTATAATATTACAATAAAGGGATAATATTGGTCCTAAACACTATCCTTTATTAAGGAATATAGGTTACGATTACACGGTTTTTCGGGTCATTTAAAATATCCGAGTTTTTAATTCTGAATACCCGGGTAACAAACATGGATACCCATGATACCCATACCTATTGATTACACTTCGTAACCATAACATCCCATTAAGGAGTAATGCTTAGGGAACATTTAAATATATTAAACGGTTAAGTTGTCGGCAAGAGCAAGGAACCATTTTTTATATTATTATTATAAGGTAAATATTTGCATCGCGTACAAAAATCAATTAATAATTATTACACATTGACAGTTATAAATTTCAAGGTCGATATGACTGAGTGAATCGACAGACACTATGTATCTGATAAATATGTTTATTGTTAATTACTTTACATCATACATGGGTAATAACGACAACAAATTTTTTAAGCAGACGATCAACCCTAGTAAAAAAAAATACAATTTTAAGCAAATTCTATGATACTTGTGTACCTACACATTCGCATCGAAGCGTTTATTTTAAAGTGATTTTATCACTCTCAGTTACAATAAATCTTGAATATATGTCACTTCTCTCGACCCGTACTGTTTTTTTTAATTAAACGAATGGTTTTTTTTCAGGTACAATGTGGAACGTACGGTTTTAACTCGATTGGCTCGGTTAAATCTCCACATTTAATTCATCAAACGCATCACGACGCATCATCTGCAACAATCAATTATGATTCTAAAATTCCTAGTAGTAGTAACCAAAACGTTGAATACATCTGTGAACATTCTCCAATTATTTTGTCAGAAAGAGCTCCAGTTACAATAAATTATAAATCTAAACCTAAAGGTGTACATCCAGGCCATGCTTATATATCTAGACATTCGAGTCCTATTATCCTCACGTCTACAGGGATAGTTACTGTGAATTTTGATTACAAAGATGCAGATCCAACGGCCTCCGTGGCAGATCAGACCGATAGAAAACCCGTGTGCATACTGGCTAAGGTCATGGTGGAAATGCCGAGTGGCATTATTATGTCATACTTAAAATTTAAAACGATTAGCTGTTATTTACCGGAAGATCTAAAATCTGATGTCGCCGTTTTAGTTGACAACAAAAAAATGCCTTATAAGGAGTTTGAACAAACACTACGAGTTCACGGCTGTAATGATATGGAAGATTCCGAAACGTGCAGTTGTCTAAACGATGACTACATCACACTTAGCGATGGAACCGAAGTCAATTTGGACGTCTATCGACAAATATTAACTAGCATCACTAATGGTTCTGAAACGTTAATGATACCCAATGTTTTCAACGGACCGTACTCCACTTACGCCCCGTTATTGGAAAAGAAGTTACTCGAACTGGCTGAATCTGCAATTGTAATAACTTCTTCAGGATACAGGGTGCCGTTTAGTTTGTATTATGCCGTCGACCAAGAAAACTTCCAGAGATCGTCAAATGATCAAGAAATCAAACAAGTCACTTGGCATGATGGTAAAACTATACGTGTCCAAACTATTCGGGATATTGTCAATTCTCTAAAAAATCCCGAAAGCATATATTTTGTGTTTCCAAATAGAAAACGACTACCTTTTATTCCAAGAGGAAAAGAAGAGAACATGGATTTTCTTAACGTCGATCCAAATAAAATACACGTGGATATAGGTCGTCAAAGATATGTACCCTTGTCGGTTTTTAACGACATTGTAGCCGCCGTTCATATTTCGGATGGAAATAACAAAGGTATGTACGACACCGTTATAACTAATTTTACAAGTTCTTCAGAAAATAGAACCCCGTCAATAAGCGAATATAGGATCGAAAATGAAATTGGTCATTCATTAACTAAACAAAAAAATATTCCAAAGGAGTTAATAGATACGATTACAGAAAAACAATTATCAAACAGTACTGATGTCGACCAAACCGTTCAGTTACAATTTGAGACCAGTCCGATAGTAATATATATTAAAAACTATGCTACTAGATGACTATTATAGATGACTAGGACTATTAGATAACGACCGTTTTGTATTAAAAGCGGAAACACAACCGAACGATGATAAACCATATCAAGCTTTAATCAAAATAAAAGAGTACATTGACAAATCAATTCAGCGTCTTAACTCAATTATAAGTCTAGGACCACAAAATACCAAAAACTATAGTACAAAAAATAAAACTAGTCATGATTCATTAATTCAGAAATTTATGAAGCTAAATATAAACAATAGAATTAAAATGCCTGATATTGTTCCAGAATCCAATGTTACTTTGAATATTAAGTCAAACCTAACTGGTGACAAAATATTTAAGTTGGTTGAAAATCCATTTGAGAAGAATAATATAACTAAAGTTTTATTGAATTTAAAATATTTCGTTGAAAATGTATTGATAGATTGATTGTATATACCAACATCGTTTAAAAACCGTTTTCAAATTGAAAAAACACCACCAAAAAAAAATGTACAAAATAAGTTCAACAATAAATCCTTAACACAAGAAATGACAAACCAAAAAATAAATAATAAAACAAGTGTACTCGAGTCACCGATAACAAACGATATTATGAATCAAACCAAGTCTAACCTGACTACTAATGGGTACTTTACGTTAACTAAAAATCCTATTGACACGAATAAAACGTATCTAGCATTATTGAGTATCAAAGAATACGTTGACAATGTTGTCAAAAACTTACTCACCCCAAATCCTATTGAAAGTCTGCCATTGAATGATAATGCGAAAGACAAAATAAAAAATACGCTAGACAACAAATCTATATTAGATGATGGATTGATTAATCGAAAAATTAATAAAACGAATATAGCTAATACTACGAAATTGAATGGTGTCGTGAATAAGTTAAACACTACTACCGATGGACACTTCAAGTCGATTGAAAATGAAAATAACAGGAATAAGACTTATCAAGCCTTATTAAATTTAATAGAATACCTTGAAAATGTATTAGAACAGTTTAATGCAAACAATTTAGCAAGTAAAAATCGGAGTTTAGATCATAGTACTCTGCATGAAAAAGGAAATTTAAATAAAAGTGAAAAACCATATATTGCAAAAGATGGCTCAAATGAAAATAATAAGGCAAAAAATTCCAGTTTTGGTAGTTTTAAGGATGAAGACATAAAAAAACTACCACATAGATATAATTTAGATGATAAATTAACGACCACAGAAGATAATAAGAGAAATAATAATATTAATCGTGAATCTAAAGTTTTGAGATTAAAAAACTCGAACAAAAAAAAAATAGAACAATTATTTTTACCAAATATACTGCGGCAAATAACAAAAAGACAAAGTCAAATAGTGACGGCTATTTAAAAAGAATTCTAAACTCACTTAGACTAAATCAAACTATATCAAAATTAACAAATAGTAACTACACAAATGACTTGAATAAATTACTTAACGAGGTAATCCCTGTCGATGATTTTTTATAAAATGGAAAATAAAGCAAATTAAGAGTCAATTATACCAACATAAAAGATGCAACTAGTAAAAAATCAGACCATCGCGGAGGTCTTTAGATTATTTGGTTAATATTATAGTATTATATCAAACCTTTTAGGCAATTACACACGCTGAAAGAAATTTATTCAACTCTTAGAATCATTCAAACACTCATTAACTAAATTAATTAATTAAATTTTAAGTTTTCTACTAACTAAATTAATATTTTATGTACAACTTATAAATATTATAGCTTTTATCAAATACAAATATCAGTTAAAAATGAAATGATTTGAAATAAAATATATAGTAAATTTTTAGGTAAGAAGTGTTTAATATTTTGGTAAATTAAAAAAATGAAAACTCAAAAACTATTTTCTAAAATTGTATTTAAATGTATTGTTAAACATTTTTATAATAGTTTTATATTCGTTATCGGTTATTCTCTTTCTTGTCAAATAAGTGTGTTATAATACTTTAGAACATACTCACGTGATCATTTTATTCTTAGCGTGTAGAGAAAAACTGAATGGAATGTTTTAAGTATTAAAACTAATTTGTTATTTTTACAGAGCAACCTTCAATCTCTTATCCGAATCCTGATACAGTCTGACCAAAACACTATCATATACGTTATCATTATCCATCTAACTCTTGCTTCATTGCTCTTGACTTCTGGTAAGATATAACGAAGTTATATTATGTTTCGTAGTACGTAGTAGATATTATACTAATATATTATATTTACTTGTGAATTGTGATTTATTATGCTTTTATTATATTAAATTAACATTTTTCTTGGTAAATGTGTGAGACTTTCTTCATAAAAAAAATTAGAAAGAAATCACGAAAAATAAGGAGATTTCTTTGAAGGCCATTAGACATGACAACTGATACTTAGTTGCTTTATAATGATTATTTTGTAAACACTTGATACGTTAGGTATGAGTATAGGTGTTCTTCAAACATTTTGAATAGTTAATGAATAGTCTAGTTTCGAAAATCCACGAATGTGATTAACGATGAAACCGTACGTCATCTCAGCATTTTGCTTACTGATGATTTCTCACCCTCCGGTAAGTAAATTTGTAAATCTGTTTACTATAAATCATAATATACTATTACTGACAAAACAAACATTAAAAAAAAATATTGAATATTTTTTTTGATTTACCAAACATGGTCATCAATTTTACCTAATTAATTTATAAATATTAATTTTAATTCTCTTAATAATAATACCTAATACATATGTCAAATTTAATATTAAATACAAACGGAATCTTAAAAATGGCTGTCAACTCTATTTTTTTTATGCACAGTTCTAAAGCTAACTTAATACATACTTACTTATAAATTCGCATTGTATATTATTCAACATACAACCTACGCTTGAAATTTTGTGTAAATTCTCACTAACAACAGAACTTCGAGAATTGAATATTAATTTGACATCACGTATACAATTTTGAAAGGGATGCTTTATTATTTTTACAAAAGAATAGTTTAATGCTAAAAGTGTATAAATATCAGAATACTAATAAGAGGATTCTTTCTCGGCTCTTATTTATTTGATTTTTCAGATTATCACTGTAATAATTAGCAGTAATTTAAAAAAAAAGTTAGTCGCTTTAGAAGTGAATTATCTCATGCAAAGTAGAACGTAAGTCATCAGGACACATTTTGGGAAAATACATTTTAAAAATAAAGTTTTGTTTAGGATTTAGTGTATCTTTTTATATAAAATATAAAAACAAGATGCCGCTTTAAGGGGTACCGCTCCTTTGTATAAGGTCCTTGCTTGCACAAAAAGTGATAACCGAGGGTTTAGGTTGAGTTCCGAGCAAGTCACATTTTACCTCTAATAAAAATAAACAATTTTAATCAAACATATTTTTTTTCAACTGGATAACCATTTTACACATTAAAAATAAATATTGAAAACAATATTGTTTTGATCTAGTTTTTCTTTTTGAGACTACTCCGGAACAAGTAAAATACTTTTTGTTTTTAGATAGGTACACAACTTTATCAGGACTTCAAAATTCTAGAAACAACGAATTAATGAAGATGCTCAAAAATGGATTTATAGCCATTATTGCATTTCATTATACATTATCATATTGTTCGTATTTTTGGTCATCACTAGATCCAAGAACATTTAGAGTGTATACATGTACATTATACATGATCTACTCTTATACTTAAAGCGTTTAATTTTATTAAACAATTCTGTAATATAAAAATGCAATACCCGAGAATTAACCACTTATACCATTTATTTTAACCACTGAAATTTATACGGTCGACATTCAATCCAACAAATTGGACTCTCTCTTTCCAGAGACCTTTATAAATGTATGTTCTGAATAAAACATAGCGGAGAGTACAGATTAAGACAAAGTTTATCTTTGGGTAAAGTATAGTGTTTGGAAATTACTATTAAATCGGCCAAACATATCATTGTACGCTTCTTATTTTCCGGGGCGTTAGAATGAAGGTTTATACTTACCCATTAGCGTACTAAAACTAGATCATATAGACTGAATAATTCATTAATATTAAAATGTAAAAAGTACAAATATGTGACCGTTCATGGGATCAAAGTTTTTGGATTTTTTTGTAGTCGATTAGCTATTGGTTACAATGGTGTCTCGATCCGTTCAAAAGTTAAGAAGTTTTTAAGATAGAACTCCTAATAAGTTATTAGCTAAAAGTTAGTTTTGGGTCTCCTGAACAATTTGCTTCTGAAAGACATGGTAACTTTTTCCATGGGCGGTCACATTACTGTTTTTTTTAATTTATTAACATGAAAAAATGGTACCGAAAAGTACGTAGGTACCATACACATATAAATGTACCCTTGTGATTATTATTATGATTTGTTTTATAATCCGTCATCTCCGAATTTTAAACTTCGTCATCAATAACGTTTAATTTTAAATCTTGTCATTATTATATGATATTTATGTACAAATTAACTTGGTAATTAAAGTTGTATTGTCTATCTTATTCACAGTGTACCGAATGCTGTTTGGACATTTTGTTGAAGTCATTTTATCAGATCTTTAATCCGCAAGTCGCAGCCGGTCCCACACGGATCCTTATGCCTCATGAATACTCTGACGGTATCATGCCCGAGAATTCCTTCAGTGGTGAAGGTGATTACGGTGGACGTGGTAATGGTGATAGTTATAATGGTGGTGGTGGTGGTGGCAGAAGCAGTGGTGGTAAAAGTGAGAGTGAAAGTTATAGTGACGGTGTTAGTAATAGTGTTAGTAGTGGTTATGGTGATGGTAGTTTTAGTGGTGGTAGTGGTGGTTACGATAATTATAATGGTTATGGAGGTTATGGCGGTTATGAAGGTTATGGTGGTTATGGAGGTTATGGTGGTTATGGGGTTATGGAGGTTATGGAGGTTATGGAGGTTATGGAGGTTATGGTGGTTATGGTGGTAACTGTGGTGATTGTAGTAGTAGTGGCAGTAATGATAAAAAGAAAAATTCACCTTCAGCGGAATCCTTGAAGAAAGACCCACTACCACCACCGACGGAACCACCTACAGCTGACTACGAAGATGACAGTGCGGCAGGTAAAGGTAAAGAAAAAAAGTTTGTGGTAAACAGCAAAAGAACGACAGAAAATGACAGTGCAGACTACGAAGACGACGGTTCAACCGGCATCGACAAGCAAGAAAACGAAGTTATAGTAAACGGCGAAGCAGCCGACATAAATGACGACAGTACAGACTATAAAGATGAACATTTGTCCAATATCTTTGGTGGGAAGAGGATCACTGAAAATAGAAAAGCCAAGACAAATGACGAAGAAATAGACGACGACAACGATGATTTATCTAGTGATGACGAAGAGGAAAGATTTGTAGAAAGCAGCAAATTAGTAGTAGATACTGACCCCGAGAACGATAGTTTGACTGGTAGAGCAAAAAAGAAGAAAATTGTTCGGAACAACAAGTTAATGACGGCTAAAGATCTGCTCGAAAAAATTAAAGGAAAGAAAATCGTAGGTCGCAGCAAGTCAATTGCAAATAACGAATTGCTGGGAAAAACTAGAAAAACAATTGTTGGGAACAGTAAGTCGAAGGCTGTTAAAAGTTTGGCAGAAAAAGCTAAAGGGAAAAAAATTACCGTCAGGAGCAGCCAATCAGACGTCGATGATGATTTAATCGGAAAAACTAAAGGGAAGAAAATTGTAGGAAGCAAAAGGCCAACAGCCGTAGATAGCAGTTTGACTGGAAGAAGTAAAGCCAAAAACATCGTCGGGAGCAGCCGAACAACGGAAAATAGCGGTTCAGCCGCTAACGTAAAACCGAAGAAACTTGTTGAAATTAAAAAAGCATCAGTAAATCCCCGGAGATTAGTTGCTAAAAGTGACAGCACTAATGATGACGACTTGCCTAGAGTTAAAATAGAAAATATCGGCGATATTTTTGGAAACGAAGACGCAGCGGTCTTTGAAAATTTCAGTAATAGTATAGTCGGCAACACTAAAAGCGGTGGTCGACGAAGCACCGTGGTAAGCCGACCAAATCCAGACTCGTACAGCTCTATAGAAATGGGTTACCTCCCAGGAATTAGACCGTTGACCGACTTCATTATCAGCCTAATGGAACACTTCCAGTTAACTGCTCAGTCTAAGGTGGAGAAATCCAAAGAGGAAGTTACCAAAGTAAACTCTCGACGTACCACCAAACCGGCAGACACTAAATTGTCCCTGAAAAAACCTACCCGGTTTCGACGATAATACTGTGACACACGCACATAACTTATTTATCGTTTTATCAGACATTTTACATAATAATGTAAGTTGTCCCATGTTTTGTTTTTTTTAATCATAGAATTAGAGACTAAATAACATGTAGTTACCGAATCGTTGTATGTTAAATCTTATATTTGTTGTGTAATTTAATTTTCTCGACCACCACAAATGATTATTTATTACTTAATATAATATTTTTATTGATAATGTATTGTGCAAAAGTATTGTCATTGAGTATTTATACTAAACTCTAGTGTTTATATAACACTATATGTATATACATGCAATGGTAAATTAATACAACAAACATATTTTAGATGTTAATTATAAATTATAGTAATTTATTGATGATGTAAATTTGGTAAGTAAATGCGTGAATAATATTGATAACAATATTTTTTTAGTTATATTAATCCTCCGGTTGTTTATATCTAAATAAGCGACAAGAACTTTTCAGAAGAACACGTACAATTTGTTTAGAAGACACAAAAATTACATTTTTGCTGTTCATAAATATTTTCTGTTATTTTTTTATCGTACGAAGGTCAAAATGCAAGTGCATGAAGTATGCAAATTTGTACGCTTTGATTTTGTCGGACTTTTTTAATGAATATAATTTAATCAGCAAAATACTCATCGTTAATTATCTTCCATTTTTTTTAAATACATATACCGACCATGATTATGTATCGCATTAATTAAATATATTATTTATCTTGATCTGCTTTATCAACATTTTACAAGGAATTTTAAGAAGTAAAATTATGAAGTCCAGTTGCCATACGAAATAAAAAATAAATTGAGTCCAGTATTTAATAATTGATTACTTGTCTGTAGATATGGTCTATAGCAATTTGTTATCTTGTTTCAAATGATTAGTATGCAGACTAGCCAATACATTTTTTCCAATAGTGCAGCTTTTATGTTAAATATTAGATTTCTTAAATTATAAATGGATATAACTGGACAATATTGAACTTAAGTGAAACACATTCTGTATTAATGTAATACCTTTTTTGTTCCCTCGTATTGATTAATATTAATGTTAAGTATAACAAATTAGTTTTCAAAATTCAAAAGGGTTACCATATTTGATAATCATGTCCAGAGCCGAATTTAGAGATATGAAGACCCGAGAACCTATACTAAGTACTAACTAATAAGGGCTTTATACTAAAATATAATAAATTCAAAGGAAATAATGGAATCGTAACATCTAATAACTATAGATCGTAAGAGTTCTTATGACTAAAAAATAAAACCACGAACCAGAAAATGCGAATCAGATGGTATATTCTAAAACGTTAAATAATAAAAAAGAAACTCTAAAATGGCATTACTATGTTTATAATTTGCTAGATTTTCTTCAATAAAAAATGTTTGAGTATTAAAAGTGTTTTTCTTTGTACCTAGAACTTATATTGATTTATAAAGAAAAAAAGTAAATCATGTGTTGGTAGTTATCAAACAAATTAGACCTAAATTGTGGCAGTCCTCCAACATTACAAAATCTCCCACTGATTACATTACAATTTATTAGTACTGCCTATTTTCCTTCATTAAAAATTGCCATTTATCATTGCCGGTTTCATTACAATCAGAAAATAAATCAGTATGAATACTTAACATGTTGGTAAACATATATCGGTAAAACTAGATAACATACTTTTAAATAGTGTAACTGTATACATACAAACAGTATATATAAATATATATATGTGTGTATCTTTTTTTTTTTTTTTGATAGCCTTTATTAGATAATATGATGACTCATAAACAATATAGCTTGTGCTAATACACAAGGGCGTAGTCTGAGGAGGTCAGAGACTAAATCCCAGTAAAACCCTGTTAATATAAATGGTCTAGTCACGCTAATTGTAGATAACACGTATTTAACTTTTGCTGATTCGTACATTGACTATCTGTTGTCATATAACATCTTTTTTATACTGCAAAAATATTGATTATAACTTATAAACAAATATTTTGACGTATGCAATAAATATTTAATAAATAAAACGATTACAATGAGAATATACAGATGTTAATATGCACATGTTATTAACCCTGCCTATCTTTGATTCATTCGGAAAAAATAGAATTTTATATTAATATTCTTTTCCAAGCTCAAATATAGTGTACCGCGATAAGCCCTAACGATTTTATATTATATGATATGTCTTTCTCACGGTTTAAAACATTTAAACACGGGTGCATGACAAAAAATCAAAGTTCTGTAAAATGTATAAAATATATTATATGACTGCAGACTATTAATCTAAACATCATAAACATTTTTATTTTAATCTGGTATTATGATTTATGTGCTTGAAATTTAAATTATTCACTATTATTTATCGCTTTTATTATAATGTAGAATGTAAAATAGAATATGTAATGATACGGTAACAAATCTATAATAAAAACACATTTGATACCTATATTTATTTTTGGCCACACGCGGAAATTTTTATCATTATACACAATAGATAACGCAAAACACGTTTATGATTTACATATCAAGGTTTTGTATGTTTTAACTGGTTATAGCAGATAATACCAACGAATCTAATGTTAAATGTACGTAAGTGTTAATATTGTCTATTGTGTAAGATTTTCATTTATTAATTATTTATACTCACCTACCAACTGGGGTTCAGTAAAAGGGTTGATAAAGGTTTTTTAGTATTTAAAATTGTATTTTATTTACTTTAGTCATGACCTATGAAGAACATTACAAAAATTGTTACAGTTACAAGCGAGTGAGATTGAAGACATCATTCGTGTGTTTTAACAAAAACACAAATCGATATATTCTAATAACATTTAAAAATCTACTTGTTACACGTATGAGTTTTGCTATCAAATATCGATACATATATAAATAATTTAGGTAACCGACCGTTCTAACATGATACATTATTAATAGGTACTTATTGATATCAGAATTCAGAGGTGTCATTGGAGATACTCCAATGCTGATTGGTCTACTTCTTAAGTGCATTTTTATTTTACTAAATAATTTTAATTTATACCACCGTAAACATAATATTGTTATGATCGAGGACGTGTTTATTATGATTCCACGATTTCTGTATACAATAATAGCTTGTATACACGATATATACCAAAACATCATATCAACAATCAACATCATTATAAAGTAGTTCGCATTACGACAACATGTCACTGATTACAATACTATTGTTCAAATTCGATCCAAAAACACCTCTTTAATAAATCACGTATTCGATATTGACCTCAAGTTTATATAAAAATTTACAAATTGCAACATTCTAGCAAACACTGCTTTTATTGCAATAATAATATTATCTTACCGACAAAAGAAGTCAGAAGCGGTCGTGAAATGGTAACTGTACACAATTATTAGCCGCATATTATATTGTTTACATTGCAAAGAACAATGTCAATCGTCGACAATAATAATAATATATTGTTTAATATTTTCAATAGCATTTATAAATATTTATTGGAGAAATATAATGCAGGTACAATTGTACAATTGTAACTGCACACCAATGCACGTTTAACCTAAGACATACAATGATATAGAGGTGTAGTAATAATGACTACTTACATATAAAAACCAATAGTAATTCTGATTAATAATTTTATGTTTACTGAAAACAAATGAGAAAAATATCAGTAATTAACAAAAATAAAGTGGAATTTAATATTACTTGTCTTGGACGTGTTATAACTATATACGTAATACTTATGTACAGCTCCACTTCATTTAGAAATACCTAAAACAAAAACTTGCACCACAATATAATAAAATGTGTATTTATTTCAAACACCCGTGTGGTTTGATTTAAGTTAACGTTTTTTAGAAAACGTGAATAACCCCATTGATTCTATACCACGGTTCAACAAGCCCATGAATCTTACTGAAGGCGGCAATCCGATTTTACGTTTACCCCACTATTTTGTATACTTCAGATTCTCAATACGAATTAATGAGGAATATCGTCTCTCTTAAAAAAGCCTAACACTAACCCACGTCCTAGAAATTTGCTTGCAATTCAACCATGCATATTATGTTAGGCTTAAAAAAAGTACACTAGTAAACAATCGATTACTACTAATTTCTATTTACTTAGGTATAATACTAATGTACTAGCTATACATTTTTTTGCGTGTACACTAATATTAATCTGTCGACAAAGTTGTATATTGGCACATACAAGAATTAATTGATAGGGAAGATCGGCAAAATTAAAATAATAACTATACAATACAAATAGGTTTAAACTTTAAATACTAAAATTTAACAAAAAATAAACTGAATAAATACGTCCAATTGAGAAACTCCAACTCTTGGATCCAATTCACGAACTTGGTTTAGCATCAATACATACGGTAATACGGTAGCACCTCTTGCTGGTATCCACCGACTACATTAATACGGTTACTTTTTTGTGATCTTCTCGCTAATATCTTGTTGAGCAATTCTTTTTTCTTGGCCGCTAGCCCTGTGGTTACGCAGCCACATTGGCCGTTCGCACCGTAACCGCTGCAAACGCAATGACGACCGATGGTACTGTAAGCGGGCTGACCGCCCGCACTGTAACCGACGGCACTACCGTAATAAGGTAACGTCGCCACTTGGTTTATGCCCAAATAAGTGGGCAAGTTGAACGGAGTTCCGGTTATGGTCTCGGCGTTTTTCAGCTGGCTCTGAGACCCATAAAAACCTGTTAAAAGCATCGTATGACCAAACAGCCCTATGCAACTCGTAAACATATATAGGTACATGCATATTATACATTTGCACTTATTATTACATATGTAAACCGTTGTATAACCGTGCCTACTAACTCATGGGCGCCGCTTTCTTCCTCCCTTGCGTATGCCATTTCAATTCAACAAACTATGAAAGAAGGTTAGAAAGTGAGGATTTTCGTGCAAGAAAAAAGTTATCCTATATAATTGAATGTAGACAAAAACCTGAATACATTTTGTGGTAGTAATCAATGAATAAAATATTAAAGAAATACCCTTCACTGTTAAATATTATACACTACAATAGCAGCGTTTACGCATATTTCGGTAGCAATGTTATGCCATAGCCGCTTACAGTAAACTGAGATTGAATAATGAATAATTAAGTAGTTAAAGTTCCAGGAAAATCCTACGTTTTATCTGTCTCACTCAATGTTCACTCCTGTTTTCTCTCTCTCTCTACTAGCTGTCCATGAGTTAACAAGTCGATACGGCCGTGAAATAAAATGTCGGGTGTAATAACAAAAAATAGAGGATATATTATCAATAACTCCTAGAAAAAGCCCAAAATCTACGTTACTGCGGTCACCACACCAACGTAAGCTTACCACTCCACAATTCTCAATATTTAATACATAGGTATTAATTATATGTCTTATTTCTTAATGTATTGATCTCTTAAATTAACTTTTATCAAAGGTCACTAAGGTATAACACCGCTAGTAATTATGAACATTAATAATTATTAATTCATTAAGTAAACATTTCATTTAATTTAACTTAACGAAGTTAATAATATAAAAATATTAAATCGTCCAGCCTTACAAATGTATTAGTATTAGGATGTATTTACCGTAGTTAGGATAACCGGATGGGAAATTGTTTGTTTCAATTGACATGGCCTAGAAAATTAAACAAAAAAAGAAACAGTTTGCATCAATAAAAACATAAACACTATTGAATAAAGAAGATTAAAATATATTATACTTTTTTATAGAATATTTCACTTTAATTTGTCAGGTCTTCATAATCATTTGTCAATAGGTGCAAATATAATTACTTGAAAATCTCAGGGACTTAACAAATAAAAGTTCCAAACTGAATATAAAATGTAATTGTTTTTAAGTATAATTTACTAAAATTTTTCTAACAAAATTAGTAAATATTTAATTTAATACTAAATATCAAAACAAATATCAGAAAAAACAGAATCTTAAAAATTAAATAATTATAGTTTTTTACGTTAAATTAATTAAGGAAAATAAGTAGTAGATAAAAACCAGCGACACAAAATATGGATTATTATAATATAAGTAAAAGCGGATCCACAATACGGGTTATTACCTAATTCCTTAATTTTTTTCAGTATTGAAAAGATTTGAATGCTGAGTGAAATAAGGAACGAAAATAGGTTGCAGAAGAAATATTGTATACTGCATTATTGTTTCTAATTTGAACTCTATGTTTTTTAATTATATTCCACACATAAATCCGTCACTGCACACTTCGGTAGGTCATGACAAAAACGAAGCTGATTAATGTTAAAAATTGAATGTAGTTATATTTGCATTCAATTGAGTAAGTTTCGGATACATCCACGTCACATGTTTTATGCCGACGTTTCGGACTCTTTGCAAAGTCCATCTTCAGGGCAATAGTGTCTTGGCATAAAACATGTGACGTGGATATATCCGAAACTTACTCAATTGATATATCAATCCACGGAAGTTTTAACGAATTCATATATTTGCATTGTTATTTTTGTTTACCAAAATGCGAATATTATGAAAACAAGCTACCCCAAAACATTTTTTACTAGTACCTAATATAATACAAATTATCCCCTGGCACTCGATTGCGATTTCTAGATCAACGCTGTACAAATAATAATTAGCTTATAAAATCTAAATTTCTAGAGTGGCTAATTCAACTAAATATATATTATTTGTTTGATATTACCTTTACGCTATGTTGACAAACGGTAGCCATCAAGACGGCGGCAAAAACTGATAAATTCATTCTTTAGTAATTGTTACAAGATTTAAAAAGCAGCAATGATTTCTACTTGTAACGCAATGAAAGGAAACTGTTGTGCAAGTTATGGAAGGCTCATCGAGTATTTATAACGAGCGGGTGTTTACTGAAATATAATATCAAACGGATCGAGTTCAATAAGAATGGGGAAAAGTCATAATACAATCGGCCTAATCGCGTTACAACTTATATTTGTTTTTGTTACATTCGCGGGATACGATGGTACTTAAAAGAGGTGATATTTTAGAAAACTGAAGGACATCGTCGTAGCCAATAATTTGTATTTATTGTGATAATTGGTGAAGGCTCAAAAATGTATTCCTAGATCAGTACTGATCAGTTCAGTACTGATTATTGCATTGTTATTACATCACTTGTTGTTGGCCCAAGTGGCTAGTATCAACTTTAACAAAGTCGCGTTATTTAATATGATATTTTGTTCGTTAGTGAGTATTTTTTCAGTTTTTCCACGAATTAATCGAGAGATGTCTAAACTCCAGCTTCAGCAAACGTCCACCCCCGACTGGTCCATCACGTGTTTAAGAGTCGAAATTCTTAGCTGTTATTTATTTGATAACTAGTCTAGCTAACCAACTTATGGGTGAGTTTTAAAAAAATAAAAATTACTATTACTATGTCATCTCTGAACATTATGCGCTATAATATTAGTAGTATACACTATAATAGTACCTAGTACCTACTATAGACTTTTACTATACGCCAAATCTTGTAATGTTCATGAATACTTTCGCGCTTGTTTAGCGTTATACTACAAATTCCTCTTTATTAATGCCGTGGCAGTATAGTTTTCTATTGCATATTGATAAACAGTACACTGCTACACATATCTATCCCGGAGGCTCTCTCGAGGCTTATTGTTCCCCTAAGACCTAAAACATTAACGGTCCAATACGATACTTGATTGATTAGTCAAAATTCGGAGACTGCAACGAATACATCAAATTAAAGTGTTTGCAAAGATGTCCCAAATGTTGTTTTGGGCGTTGATATGCACAGCGTATAACATTGGTTTAAATCCATCATCTGAATTCCGAGTTCTTTTAAGCATGTTGTATAGGAGCCTGAAGTGAGATTAACATGACAATACATATGTTTGAATTTCAATGAACAACTCATACCTACCTGTTACATCAGATAACAGATTGTCCGTTTATAATCATCATTACAAATTATGCTCTAATGTCCTATCCCTAAGTATAGAAGCTATTTATGTTTTGTTTATACTCATAAGCGTCCATTTTATTTGAAACTTAGACAACTAACAAACTTTCAAGGTAGGGGAAATCATTCGTTTTTCTCATAAGCCAAAGAATATATCCCTATTGAGATTCCGGTATTTTATTTTTTTAAACAAATTGATTTTACTTGTACAGCTGCAATCGTTATTGCTACTAAGCATTTTTAGTACGAATACAATTGTACCAGTGGTAATGGGGGATTTTTGAATAAGTCCTTAATGCATGTGAAATAATACGCTACTTTAATAATTCAGTTTGTTGTTATTTTCAATTTTTTTTTTTTCGGCTACATGAGAATACTTGGGTACGTGCCGCGGTCACACCTTCGCCATTCCTACAAACGTTTTATATTTACACTAAGGTTGTGGTCCGTGTACCGTAGAACAAAAAATATATAATTTACAAACATGCAGATTTGTTTACAAGCAACACCGCGAAAACATTAAGGTAAAGAAAACTTTAAAAAGACCAGTCCAGCGAACGTGCCGGACACAACGTTGTAGATTTTTTAACCACTCACAATGATACTACGTACTTCAGTCGTTATTTTCTTTGTGATACAGGTATATATTTTCTTCTAAATTTTATACAGCAATCTTTTAATTTTTTTTTAAAATATTCAAATATCTAATTATTCAATGTCGGCTGTTCATATTTTACAGCTGATAGCTGGGAATCCGACGTTTAGACGAGATGACGAACAAGACCTACCTCCGTCGCTGGCACCTGTACATCGACAGAGATCCAGTACACCGATGAGAACTAACACACCATTAAGAACTAACACACCAGTGAGAACTAATACACCAGTAAGAACCAATACACCAGTGAAAATTTCAGAAGATATTAAATATCACAAAATTCGGGCGGTTGGGCCTCCTAAAAAGGTCCCGGCGGGAGGAGTTATGCTCCCCAAAATAACAGGTAAATTGATTTTAATTTAGTTTAAAAAACCACTTTTATCCAAAAATAACGTTTTTTGTAAACTCTATAGCGCAAAAAGGGATGTTGGAAAATCAGATAATTTTGTATACCTAAGCTTTAGTCAAAAAAATGTAAAAACAGTTAACGCACATGTAAACATGATATCTACGAGTTTCTTTTATAAAGCATACAATCGTTTTAATGTCTTCTGAAATTAGAAGTGTAATTAGTACAGATTCGATTTTCAATATTGTTTCTACTTTTTATAGTCCCACCTTGTTATTTATCTACCCGAGTGAATCAATTAGGAAAAATAGTACGAAAAAATTAATGTAACATTTATTATACTCACCGAAACAATTATTGACCAATTTTTTACAATTATTGCTTAATTTCATGAGATGGGGATTTTATTAATTTTAACATAATATGAGATTGTAAGAGATGGCAATTTCTTTCAACATTTAATTGTTTGACACAGAAGCCTATAATTTATTTACATTTATAATTATAACTTTATATATAATTAGATATAATATATGCTCTATGGGCTTGATGTATGTCATAAGGCCAACACATAATTAATGAATATTATTTCGGGTTTGTATACAGCTAATAACCAACTCACACATAGTATCCATCCACCTATTATAGACGAACTCCATCATCAACCGGTACACCATCCGTCATCTAGTTCAGTCGACGAAATCGAAAAAGCAGAAAAAGCAAACAAAAATTTGGAAAAGATGATACAATTCATGACAGTATTAGGCCAAGTGGACCACTATATAACATCAAGAGCTAAATCTCTAGTGACCACATTAGGCAGAGCTATGGAAAATCATCAAGACGATCACCTAACCTACCCAAGAGAATCTAGGGAAAATGTTAAATCGTGTGGTGGTGACCACTCGCATGAATAGTAAATTAGGTTATTTATTTTGTACAAATATTTGAATAAATAGGTGTAATAAATTATTTTAAGTAAGTATTTTATAATTTTAAATAAAAGTGTTTTATTATTTTCTACATCACAATGTTTATACTAAAAAATGACTAAACCACTTTTTTCTTATGTTTATTATCAAATGGTTTAAAACATTAAATGTCAACGTGTTATTTAATAAATAATTTACATTTAGATAAAATTTATAATTATCATTATATTAATCCAAAAATATAAACCAGATTAAAATGTTCAAATTTAGAGGGAATAGATATATTTTATTGATACAATGTCATTGTTTAAGTATGTATTGTTTACAAAGATTAAATAATATTAATCAAAAACAAAATTATAATAATATATAAACAAAATGAGTTCACACACATAACTATAAGGCTATAGCAAACTTGTTCTCACAAGCTTATCTACAATTTCTGTAAGCCAGATTTTTACTATAGATTTTCTTAGGGGCTAGCAGATTCAACTGTCTGTTCAGTTTGTGATTTATTTTGTTGCCTATTTCTCCAAGCAGTCATGTAAGTACGGGGATGCATAGGAAGAAATCCTGACAGTCCTAATGAAAAATATAAAATATTAATATTAATATATTGCCAGTTAGAGTAACATATAACAAAAATACCTAATAACTCTGCTACTGGATCAGTCAAACGAGTTTTTTTAGCCATCCAATATTTGATCCTTTCTAAATTTAAACTGACCATTTTTTCACCATTATGGTTTTCCAAAGGATCATATGTTCCAAGCTGTTCAATGGGGTGAGATTTACAATCTCTTCTTTGCTAAAAAAAAAATTGATTTACTTAATAAAATTTACTTTATATTTAAAAAACTGAAATTTAAAATTGTTACTTACAAGAACAACTACAATGTGAAAAAAAGGCCTATTTGCACAACCATGTCTAGCTAAGCGTATTGATTTTTTTGCTTTTTCATAATCATCACCGCCACCACTGGATGGCACTAGTTTTCTTATAATTCTGTATGCCCTCATATTTTAGCTGAAAAGTAACAAACTGTTTACTTACACTCATTTAGCAATAAAATAAAAAAAACAATTTTCGTAAGCAAATTCAAAATTAATATGTATACAATCAAAGGTAAATGATAAAAATGTTCAGCAAAAAAGATCAGGATAGCATATCGATAGTCAAAAGCATATCAAAAGGTCCGAATTTAATATAATATATTATACAACAATTAATAAATATATAATAATTCAAAATTATTAAAATGTCAGGCTAATTAACAATATCAAGCATAATATATACAATTAGATATAATATGCTCTATGGGCTTGATATATTTATTAAGGCTAACACATAATTAATGAATATTATTTAGGATTACAAATATAAAAATATTTTTATAACAAATTACGCGTCCTAGCAACACACAATATTTGTCAACTTAAGAAACAAGTTTAAATTGTGCATAATATTTTTTCTTCTTTTTAAAACAACAAGTTAAATTTTTACAGAAAAACTAGTAGGTTACTATACACTTTACACAATGTACTAAAAATTATATATGCAATACCTATATTCATTTATAAAATAAACAAAGATAATGGTTCAATAACAAACACAGTTTTTCTAGAGATAATAAAATATCAGGTTATTTGTATGATGAAAATACATTCGAGCCTTTTGTCCTACTTTCGATATTCCATCCAGACCTTTTATACAACTTGTTTTAAATAGGAACTTTTTTACTCGACTTTTTGGCCAGGATTCACAATCAAATACCTGGTATTACAATATATTTTTTTTACAAATCAATTAGTCAATACAAAAAAAATCATAGACACTGTGAATTTTATTACAATTGATATTCACTATACAATATACCCAAAAGTATGCTGTCTAGTCTAATTTATTAATATATTTAAATACATAAATAATTATAGATATTACCTGCTGTAACTCAAAATTAGTACATTAATATCGTTTTACACTTCCCTTTGTTATATTTTTGATTACTTGGTATTCTAAACTATAAAAAAAAATATAAAAATTATTTTTTTTCAATTTTAATTTCACAATGATTCTGGTACTTTCAAAATTTTAAAAGTTACAACTTTAAACTTAAATCTTAATTACCTAATAACACGGCATGCTCAGAGCCTGTCGAGAGGGTACAGTACGCACTCTCGTTTTGGATGGTGATAACTGATAATACATTTTTGATAACATATTGATAAGAGTAATAACCTTAAACATAATGATACAAATTAAGGTATGTCAGAAATGTTCGTTAACAACAAAATGGCTGTGAATTTCTCCATTGAGTAATATTCCTCCATGATTTCTCCCGAGTGAAAACCCACGGTTAATATATAGATATTTATTAACCGTAGATAAAACCAACCGGCTATAATATTGTAAAAATTGATAACAAAAGTTTCTGACATACCTGTTTATTTTGTCTTGGCTTATGGGTATAGTGGTATAATATAGTATGTAAAATCAATGATAGTACTTATTAATTAATCTAGCCGACTGCCGATTCAAAAATCGGATACAAAGTACATTAATCTACTTTTAAGTCTTAACTGTTTTATAGAATCTGATATTCCTAAAATTAGTTGTTTTCTGGCTACATAATAAAATGGATTCAAAGGTAATTCGTTTTTTTTAGAACCTAACTGTTTTATGCTTATCTTATTAAATTATTTTTTAAAGGATTTACCTGTCCCAGCTATGGACAGTTTAACTGCAGCTATGAAAAGTAATATAGTACCAAACCAAGAATACCTTTTACAAGGGAGTGTTCTAGATTCTGCTGTTGAGGTGTTATTACACAGATTACGTGGATTATGTGACAATGTTGATTCTGGACCTGAGACATTCCATGATCATGAAATGTGTTTTAGCATAAGTAATAAAATAATAAATTTATTTTCCATTACCTAATACCTAAGCAGTGTAGTTTTTTATTACTCGAATGTTTAAATACAATTTAGGAAGTGCAACTCCACATACCCCCTTACAGCCACATACACTAAGAGTCAGACGAGCAATAGATTATTTGGATATGCCATATCAACTGCGATATATTGGACAACCTGAAATTGGTATGTCAACAGATATAAATTTGTTGCTATTATTATTATTAGTTATTTGAGTTCACACTAACATAAATTACACCTGTAAAATTCCCAACTAGTAACATGTGGGTAAGCCTTAATAAATTACAGTAAAATTTTGGTATAATGAAAAATATCTTTGTCCCAGTTCAAATACTTAGTGAATTCTCCCCATTAGGGCGGAAACCTTACTAAACTAGAAACGGATACATTTCTGTACCAGAATTGACTATAAACTCCCGTTAACAATTTTTATACATTTCATAACAATATATTGCATGTATAAAAAAGAACAGTCATAATTCAGCTTTTGGTGGTTTTTTTGTTTTGTTAACCCCATCAAGATGGAAAAATTGGTCGGTTCCAAGCATGTCTTGGGCCATGGCAAGGTTTTACTGTAGTTTGAAGTATGTTGGCGTTATTTTGGATTCAGTTTTATAATATTTACTACATATATAATTAATATTCATACTTAAAGGAGATAAATCACGGCCAACAATTGTACGAAATAGCATTGATGTAGCTACAACACCTACAATTGTTGACTTCCTCACAGAAATGGGATTTCGCATGGATTTTGAGTACATTTTGCGAGGTTATATGTTTCGTAAAGGTCGAATGAAGATTACAGTATCTAAAATATTTAAAGTATGTGGTTTTGTGATTGAATAATTCACGTTTAATAGAAAAACATAAAAATTATTTCCAGATGATGGTAGTCGGTAAACCAGCACCAGAAAGTGTAGACCCAATCTCGCAGTCATATCTTGTTGAACTCAGTGTTTTGGCACCAAGTAACCAAGATGCCATAGCCGAAGACATGCGTATATTTGCTGAACAATTGAAACCATTAGTACATTTAGAAAAAGTTGATTACAAAAGATTGGCTCAACCACCTGTATGAGTTTTATTATTTTAAAAGTTAATAATAATTTACTCACATGCTGTATTTAAGTTTAAAAAGTGTGTTTGATACTCTTAGTAAATATGTTAAATAATGGTGAAGTCTCAAGGGAATAAGCTATGTATACCACCCTATTACTTTTCTCTTTGTATGCATGTACATAACAAACATTTTTTACTCTCTATTCACGGTAAACAATTTTTTTATGAGTGTATAACAAATGCATACACCCATATCCATGTGTAAAAAAAGCGGTTAGTGGATAGAGATTACGACTACACCAATAATTTTAAACATAATTGTACATAGAAAACGTTTACTTAATTTATTTAATTATAAACAAAATATTTTTTTACTTAAATGTTTATTATTTAGTATGTCATGTTTGAATATATGCAGACAGTTTAAAATTAAGTCAAAGTTATTTAATTAATATCATGTAAACCAACTACAACTAATCTAATTAAAATAAACCATTTTTAACTTATGCACTCAAATAATACATGTATGATTTAATAAAATGAAATTGACCTAATTATAAAACTGAAAAATTTGTTTGCATGTATACCTAATTACCTTAGTCACTTTTATGCTTAAACACCAGTCTGTCTAAAACAATTGTATACACCTATATTTATATATTTTCTTATTTAAAATGAAAATATATTTAATTCTATTAGCCAGAAATAATACAAGCCATAATATTTAGATTTTCTCCATTAAGTAAAATCAGTTGAATTTTAGAATAGTCTATCTTATTTTTGTAAGATAGTAACATGGATTATAATCTATTAACTATGCTATAATGTATATTATAACATAAGTATTACCATTGAGTATATAATATAAGTAAATCTATCTAGCGGTTAAAAAGTTAGATTTAGACAAAAAACATCAGCTTTGCATTGAATTTAAAATTGCTATGATTTCAGTAAATCATTAAAACAATCTCTTGCTCTAAATTTCACATCTTATTATAATATAACAAAAGAATTTGGCTTGGGCTAAATAAAACTTTGGTATTGATATCTATTTTAAGTAGAAGTGGGATGACAACAAATTGAATTATTACAAAAACTATTCTAAGCACATCTTTAGCTTGTTTTATAGCCTCGACACTGTACAAAAACTAGGAAGTTTCATTTTGTCATCAAAAAAACACTTTAGTTCGGATAAAACAAGGCAACAAGTTGTTTTTTGTTTTGAAGTACATTTTTAGTGACAATAATCTCGGAAATCAAACTAAATTTATAAATTTAAATCTCAAACACCTTGTAGTTGTGTATAAAATACAAATATGAAGTAAAATAATAATACATTATATAATTTATAGTCTATATTATAGACTCGATAATGTAACTTGCTCAATGGTAAGTATGTACACTAAACACATTTTGAGTAAATACATAGTGAAGGATTCATGTTGAATGTTTTAGGTTTCCTTATTTATGAATCAGTATGCATGTTACACAACAATGCTGTACTTTAAAAATTGTTGTACAATATATTATATAGGTTCAGTTTTACAAGGCACAAGTTGCAGTATGCATTTTTCTAAAAAAAGAAAAAAGCACAAAAGTTTGTACTAAGAAAGGATTTTTCACAATTATTATTTATTATGCATTGTTGCTAACACATGTATTTATGTTAAATGATATTGAAACGCACACCCCCACTCATGTCACTATCAAGGTTATTGCAATGTATTAACCATGCACATTAAGTATGAAGCTACATATTTTTGGTGTTAACCTTACAATTTAGTTTTACTATTTAGAAATTATGAGATTGATAACAGAAACATTTGTTAAAAAGTATTATGTAGAACATACATATTATCGAGTTGATGTTGTTTGATATATTGGAAAAATAAAACCACATTATAATTTATAAACTACTATTTACTTACTATAAACCGATACTTAATAAATAAATAATTGTACAATTTATAATATTTTATCAACTAATACAAGGTAAAAATTATATTTTTAAGAGTGATAAATAAACTATTCATATGAATAAATTAAAAAAGTTCTTAAAACTAAGACCATTTGAGAAAAGTTTGGGTAAGAAAAAAGAATTATTTGTCACAACTCTCATATAAGTTAGAGTAGAAAGGTTTCCAGGCTTTTAATTATTTTTTATAACTTTTAGACAAATTCTAAATATGATTTAACATACTTTTTTAGTTATGGATAAAAAATACATAAGTGTTCACTCAGCTAGTATAGAAGAAATACATGAAATGCCTATCAAAGAAATAATAAGACCAATTCCACCACAACTGGATGAAAATAAAGTAAAAAGCCTAATGGATACTCTAACTGTAAGTTTGTAAATGTATTACATACATTATAATACAAATTGTATAGTATTTATTTTCCATAGCTGTTTGATATATTATGATAATTAATTTGATTCAGAATCCTAATAAAAAGGACGCTGTCCCGCCAATAGATGTATTATGGATAGTTGGAAAAGAAGGAGGCAATTACTATTACTCTTTTGGAGGATGTCATAGATATGCTGCTTATAAACGTTTAAATATAGGTAATGTTAAAGTTAAATTAGTAAAATCAACTGTTCAAGATTTGCATAGTTACTTAGGAGCATCTACCCCAGAGCTGAAATAACACATACATTTTAATAACACAAATTCCTTTCTTAGGATAGTATAAATAAGTTTATGTATATTATAATTTTTCTTTTTTGCATAATAAAAATAAAAATGAAATTTTGAATATTGTGAACTTTATTGGAAAACAATCCCATTTATAACTTACAAAACAATTTTCAAGGATTATACCAAAGTGGATCTTGCTGCAAAATAAAATTAAATAAAATTATAAAAATTTAGTAGATATTTATTTTTGAAAATCCATTTTATTACCTCTTGAGTCTTAGCTTTGACTTTTCTTTCAATAAGTTGTTGTAATGCTTCTGACCTTACAGATAGAGTATCTACTTTCTCCAGTAATTGTTGATAAGGGGACAATGGTTGTGTACCCATTACTACGTGGCCTAATTTTGAATCAATTTTTGCATCTAACCTTGCATTTCTAATTAGATTTACAATCCAACACTCAGCTTCTTCAGGGTTCATGTTAAGTTTTTCAGCCAACATGCTAAAATTTGGTAAGAATTAATAAAATGGAAATTTTAATTAAAAATGTAGTTTTTTAACATACCCAATGCTAATACATTGATGTATACGACAGAATGTTTCGAAAATCATCAAACGTGCATTTTCTACAAAATCATCTAAACATGCAGTTAAAAAGAAGTCGTTGAAAAGAACAATTTGGCATTCGTGCAACTTGTCTCTTGCACCTTCAAAATCAAAGTTCACATAAAGATTTTCCAAAAGCTCAGTTATTGGATCTCTGTATGTGTATGATTCCTAAATAATTGAGTTTATGATAAATTAATTTTTAAAAAATATTCAATTTAAAAATTAAAATTAAAAGGTTTCATATTAACGTGTTATTAATGTCCTGACAATGAAAAATATTTGTGTTTTGAAATTATATTTTTGGACATATTTGTTCAGAAGAATACATGGTACATCTCGCAAAGGTCAACCATATTTTATCGACAACAGTATAGTAATAAACAATTGTGGCTGTACGTCAATCAACGTGTTAAATAATAAACTAAAAATCAGAAATATTACTAACCTGTTGAATAACTTTTACAAGATCCTTCATAGCTGCTCTCCTCGATCGGTTGATGATGACAGCAGTAGCCAAATAACGCAAAATATGGGGGCACATCGTTTGAATAGCATTCAAATAGCTATAACATAACATAAATATAATTAATACTAGCTTAAATAAAATATAAAATCAGGAAAAATTACTTTGGTCGATATAAAAACATATCAATAATAAGATCACGTCCTTTAACATGATTAAAGAATACAAAAAGACTCCAGTGAATCAACCATGTGCGTTGTTGGAGTAAATGCAGAGGGGAACCATTTGTGTTTGAATCTATATATTCACGTAGCTTGTTCAAGTCTTCAAGAGCAGTCTCCCAATTTTGAATGAGGATTTCAGAAGCCAATTTTCCCCAAAGTACATTTAAGTAATTCTAAAATGTTTATATAATAATTACTGAGAAAAAAAACACTTTTAATGTTAATTTACACTTAAGTGTATGATTTACTTTATCAGTTGGAGACATAACCAACAAGTAGAAATACAAGTAACTTGTTGTACCAGCATAATTTCCACAATCATAATGATATTTAGCAAATTTGTACATGCTCTCCATCATTTCTACTTTAAACTACAATTTAATAAAACTTAATTGATTACATCAACATATTTTAGCAAAGTTAAATTATTTATATACAAATCATCACAAATAAATTACTTACATTAAACTCTTTAGTTAAATAGTTAGATAATGTCTTAGGATCTCTCATTGTTTCCATAGTTTTCATAACTTTATCATCTCCGAGAAAATTCATAACCACGTTAACTTCACTTTGTAATTGATGAAGTTGTGAAACAATTTGATCTCTTCTGATTTTCATTTCCTAGAAAATTCACTTTCAGTCTTGACAGTTAATTAAATTTGTTTAAACCTTATAATTTACCTCTGGTACTTCTTTATCGGGGTTCAACTGTTTATAGATCTCGATGACATAATCCATCATGTTAGTCTTGTTGAGAATGTCCAACTTAGCTTGCAATATTTCGTTTTCATTATAAATCTAGATCACAAAAATTAAGAGGGATAAATACTAATATTGAAAAATTTGATTCTAACACAAGAAATTAAATAAGTTGTTTATAACAAACTCAATAATTTCTTAAAACTTTAGTAAACAAGATAAATAGAATCATATATTTAATTTTTTTTTTGTCCAGTCTTCTAATAATATAATTTTATATAATAAAAATTGTACGCTGAATAATTAAATTCATTAAAATAATACTATTAACACTTTCTTACTTTTTTTGCCCATAAAAATTCTAATAGAGGGGCAACTAAATGCCGGTCTAAATATTTAGTCATCTTGCTAGTTAAATCAAATTTAGCCATGGTGATGTTATATGTATTACACACTCAATAGTAATAAATACAAGTAGAAAGAACAATTAGTTTGTAAGTAATATTGTCTTCAAAAATAAGAAGTCCCGTGAAAAACAGTGTATAAGCCGCAATCGCGACTCGTAAGATAATCACTATATGAATTGTGCTAGAGTGGCGTTACATTTTAGGTTAGGCGTTTACTTATAAACGTATTTTCCAAAGAGATCGTGAATGTCATCAATTTAATGTTATCACTCAGTCGCATGCAACAACAAAATTTGGCGGAAACCAAAACGCTATTTATTTTATATACATTAGAATATAATCCCAAATTCTAATATTTCACAATAGGAACTTACAAGTTGCAGCATATCATGACTATTAACTAATATTATTACACTTATTAGTTCTCAAAAACTTATCATTCAGCGTTTACGGGTTATGATCCTCGTTATAATTTATGTTAACCTTATTAGGTGGTAAACTGTAAAGAGGTTATAATTTCCCAAAAGACATCCGACATCTATAATTAAAATTTAAAGTAGGAATTTAAAAGATATAACTTATAAGTGACTGATACAATTTTACAGGACAGTAAAAGAAAAATGTTCCTTACGAAGGGTTATCTTAAGAGGATTGCATGTGGTTGGTTTTAAGGAGTTTTGTATAGGCAATAATTTAGAAAAAAGTGGTTTTAATAAATTTCGACCATGTCAATTAATTAACCGGTTATTTGTATAAGCTTCGTGGTATTATTTTTAGTTTAAATCATTTTATCTATGAGTAAAAGCCATTTTAGTTAATATAATATATATTTTTTGTTCCATGGCACAGGCTAAGCCAGTGATCCGATAAGTAATCTGTATTTTTATTTTTCTACTGATTTATACTTTTTATACAAACGTGTATAAAATTAATCTTTTTACCTTAAAATATTAAAAACTAAGAAACAAACATTTCTTTTAAAAAAACTGATGCTCACAGCCTCTAAAAATAGTTCTAAGAATCTGAAAAAAGTAAAGAAATATTTTTAATCCAAAGGAACATAATGTCAAGAGAAGTATAAAATTAAAAAACAATTTTTTTTTTTGGTCCACCCTAATAAATACTTAACTACTTGAGGAATGAGGGGTAGTGGTTAGTATATTATTAATCACTTATGTTATGACCCTTTAGGGCTGTTGGTTAAAGTAGCCGATCTTTTACATACAATTTTTTTTTTTAAATTGGTTAGAACTTGAATCATATAAAGTAGGTCATCTAAACACACACTATAAGCCCTTAACTTGGCGTTTCGAGTTGTATCTTTAAAGATAGATACTAACAAAAACTAAAATAATTATTCTAGTGAAAATATAAAAGATTTACGGACAATTTTTTGTTTTTATGTTCTTTGGAGGTATTATTATGGTTTTTGTTAACAATTTACAGATTTTCGCGCCATAACATACTTGTTGTATCGTTTTGAAAACCATGTTATCACTTATCAGCTTCCGTATAGTTTCTTTTCGGGGACTGGTTTTCAATAAATTTATTTACAATTTTAAAACAAAATATATTTATTCAGCTATTGGGATCTAATCAATTGTTTACAATTTTAATAAACGTCTATAAGTACATAGTTTAAGTACATCAACTATTAAAAAATACCTACTCAATAAATAACAAATTATTAATTAATAAAATAACAGCCCTTCCTAAAAAAAAAATGTTAACATGTAGTTTATATTTCATGATTAAAATGTTTTTCGCTGATTTTTTTTGTGGTTACCCCTCCTAAAAAAATATATCAGGATATGCCAATTATATTATCCTTGTTAAAATGTTGTACATTGACCAAAATATATCCAAGCACGTGCTATGAAAGCATACAAAATAGTTTGTAATGTAATACATTTTGACTTGGGACATAATTATATCGGTGAAAATAAAATTTACCCTTTACTTGGATATAATAAATTGAACTTTAATTTAATAACTCAAAAGTGTTACTATACTAAATAAATATTATATTATTTAGGTATTATTTTTAATTTAATTAAAATTATGTGTAAGTGAGTGTTTTAGTAAATTATTAAAAATAATAAACTTTTATTGAATAAAAAAAGAATTGTTTTTTTCTTTTTTGAGTAATTGATGAAAGCTCAATAAATATTTTAGAGCTAAAATGGAATAGTACTAACAAAGCTAGCGTAATACTATTTTACCTGTACAGAGTTCAAAAATTGTGCAATACACATTTGAATCATAATATTCCAAGTTTTTAGTAACATTTAAAGCTTACAAAATTATTATGTATGTAATAATATATATATGAATAGTTAAAGACCAAGGAATGAAACAATTAACGATAATTAGTTCAATTTTCATGAAAAACCCTGATTTTGTTAAACAAAATTAATAGAAAAATGTATTTTTCCTTAATCCAATATTAAACCCAACAATGATATTTTTTTGACATTATATTGATCTTGTGTATTTGGTTTCTAGGAATGTGTCATTGTGCATTTCAAACCAAGGAAAATCCTTGTGTTTGATGAATAGCTTGAGTTAACTTATATTTCAGTTTTCCTTTGGACTGATATCTAGGCAAGTCCAACAAATTAAAACATGTGTGAGCAACAGGTAAAAAGTTATCGTCATGTGTTGGTTGGATATATATCTAGAAAATAGTGTAACAATTATTAAAGAATATCATTCAATAATGGGTATCATCAAATTAAATTTTGTGTACCTTAATAGCTTTCATGCCCATGACAGGTACACGATCTGTACCAGTAAGGAAAAGTAAAAATTTCTTTTTGTTTTCAATCTCAAACTCATGAAATACTTCCCAAAATAGTTTAATGGTTGGATCGTCTACAGTATATCCGTTTTTGTACTGTGCATTTTTCTCAAGTTCTTGCCAATCGTAATCTTGGTTCCCGACAACAACAGCCATCAATTCTTGTGAATGGAAAAGTCTTAAAACTCGTCCTCCACAGACTTTTAAAAAAGCATCTTTGAAAACTTTAAACTGTTTTTCAACCCCTTGATTTAAAATCATATCCACGTACAGTTGGACGAATTCATGTCTAAATAACATTTTATATTAGCTCATATTATATTTAATATAAAATTAAAAATCTACTGGTCGTTTGCACTAACAATCTAAATTTAAAGGCAGTTTAACAATACTATATCTATACTTATAATTTTAAGTACATTCAGTGCAAACAATCATAAATTATGTTAGTTTACTTGTTTTCTTGATTAACTTCTATGTTTGCTCCATTTGGTTTTAATGGAACTGTTTGAATTTCACCATAAACTTCTCTAGTTATTTCAAATGTAAGATTAAATACCTCACTGAGATCTGGTCTGTTATATGCTAATAAATCTTCAAAACTCCTATTCCAAACAGAAATGTAAGTATTAAAATATTAACAAGTGACAAGAACTAATGTTAGCCAACAATATATTTTTTAAAATCAATATCGTTTCATGCTTTCATATGTGAATTTCCTTGAAAATTTCTCTATTATCTTATATAATTTTCGTGATTTAAAAAAAAAAATTGGTGAATTTTAGAATTTTAATTCTATAAAATATTATAACAATCAGTATAGAACAGGGGACGGAGTGGCCAAACAGATTAAGGCGGCGGTGTTGATGTGCACCATCTCTGGTTCAAATCCGACCACGGGTGGTGTATCTCACTAAGCAAAGCAATTTAGGAGAAAAATACTGCTATCCCCCCCCCCCCCAAAAGCATAGAAGAAATACCATACGCGCCATCCGTTGACTGAACTAGGCTCAAATAGGGCCTACTTCTGGTCACATAGCCATATGAAAAAAAAAAGTATAAAACAACAATAAAATTTTTTTATTTTAAAATACTCGTTTCTACATCAACAGACTAAATATGATATTTTTGGTTTCTAGACAAGAAAAAACATAATTATTTACAATTGAATAGAATATATTGTAAAAGAAAACAGAAATGATTTTATGTAAAAGGATGTGTTAGGCAGTAATATCAGAAGCCATTATCATGAAGAAGAAATAGTTGGATGTAATAAATAATGGCATGGAGGAGGTGTGTCGAATGAATAAAGAAATCCTGATAGGTAGCATTTGCGGAGACGGCCAATTTAGTTAGCAGGGACATTTGTAAAGGATAAGGCCAAGAGATTTTTTATTCTAACAATATCACAGTATTTTAACAAGTGCTCTGATATTGATACTGAAAGTAACTAATACACTGTCACAGTATTAATATTGTTGGCCAACACTACTAAATAACTATACATACTTAACCATAGTAGGTTTAAGATCCTTAAGATCTTGTAATGTAACGGGTTCACCAAGTAATTTTTTATACAACACTAATGGAAATGGTAAATCTATTATGATGAAGTTATAAATAGCTAAGCCGCACATTAGTCCTTAAAATAAAAAATACATTTAACATAGTAAAGACTATGTTGAAATAATAAATACAAGCTATAGCAAAAAACTTACCAACGAGGTAGTACATCGTAAGGTCTTCAAACGAATAATCATTGAACCAAATCATATTTGTTTCACTTGAACTAACAAACATACCATACTTTGGATCTAATACTTCTTTTATCAGAAGCATAAAAAATTCCTTCTTTACACCACCTGCATCTTCAGCTTCTTCATCAATAAATTTTACCTAAATTTGTTTTTTAAATAGAAGTTAGTACAAATATTATTAACTATACTACAACTATTATTATACTATTATAATCTCACTAACTTTTAAGGGTTTTTTATAATCATGTTGGGTGTATTGTGATAATTCATGTATTGCGTCTTCAACTAAATTATTCCGGGAAACAGTAAGTTCAATGAATTGATTAATTGAATTATTACTACCATCTAAAAAAAACAGTTGAGTAAACGCTCTAGTTGCTGCTGCCTGCATTGCTTGTTGCATCTGAAAATAAATGACATTTCCATTAACATTTATTATTTTATAATCTTTCTTGAGTAGCTGAGCACGTAAAGTATTTGCAATAATGTATTTTTTTTTCAATTTTTGTTTTTAAAACCTTCAAAATTCCTTAAATTACTGGACACATTTCTTAATATGGAGAGTCAATAGATCAGCATTGGTACAAGAAAAGTACTTTATTTACCTAACAATTAAAAACATAACTCTTTCCCTGCAAAATTAAGAAAAACTTACATTTTTTTCTAATTAAAATAACAGAAAATAATAAACTAAACAAATAAATGGGGTAGACTTATTTTTTTTTTCACTCTTATGAGTTTAGTTTTGGGACTCAAAGTCTGAAATTAGACTGAAGGTAGATCTAGAACATACAATTCTCTCAAAATTATGTAGACAAACCTTTTTTTTTTAAAAAAAATTCCAAATTTGCACCTTATTAAATATCCAGCTTTTGCTTTGTGTGAATGAATCAACAGTCAACAGGTATTTTCACTATACTGTTAATTAATACATATAATGACAGCAACAAATTATCAAGCTAGACAAATGATCAACCCTAATCGTATCTACCTTATATTTATAAAACTACAACTTTAAGTACATTTTTGTCTCTACAATGCTTTTATCAAAATATAATATTTCTACCATCTACATGCTTGCATCAATCCCTTTATTTTAAGTGAATTCAGTTAAAAAAAATTCTGAACAGCAATGACTTCCCCCGACCCTTAGATGTTCTGTTATGTCCCACTGTGCTGGTTTTTTTTATATTGTATTGTTGTATACTGACTTGTAGTCTCTGATCTGTTTGTAATAGTATTGTTTTGGCCTCTGCATCAAAGAGAAATGCATAGTTACAAAAATAAAATCCATGATCCTGTAAAAGGAGAAATAACAATAGTGTTTTTCCTTTTTAATCATTCAACAATAAAAAAAAAGTAAGGTTGCATACTTTAAAACCGTTTATGTCTGCATGTGTCCACCTCATGTAATCGTTTTGAATGTCAATTTTATCAGCTAACTGAGGCACATAAAAAGTAGTGTATGGTACTTTAAGTTGACCTTTTTTCACTTGATGTCCATTTAAATTAGAATTTAACTTGTTTAATTTAGCCAGCATAGATGCAGATAAAACTAGTGCCTTATCCCATTGTGTATTCTAAATAATAAATATAAAAATATACATAAATTAGTAAAACTATAAATTATAACTAAGTTTAATAACATTAATAAATATATTAACTGCCAAAGAAAAAAGTTAGTGTTTCAAGCTTTAAATTGCATCAATATCATGTAATGAAAAATAAATCATTGATCATAGCATAATCTTAATTCAAAATAACATTCACTATAGATAAACTTTATGTTTCAAACTGTGAAAATTGAGAAACATATTTTCTTCAATTCAATAATAAGTTTTAAGATTCTAAATAAACCAAGCCATTTTTTAAATTGTATTTAATAATTAATAATCATCTAATAACACAATTGTAATTTCACTTCTATAACTAATTTTATTTTGTTTAAAATAAGAAAATTTACAACTAAACAAAATTACTTACCATCGGATTGGTATTGGCATTCAATTGTTCAATAAATAAATTCTTAAAAACCATTATTAAATTTTCAAAATACTTTACAGGCATTGCGGAAAACCAGATATCTGTCATAAAAATCAGTCACATTAACCAACCAAAAAATTACATAAATTCATTCATACTATTTAACTATTCAACCATTAGTTTTAAAAACAATAATTTTAACTTATTTCTATTACCTAAAGTATCCAATTCGATAGTTTTCTGACACAGCAAAGCTTCAGCATATGGAATTTGAAGAATAGTAGCATTGGTAGAATATTGGAATTCGTGATACATTGGTAATGTTATGTAAAAACGAAGAGATTCTAGATCAACAGCGGGAATCGACAGCGAATCAACAGCACTTGCTAATGAAGTAAGTATCTACAATAATAAATAATCAATATCAATTTGAATTAAACATTTTTTTTAAACTTATTATGCGTACCAGATCACTTAATGAAGTGTTGCGTACATGACTAATTGCATCAAAACATTGCGATGCCAAATCTAAATCTATGCCGTGGTTGTTAGCGGTACAACAGTAATGTTTATCATTTACTAGCAAAAATGAACCATTCAAACATGACAAACTACTCATAACTACTTCAACGAACCTAAAACAGTATGAGTCATACTATTGTGTCCAACAGTTATAATTTTTTTTACACATATGCACACAATGTTAGTTTAAAGTTAGAGAGTCTTAATTAGAAAAGAGTGAGCTGCTCTAATTTATTGTCAACAGACATTTTCAATGTCACACACACTTAATTTCTAAACAGTTTAATTCAAATATTGTACGGCAATATTGAAACAAAAAAAGCAATTGTAAAATAATTAAGAAAACCACTCTCTTTTCTAAGTAAGTTAGCCTACCAGTAGTATTTCATAAGCTTTTTAACATTAAAAGTACCTATAGATTTTATTTTTATAAAATAAATTGACAGATTTTGAAAGTTGGTAAAATCTGAAGATCCTCATGATACATTTGGTATATTTAAAAATCTGTTTATTTTTACACTTTATAATTAATTTGATAATTAGACAAAATGCATGTAATATATGCCTCTAGGAACCACGCTCAATTGTTTTTTTTTATTATTATTATTTGCAGTAAAAATATGTTTTTAGTTGACAAACTGATGTTTTAAAAGTGTATTATCCATGCTCCCTTGCCTAAACATTTTGGAATTTGTAATAATTTGTGATCGATAACAAATAAACTATAAAAGTAAGTAATAGACAATGACCAGATAATCTATGTAAAAACAGCCACTAAAACATCAGGTTATCAATAAAACACAACACATATGTTGAGTTATATCACTAAAAACATTGAATATAATGTTGAAGAAAGTTTAAATTAATAAGACGCTATACACACAACATTCGTTCTTGATCAACTGCGTTCTCTGGTTTTATAGTAGATAAATTGATAACATCTGACAATTTTACTATCCAAATCTGTGAGCTCTGTTGCATTATTCGATAATCATCTGGCGGTTTATCTTCCTATAAAATAAAATTTTAAATATATTCTTTAATATTTTATAAAACATAAACAAAGTAACAAATACTTGGCATAGTATTTTATAAAAATATACATTACAATTAAAATAAAATACATTTTTATAAATACCGTTTTATGAGTAACTCTAACAAAACATTGATCACCACCAGCATATATACTTTTGACAATATATTGTTTATTAGTTTTTATAATAGATGTTCCAGATGGAGAAAGCCATGGCCCTAAAACTAGCTGTGGCGTATTCGAATTAACAGATGCTTTAGTACCCAGTTGACCAACACCACCAAGACCAAATGAGTATACTCGACCTTTAGAGGGTACTAACGTCAACGTATGTCGTCTAAAAAATTAAAAAATGAATAATAATTTTTTTATATAAGTGTATAAATAAATGTTTAATAATTTCTCATTGTTAGGTCATATATGTATTTACCGGCCACATGTGACTTGTGTTACAGTACTTCCCATTAACTCTAAAACTTTTTTCGGGACAATTTCATTTGAAAATGAACCATGACCTAATTGACCGTACATACCAGCCCCACATGTAAACACACCTCCATCCTTAATCAGATTTTAGTTATTAATTATGAACAACTTTATGTATTGATTATTATTGTTAAATAATAATGAGAAATATTTTTATTATGAGTAATACCTGTGTTAAAAATACAGAAAAATCTTCGCCGGCTGCAATATACTTCACTTTAATGGAACGTAAAGTTTTTAACTGAATTGGAGTGTTCACATTCATTTCATTATTTAATCCTAATTGACCAAATGTATTTTTACCCCAACCGTAAACAGCACCTAATCAACATAAAAAAATAACCTAATAAATATAGCTGTTACAGTATTAAATAATATTGGTAATTAGTAATTTGTTGTTTGCACTTGCCTGATTTTGATATAACAAAACTGTGATAACCTCCACAAGCAATAAATGAAATCGGAAGGCCAGTTAATGATTTAACTAATGTCGGTTTAGAAATATTCTCAGGACCCATTGAGCCAAGTCCTAATTGTCCAAATTCATTTGAGCCCCATGCATATAATTCACCTTCTGTATTTAAAAACAAAAAGTATAAAAAATTATATTAATAAATAATAGTTAACACCTTCAACAAACTGTAGATTCTTATACAATGTGTATATAACAATAGCAAAAATGTTTTAAATATCACTTAATAGTCCTAGTTCCAAAAATTACAATTTCGCAAAATATGGACAATTTTTAATTATTGTTTATGTCAACTTATTTTTAGGAACTTTTTTAATTTCTTAAGTATAGTTCCTCCTAATGTATAATAGTTATAGCTATTTTGGTGGTAAAAAAATACTTTATGGGAAAAGTTATACAAATCGTGTATAGTTTCGATTTTTGATTACATTTTATCATTTAGGTAGTACAATTGGTTAGGCCCTAATGTATTTTCATGTGTTGAGAGCGGACACTGTATAATATATAAATATAGAAAAAAGCTACCAAGAAAAGAGCCTACCAGGATACCGGACAAATCCCGGTAGGCTTACATGCCTATGGTATAATACTTAACCAAATAAAAAAATAAGTTTAAAAATGAACATGTTTATAACAGAGTAAATAACTTGAATTTTGCATATCAAATTTTTTTTGGACCAAAAGAAATTTTTCTCATTCAAACAAAAAAAAAAAACCAACAAAATCTGATATCTCTGCAAGGCATCATCAGTGCAGGCTTTTTTATTTAAACGAAAAACGCACCGGACATTTAGGTGATATTTTTAAACACTTTTTTTGAGTCTATATAAAATTAAAAATAACTGAAGTCTCACATAGATAAAAGCCTGCATAGTTTCTTCATAGATAAAAATAATAGGCAATTTTTATTTTAGTTATATTATTTTGAACAAAATAAAATTATATGAATACTTACGATTTGTTAGAGCTAAGCAATGTCTGTAACCACAGCTAATTTGTACAATTAACATACTAGCTAATGATTTAACAATTTTTGGTTCATACTGAATTACATCAACTGCTGATCCAAGACCTATTTATAAATTAAAAAATGTTTAATATATTTTTGGTTATTTAGTATTTATATGTTTACATTTGCTTGTAATTACAAAAGATTAGATACCTAATTGACAGTATGAATCAGATCCCCAAGTGTATAATTGACCCCATTCGTTTAACGCCATTGAATGTGCTTCACCACAGGCTACACTAGACATGACTAAAGATTCCACACTTTTAATTTGTTCTGTAATAATAATTAAATAAAAAACAAAAGAGTAATTACAAATTAAAAAAAAAATTTTCTGGCTTTTTTCCACTTCCACTACACATTGGCATGCATCTCTATCCAAAGCTAACATTTCACCAGCCCTAATTCTTAGGAGCTCAGACACAATTACTCTAATGTTGTCTTGTTCCACCTGACTACCACATTGAGACCTCATGTACTGGCCGGCCCTCCGTTCATCACACAAATTCTGCCCAGCTAATTCTTCAATATTTTAGAATCCCTATTATGTCATGCTCATTGAACATATTTCCCTTAATTCTACATTAACCCCTTCTTTCCTATGTATTATTTTCAGTATTCATTTTAAAGCCAAATACCTTTAATAAAACTTTTCTTCAAATACTGGTAGTCTTTTTTCATCAATAAATCAATACCCATGACCCTTAAGAATACAGAACAATAAACCTAACTATGACTTGCTATTAACTAATTTGTTGTCCTTCTTGGTCATAGTTTAGACTTGAACAAGGAAACTACCAAGAAATACCCTTATTTTTCGATTAATTTCCTTATGGATATTTACACATTCATTTACATCAACTCCTAGGTAATTGAAGTTTGGTACTTTCTCAAATTTCATATCTCTCACTAAAATTAAATTGTGATGGTGTTGCTGCCTAATATTGTAATAAAGAAATAAAATTGTAGCATACGCAGTTTTGTTCTTGGTCCATTGTGTCCCAGTTGACCATAATCATTACTTCCACAAGTGTATAGTTTTCCATCGTTAGTCACAGCTAAAGTATGATTCTTGCCGCAAGCCACTAAACATGTAAAATTACACACATTTAACACTACTAAACACAATAACCAAAACATTTTAATTTAAAAAATAACAAATCATTTATTTACCTGATTTAATGTTATTTATATCATTAAAGTTAGTTATCTCGGATGGACTTAAAATGTGATTGTCCTCTATGCCACCTAAACCAAGTTCACCATTAACTGTATTCCCCCAACCAAACATTGTTAAACTTGGTGTTATATTATCATTATCACCATCTGAACATAATTTAACATTCTGAAAATGAAAAAACTTATGAATAAATCCTGATAAAAGTTTGATCAAATTCATCATATTTATGTAATGAAATGAATAAAAAAAACAATATTTCTATACATTGTTTTGTACATTTTTAAATTTATTTATGTAACATTTTTACCTTAAAACAATTAATACACATTGCAATACATTTAAACACATAGTTTGAAACAAAAAAAAAATCATCATTTAAGCCAAGGCATAAATTCTGTTTCATATTAAAAAAGACAATATAAACATATAATTTAAATAACAAATCTATTAATTATACAATCAGTTAAGTAAAAAAAATATGTATAGTCTTTTTTATAATCTTTCAAGTTAATTTTGTAGTCGTTTTCATAACTCAAATGACTTCAACTTAACACAATTTTAAACAAATAATGCATTATTCTAACTTCTATATTGCAAAATTAAATTTATTACTAATACCAAATAGTTCTTACCATGACTCGAGAATAATAACTTTTATTATTTCTGTAATGGCTTGATCAACTAATAATAATATCTACATAATGAATATTATGAATGTATTATTTACCTGTCATAAGTTATAACTATATGCAACTTACTCAATTGAATTTAATGACAAATTTGTTGATTGTTAAAAAATGCGAATAAATAATACCACAAATTATTATGTGGGATACTGTGATGGTAGAATTTAATACTTAGGTTAAAAGAAGCTATTATTTTAAAAATTATTACATGTAAAAATAATGATAATTACCAACATTGGATTTTTAGAGTTATGACTTATAATTGGAATCGTTGGAATTATCACAGATTTTTTTACAGTGATAACAACGAATCCCAAGGAGGATATACAGAATTTTGTTATAAATTTCTTTGAAATAAAAATATCAAAATATATTTTCATTTCTATAAAGTATATTATAAATATTATATAATAGAAATAGGTATTAGGTAGATCGCAGATCCCCATTAAAAATAACTATAATAACTATTGAGGCACAATAACATATTAATGATTTCATAATGCGTTTTGGACTCGTAAATGAGTAATTTACTACTATTAAAACTAATGATAATTGTTGATGGATACTTTTGTCAATTAATATGGGTAAGCCATAATTGATATTTGATAATTAAATATATAACTAGAGTAGAGGAAATGATTTACAACATAATAAGTAATTCAAAATCAAAAAGAAATTAGGTGCATAAAAGAAAATTAAGCCACGGCTTGAACTGTCCACGTCTGAAAAGTAAAAAGCGAATGATCCCCGTATCCGTATCGTACTGTATAATACCTACTGTACACAAGTGTTATATTATTATGTCTCAACTGTTTTAGGTTTATCCTTTTGACGTAGAATGAATTATTGTTTCTGTTGATAGTTTTTGAATGAATAAGGATTTAATAGATATATTTATAATTTATAACAAACTGAAGGTCTACATTTTATAATACAACAAGGATTTTAAATAGCCATGCATGATAATGAAGTAATATTACATCACACCTAGGTCAGACCTCAGAAATTCATGCTATAATTTGTTATAGATACATAACTTAGGTTACTACTTAAATTACTACTATTATTTCTTCGTGCGCAGTAAGTTATTAACTAATTATTCAAAACAAATTATAGAAATTGAATAATTGAATAACATATTTGAAAAATAACACTTAATTGATATAGTATACTTCGTTAAACGAAATTTTCTCGTCAATAATCTACTCAATTAAATAAATTAATTAATGACTATTTACAAGTTAGCTAACAACATAAAAAAAAATTACACTTGTTATGAAGGTTTAAGAATACCTAAAGGAAAATTAATTTTTTTTATGGTTTTATATAAAAATAATATAAGTATGAATATGTATTAATATAAAACTTAAAACAAATAGGAAACGGTAATACGTCAATTATATTGCATTGCTTATAAAAGTAATATGGTATAAATACAAAGTATTATTTCTGTTATTTTTGAATTCTCTAAAGTGATCAAAAAGTGAAAAACGTGCAATTTAACACTTATAATTACACTAATTATTTTTTTTTTACTGTTTTAATTAAATTAATTATTTAAATTATATAACCTATTTTTCTTTTATTTGTTTCTTGAATTATAATAAATTACGATAGTTGAACAATAGTATATTATTCACAGTTTATATACACACATAGTATAATATAAGTTATTACAAATTAATAAATAAAAAATAATTAGGCTGGTTATTACGCCACGACACTATGTCTATTTCGATGGTGCTCGGAAAAAACGTACCAAGTCTAAAATTAAAAATGTTCAGTATTCAAAATTAAAACCCAAACACAAATTTATTCTGCGAAATGTACTTATTATTTAGATAACTATACGCATATTATAAATAAATATTACATTTTGAAATTATTGCTTAGCGGTGAAAACCGTTTAAGGTAATGATCATAAATTAAAAACGTATAAAAATACCGTTTAATATAACTTAAATAACGGTGTGTATAAAATAATATTGTTTATATCAACGAGAATGCAGTAAAATGTGGAATCTATGTCAGCTTTAATCCGAAGATGATTGAATTTCATTTTCTAAAGCTTACGAATTAATGTCATGTAACGATACCCAAATCGACTAATTTATAATAATTCATACTATCGGTGCAAACCTTCTATTGTTAAAAACAACTATTTTATCATGAGTCATTACCTTGCCATAATGAGGGACACAAAGTTTGGGGAACAAAGTATAGTCAAAGCAGTAACATATATTACGCAGGAATTATTCCGTTGAAAACGTTTCAATATGAATCTGTAGATATTTCAAATAATACAAATCAGTAATCAACCACTATGAAAATAAGATTGTGTGCTAATATTTTTAATTTTACCTCAATAATACAAAAATTTGATCTATTTTAACTAATTTTATGGGAAGTTAATATGTAACGAAATTGTAAAAATAAAAAAAATATGAAATTTATTTAATTTTAAATAAATTTCGACTCGATTGGACCGTTTTTCGAATCATATGACTTATATCGTGTCAAAGTCGAAAGTTGAAAAACAGAAAGTTTTGTTTTAGCTTCTTATGGAAGTATAAAAAAAGAGACCCATTTCACAGAAGACGGGATCAGTCGGGATCGTCAGGAATTTCGAAATTTACATATTTTTATCGTTAAAGTTAACGATTTCACATGTGTTACTCGGAGACTTAAATAATACTGCGATACGTAAACATTTGACGGTGACTATATCAAGATAAATGAAGTCGTCTCGCTGATATTATGCTAATCACATATAAAAAAACAGTTATTTAAATTATGGAAGTATATTGTTATTTGTTCTCGATATTAAACTATACATAGTACATTATTTTAGTACCATTGCAAGTGCTTGCATGGACAAGAATAGGATCTATTGGCATAATTAGCTGATTAAACGTTTCAGGGGCAGGCGGGTGGCGGAATGAGATAAGACGGCAGTGTAACAACGCACGATAGCCGTGTCGGTTCGAATCCCGGCAACTGGCGGTTTGTTTCTCCGCGCGGGCAACAGTCTGGGGGAAGAAATTACCACCGGCACCTCTCTCTGGGGCCAAGATGTTAGGGATCGTTAAGTCGGCAGCCAGCTATAAGCACAAAAATGCCAAATCTAAACCGTCTAAGCCCCGATTGGTGTGAATAACGGACGTTAAACGTAAGAGAGAGAGATACTACATTAAACGTTTGTAAGGAATACATTAAACATAGGTAAAATTATCATTCACTTATTCTATAGTATATATCTATACTAATAACGTAGTCAGGAAGGCACCATTATCCATTAGAAGTTTGAAAGAATCATTTACACAATATTTTATTAGAAATAAAATGGCAATTTATTTGCGATGAAAAGGAATGAGAAACATTGATAAGGTATTGAATGAAATTATTCAAAATGTATTTCTTTGTAAGGTTCGTGCAATCTGTTTCACGTTAAGCTGTAATAAATTGGTCTCATATTTAAACGAATGCGGGCAAACGCTGAAACCATTGCGGCCGATGTGTCGTATATATTTTTTTCTTTGCTATTTGAAACTTTGTAACTGAAAGGTTTGCCCGAAAAATTTACCGATAGTTATACCAAAGTGTAGAATAAAAGTTTTATTTCATGTCGATCATTGCAACTGGGTTCCAATCTTCGTTTCAAACTTTGAACCCCAAAAACTGTGTTCGCTATTATCGTCTCATCATTTTCATTTTAACGGGCGCCGAGTTTAATGTCACTGCCGAACAATAATGTGATTTACGATTTAGGCAGGAGCCGATAACTGAAAGGGTCTCATATCTACCGTAGATGGTATATAGGCCCGTGACGTTTAAATTATTGTGAAGCCCATAAAAGGCAACGGGCAAAATGTCGTACCCCTTGTCGGTTTTTTTGGCGAGCATCGAAAAACGGAAGGGGGTGAGTGGGCAAATCGTAAAATTTTCCTTCAAAATAATGGCTGTATGTTTTACGAGCACCCGCCGTCGTTGTCGCGATGGATGCTGCCGGTGCATACTCGTTTTTGGCAACGCGAATGAAAACCGAAATGGTAGTAAAAATGCTACTAGGTTATAAAAATGACGAGCACCTAAGTACACAGAATAAATAAAAACCTGTTTATACATTCCCAGGACGTGGAAGATAAGTAAAATCGTCCGTCGTGAGTATTGAAATGGCGCTTTTAAAAAAAAATAACATTAACTTGAAAGTTGCAATCATTAAGGGGAGTTATAACGATGATTGTGTAAAGGCTACAGTCTATACGCATGAAAATTCAAAAAAATCTATGAAATCTAACAAACAATATACAATGAAAATACCTGGCACTGGCAAACAATATGATAGTACTAAAAAATTATTTAAAGATATTTCGGGTATCTTACCACCGTAGAAACAGCTTAGTGGGGTTTGTTTTTCTCCGACATATGTTGCGTCGAGTTGTTTCTTAGCTCCTTCCTGTATTTTCTCGAGAACTTCCAACAATGAATATTTCCAACTGGTCCAGTCAGGGTCTTTTTAAAATTCTTCTCTTACACAACTCTGTGATACTAGTACCTATTTAGATAATTGTGTTCCTCGATTCTTTTACATGGCCTATGGCCACAGTTCATACCATATCATATCATTCTATTAAGTATTACTGCGCCTAGTTTATGTGACCCACAAAGGTATTTGACTTATCATAAAGGCTACGTACAAATCATGTTTATAATAAATGGAACATTATATATGTGGTCAATTTTGTTATTAACCGGTGACAATTCACTATTATCAAAAACGATCATTATTAACTGCAAGTACTCTGATAGTCAATTATTAATTGACAAGATACCAGACATCGAGAGTGTGCCGAATTACATACTGTATATACTACTAGAGCTTTTGAGGGAAACCTTGTAGACAAAAATATATTGAAGTTAATGCCGTCATGTGAAAATTAGTTCCTAGTTTTGGGGAATATAAAAAATAAACAAATAATCATTTTAAGTAACGAACGGAACAAAAAATGTTAATCCCGTCTTCGACGTGCTCACGAGGACGTGTTAAGTGGCCGATCGAATCCTTGACATTGACTTCCGGCAAACATTCTCGTTACACATATTATAATGTATATTAGTAATTGTCCATAACCATGCAATAAACGCACGTTTTACGTTTGAATAACTCTCCTGTAGCGATAACAATATTATACTTACAAGGTCTCTCCGGGTGTGTAAGTAAGAGAAAATACAGGAAGAGTGTTGATTT